ATCTAACTGCGTCTAGCTTTTGACACACGCCGAGCTCATGTTTGGCAATCAATGCCTCGGTACTCTTCAATACGAAGCTACTGCTACATCCATCTTCATGGCCGGACTATTCGTAACCTTCTTGATCGAATACTTTGGAAATAGGGTAGCCTCTTCACGTAGCAAGAGGCATCCTCAGGGGGATGAGATGGAACCTTCCGCGACCTCTAGCCACACTGGCCCGGTATCAGGGGCGAAGATGGGTCTAGATTCGGCAATTGCAAACCTGGGTCACAGCCATGGTGAATCAGGTCCAGATGACAAGATTAGCGTTTTTCTCATGGAAGCAGGCATTGTCTTCCACTCAGTTAGTGAGTTACCCGCATTCCCACAATCAACAAAAAAGGCAACGAACTAACAACGATTTAGTCCTCGGTGTGACACTAGTAGTCTCAGGTGATTCCGGCTACACTCCCTTATTCATTGTGATAATCTTCCACCAGATGTTCGAAGGCCTGGCGCTTGGATCCCGAATCGCTGATCTGCCCTGCACGGCCATATCTACCAAATATATCATGGCTTCTATCTTTTCCCTCATCACACCTCTGGGTATGGCCATTGGCCTTGGGGTACTTCATTCATTCAACGGAAATGATAAGAGTACTATTATTGCAATAGGCACCCTCGACGCATTCTCTGCTGGTATCCTTGCATGGGCTGCCATCGTCGATATGTGGACTCATGACTGGCTGCATGGAGACCTCAAAGACGCTGGTGTTGGTCGAACGATGACTGGCCTCCTGGCACTCATCACGGGTATGGTTTTGATGGGAGTCTTGGGCAAATGGGCATGATCTACATACACTTGATGAATCCTTAGATGATATGGTTCTTTTTATACCCCTTCGTACGGGAAATCTTTTTCTTTTTCTGTTTTAAAGTTCAGACTGTTTAATTAATTCTAGCCTAGTCACATGATTTATTCCGACTTCATTAGAGAAACAGCCGATTAGTCAGTAATATAACCATAAAGCGTATTTTGCTTAGCTAACACCCTCTGTTCACGTGATGCCTCCTTGGATCCCTGGGCTTATGAAGTTTTTGAACTTCAATCTTTTTCTTTCTTTGGCTCAAATCTCACCACTTATCACGTTTACGCTCACCTACCTTCTTTTTTACCTTTAAATATCAATATGGCTGGCTCAAATGAATCGCTGATGAGCCTTGAGCAAAAACGGCTAGAACTGGAAAAGCAAATAACAGATCTTCGAACTTCAATATATCATTGGAAACTTTGGAATGCAGAATATGACGGTTTGAAAGAAGAAATCTTGTCGTTGCCAGAGGACAGCTCACGCGAGCATATACTCGAAGTAGGCCGAACGTTTGAAGGGTCTGAAGTCACTGAGAAGGAAGTGCGAGCTTTGCTTGGAGAAGGGTCTTCTGGGCCTACGATATCAAGGTCACCTCAACAAATCGCTCGTGCGATTGACCGGAGAATTGACTATGTCCTGGAAAATATCAAGGCGCTAGAGAAGCGCGCCGTCTCTCTGGAAGATCAACTGAGTTCTCTTTTTTTGGAACAACCTGATAACGGTCTCAATGAAGAAGGCCTACCCATTACGGATATAGTTGAAGAGTTGGACGAAGATGGAAATGTCATTTCAAGTTCTACGACGATGCCCGGAAAGGAGACAAATGAGCTACTTGATGTTTTGAAGAAAGCCGGGTTGGAAGTCCCTAATGGAAAACCGAAGAAGGAGAAAGGAACAAGTGAGGTGAAAGTAACGGACTCTTCCCCCTCAGTACCATCCATGAACAACAACTCTGAAGAACCTCCTGTACCTGATACTAGTGGGAGAAGTTCCATTCAGGTCTCTGAAGCTGAGGTTAAAACACGCGCCCAAGGAAAAACTAAAACTCCAGAGGTTGAGAACTCTGTTGATAAGAAGAGCAATGCTATTTCATCACCTGCAGTTGCCCCGATAGCCACTTCCGAGACGAGGCCTTTAGAACTGGAGGTGCCAGCCGCAGATGCTGAAGAGAAAGATTTATCAGTGAATGCTGAGGTGGAGGGAGACACCCTCGAGGATGCTGCATTGCGCAGAGAGATGCTTCAATATGGACTTGAGGAAGTAGGCGCAATAGTCGCAGAACTTGAACTTGACGAAGATGGAAGTGAATTTTCCATTGATGATGAAGATTACGATCTTGATGACCAAGACAGTGAGGACGAGGATGAATATGGGCGAACGAGAAGCAGGGTTTTGGATGACGATTATATCAAGCAAATGCGTGAGCTTGAGAAAAAATTGAATGCCAAGAGTTTACAGAATATTGGCCCAGATGCTAGCATACTGCCTTCAGATGTTCAAACTCAGGTTGAACAGGCGCCTTCTGCCATGAAGAAAGGCCCGGCAAAAAAGAAAACGGTGGCATTCGCGACGGAACTTGATATTGCTCCCGAGCCATCCCCCAAGCCTGCAACTGTGGCTACAAAGGCCGAAACGGAAGTTCTTCCTCCGCCTATGCAGGAAGCAGTGATAGAAAGATCAGGAGAGGCCAGTATGGCAAAGGCTAAGGATACAGGATCAGCCAAGAAGGTTTCTCGTTTCAAACGGGCCCGGGATACAACAGATTCTACGTCTGTAGGCACAGTCACTCAGCCTACCTCGATGCCCCCGAATGGCAGCTCTTCCCTAAATTCAAGAGCTCCAGCCATTCCTCCACCATTGTTTCCCGCTACTTCTTCAACTCCAAAGCCATTCTCGCAGCCTATCCCTGAGCTAGATACGCTTTCTTTGAAAGAGGGCAACCAGGGCAACAAGGATAACAAGAAAACGAATAATAAACCACTAGCTGATGTCCTCGTTGAAAGAGCCGTGCATAGGGATTCTGTCGTTCCCCCTGACCCGGATGAGTTGGATGAAGCTATCCACAGGCGAGAAGTCGCAGCAGAGTTTTATAAACTACGGAATCACAAAATTCAACAAAGCGGAGGGTTTCTTCAAGAGAATGCAACTGAGCCTCTTCCTGCCCTGAATACTAGTGACCACTCGCAAGGCGAACAAGAAAAGCCGAAAAGAGTGAGCCGTTTTAAGGCTGCAAGAGCTAAATAAGCCAATTTCGCAATTTAATCTAGGTAAAAATAACATATACCAACATGCTATAAATACTAGCCAGTGCATACTTGTTCTCCTATTTTTCTTGCGATTACAATGTAATTGCTGGGGTGATAACTTTACATGGAATTTTTCTCAAAGATTGCAAGATATCGATCTGTAGTGGATCTCGATGCTCTTGTAGTACCTATGGGCGGATGAAGATAAGGCATCCTTATCACCTACCATCTGTTTATCATACATAAATTCCAAGATTGAAATTGTGAGATCTCTGGCTTCTCTCTCGTCCCTACCGGGTAGTTCCTCATGGAGCTATTACGGGACTCAAGTGAGATTGTCGTTGCGTTACTCTCTCTACATCTAAGTATCATAACTTGAGGCAGATGCCATAGGTAAATTAGCTTCACTGCAAGCATAATAAATAAATATATTTTTTGGGCTACGTCAATATCGTTAAACAAACATAACAGTCAAGATGCATTATTTTCTTAATAAGGGGTATAGGCCGAATTCTTAAAATTTTCCAGCCCGAAAGGCCAATCGTACAGCTGTCATCACTCGTTTCGTAATTCGCATAGCTACCCCAGCGGGTGGAAATCACGGAACCCCTGTGCACAAAGAGATCCTGTTTTGAAAGCAATGGCAATGACCAATGCATGAAGCAAAAACGCAGCTACATGGAACCATCTTTTTGGAACACTCAAATCTAGAGCTGCGAGGAAAAGTAGTGGGTATACTATCCACGGTTTGACCGTGAGCGGCGCACACGGCTGGGTAAGGGAGATTATTTTGATAGCAAGGATAAGAAAGTTCGTCAGGATTGGTACAATGGGCCTACTTCGTAAAATGTGGCCTAGGAAGGTAAATCTGCCAGGAGGAGGGAGGAGAAGGCGATTGGTAATGGTGTAATATCGTCGATTATGATTTTCAGGGTATTCTCTCACAAGGCGAGGGGATGTGGCAGTTGATCGGACAAGAAGACTGGTGGACTCTCCGTTAATATGACTACCGTTCAGGTCCTCAAATGGGGCTTCTGGTTCATTGGATGTTGCCTGGCTTGAGTTTCCGGCCACAAGCGCATTAGAATGGACTATGGTAGGAGGAAGGTCCAATGCCGGGGGAGCTCTCTTCACGGGGCTATGGGACCGCCTTGACGGTGATCCTGTAGCAGGGCTATCTACAGGAAGCACACGGGTGGTAGGTTGAAGGTCAGTAGGGGATGGGGATGCCCTATGAAAACGGCCACTGGAGGCACCAGTCTGGATTCCGCTCAAGACCTCTTCTGCGGTTGGCCTCATATCAGGGTTCACATCCAGGAGACGGGTTAAGAAAGAGTAGAGTATATCAGGAAGATCAGGTCTCAACCGCCTTGCGGCATTGAATCCTGCCCATCGACTAATTTCAGCACGAAGAAGATCAAGATCTTCTTTGTCTTCGTCAACCACATCAGCATTACGATATGGAAGCTGGCCAAAGCAAAGGAAATAGAGAATCATTCCAAGAGAGAAGACGTCAGACTTGAAGCTGAAATTGCCAAAGGGGCCACCGGGTGATACTCTTCGAAGCACTTCAGGAGCGCAAAAGGAGATGGTGCCTGTAGTTCCAGTAGAGTTGCGGACAGTGTTCTCGAACTGGACTTCACCGAAATCACTGACCAATACTCGGAGCTCACGGCCAGTTTCGTGCAGCAGGCAGTTACTTGGCTTCAGGTCACGGTGGATATAGCCATTGGCGTGTAAGAAACGGAGGCCCGAGGTGATATCTTTGAAGAACGAATATATTTCCTCCAGCTGGAGCCGCCGTGGCCCGCTGGCAGCGCTTGGAAGCTCTGGCTGGCCTCGAGATCTGCGCCGTAGCCGGGCCTTTAGCTGCTGCGGCGTATCTGCTGCTGTCTGAATCGAGCCGCAGATATATTTTTGCAGGTCTCCTGCGTTGCAATACTGCTGTAGAATGAAGGCACACGGTACACTTGGACCGAAATTACTGAGCTTTGCGTTTTCTAGCCACACATGTCTGTATGAGACTAGATTCTGGTGCGAGAGATGCTGCAGCAGCTGGACTTCGATCAACACTTTCTTCAGCCATTCGTGGTCATCGCCAACGGGGACACGCTTGCAGGCATAGTGGCCCAGAGACACGCCATCCAGTATATGCTTCACCAGCAGCACAACGCCTTTCCCACCTCTTCCCAGCTCCCGCTCTTCAACGAAAAATCTCTTGAAATAATCATGACTGAATGCAGCTGACGAGATTCCATGGGTACTGCCCGCTGGCGAGTCACCACCATGACCGCCGCCGCCGCCGTGCTCGCTGGCCGAAGCTGGTATCCCTTCATCACGGCCAGGCGGCACCAACTGGCGTCGTGGGGAAGGGGGGGAGGCAGCTGCCTGGTCCGCAGCTGAAGGGAGGCTGGTATTCTCTAGGAGTCGAAAGTAGTCCGGCTTCACGAATCTCGACGGCGCTGCAGTGGCCGGCGTAGACCCTCGATGCGGCTCCTGCGGGTGCTCGGGGCTGCCGTCGCGCAGCGGACGATGGCAATAGGGGCACTCCGTTCGCTCTGCGATGTTTTCGACAGCTTGATTCGCGGGCTTGAGGACGAGCTGCTGTGAATTCGGGTCAAACACGACAACCGCATCGTCATGGCGACTGTTTCAGCGCGGTCCAAGGGTCAGCTTTTCCGTCCATAGGCAGATGCGACGAAACTTCTCGCCCGGCAGCAACAGCAACAAACACTTACAGTACGACATGCCCTCCGCCGCTGTAGGGGACAATCGACATGCTTCGCGAGTCGTGGTCGGCCATTCCTATGCAAGCTCTAGCTATTACGTCAGGGCATCTTTCATCGGTCACTTCGTTCGTTAGCGATGGTTAAAGCGGTCGGTCTTTGCTTCTGTCTTTCTCTCTCTCAGCCGGACGGAGCTCGTCGATGCAGTTATTATAAGTAGTTATCCGGCGGATGATGCGCAGAAAGCAGCTTCTCCCGTGCCGTTTATAGCTGGAGGAGAAGCAGCTTGTTTGTTATCGAGAGAGAAAGCCAGTCCAACTAAACAACTAGCTAGTCTTCCCGGTTGCCCGGTGGTTTGTTTGTTGTCATGCTTGCCGACGGTGATGCAGTGTCTATCAACTAGTTACGTAGCTAGCAAGCAGCAAACAGACAGACATAGATCATGTCAAGATGGCCTTCGCTAGCCAGTTGAGATACGCATGGGTTCATGGTCCTGCAGAACTTGCTTGCTGGTCTCTATCTAGAGGAGTGCCACGTCTATGGAGTACTTCGCTACCTGTCTCCTCTAGATACAGATCAGGGGGCGAAGAAGTCCGTAGATGAAGACGGCTGGTTACTGGACGCGTGTCAGGCCGGGAAAGATATGTCCTACCCACGGTTTGAGAAAGAAACTCCTTTATACTAAACTGGTCTTTCTTGATGGCGCCCCCTGGTAGAACCTGCACTACCCAGTTTGCTATGTCGGGAACGCTGAAACGCCTCCTAAAAGGACCAGCCATAGCCGGTAAAACACATAGCTAATGTTGCCACGCTGCAACTAGAACGGCACAAGCGTTGGGGGACCACAGGTGTCTCATTACGGGGATTCCGGAGCGGCTGCGAGTGGCTGCTGAGGTCCAAATTCGGGCCTGGACTTGTTAGCTACCCAGTGATCCAGTTAGGGAGTGAAATTCGAAAGCACTCCTGTGGCCAATAGTTACCCTATATCAACGGGTAGCGTAAAGGGGAGCATGTAAACAGTTTGGCTTTTGCCCCTTACAATTCAGAAGCCAGCGCAATCAGTCCACCAGCTCACTTATGACTTGGACCTATATCAGTGAGACGAAGATGCAGGCCATTCGCAGGCTTGATCGCAAGCTGGGGACATTACAATGATTAGAAAGATACAGCAAGCTTGGGTAACTAAGGGGAGGAGGGTGTATAGACTTACAGCCCCGGCAACTACAAAGTCCTCGTCTGGACGTAGCATCTCAATTTTGAACCTATAGACCATACTTGCAACCAGACACTTCATCTCTGCCCTAGCAAAGCTTTGTCCAATGCAGCTTCGCGGCCCAAACAAGAAAGTGATACTCTTTGCGAGAGGGTGGTTGGTCCCTCCGTGAGTCTCTCTGCCTTCACCGAGCCATCTATCGGGTTAGAATTCAGCTGCATCCGTTCCCCAGATGGACTCTGACAGATTGGCTGCTAAGATTGACATGTTGACCAGCGTGCCCTTTGGGATTGTGACACCCCGGATAACACTATCTCTCTTTTTTAGAAAGATTGCTTAGCTATATAGTATGGTATAGATATGAGATGAACTATAATACCTACTCTAGCAACTCGTGGCTGCAACGGCTGGGATATCAGAGACAAAGTTTAGTATATATATCGTTACCTTAATTATGTCCACGGGAGACCTACCGCCACAGGCCAGATTCTGAGAGCCTCGGATACGACTGCAGCAAGGAGAGGCATGGAATCAAACGTTCGATCTGTGAGTTCGTCTGGACGGTACTGCGATAACACCCCTCGAACTTCGACTCGGAGTCTCTCTTGAATTTCCGGCTGTGTAGCAAGAAGGTACATGGCAAAAGTGATTGATATACTCGTAGTTTCATGGCTAGATGCCCATTGTTAGCAAAACAATCCTTCTAGCGGGAGTGAGTGTTGAAGAAAGCGTCATATACCCTGCGAACAGGAAGGTCAACATCTGATCCCGGACACTATCGTCAGAGAACTCTCCATTTCTCAAAAGCACTGATAAGATGGTGGTGCCGTGCTTGCCCCCTTTCTGAACCACATCCTTCTTCTCCGTAACTATCTGGCGACAGAAACTTAGCAGTTTAGTTTTGCATACTGTCACGTTTTATTTCCTTCCATGGGGAGCCTGATGGAAATCCAGATTGGTAGCAACATGCATGCAACAAGGTATTGGATAAAAGCTCGGGTTGGCTTTAGCATTTGACGAAACGTAGCTGCAAGTTCATTCTGTGGACCGTACAGGGACTTGAAGTCTTCCCCAAAGGCAGCAACTCCAATGACATCTATGATGAAATATAGCCACAGTCAGAGGCTTTCCTTATACTTTCACGAGCTTATCATCATTACCAAGTGTGATCAGGGAGACAAATCTGGTAAATTCAATAGCACCGTCGGTGGCATTTGACTCAATTGCCATATAACCTGAAAAATCAAGAGCTTTAAGCCACATTTTCGGGATAAGTTCCTTGATAACATGGCCGAGAAAAGCTGGTCGAACAGACTTTCGGTGCGCTCTGTGCTCTGCAAGCTCAGCGGTAGCTATACCACGCCCAACTATCCGTTCATTGAATTCAGAGCGCTTGGGCGGTTTGATATCTTCGTTCATTTCCTTTAGCAAAGAAACCCCTTAGATAGGAGCAAGTATACGCTAATATTCCACGCACGGTCATAACAGCGGGTGCTAAGAACTTTGTGGAATAAATAAGGGTGCGTTAGAATCACTGAATCGCTTAGATGCAATATACCCTCTGTCCTTATCATTCCATAGTCGTTGTATTTGTTTTGATTAACAAAGTCGAGGATCCATCCACCTGGGATTGCACCGAACATGTATGGCGTATGCCCAAAGATGAACCAATCTCCTGGCGCCATTGGAACGCTACTCAAGGGACCGAAGTAATGGTTATAGACAATCTTCTTGAGAGCTGCCATCCACACCAGTGAGATAGCTGCATGGCAGAGATATAGAGAAGCTGGGTCCATCTAAATGTTTGTTCCGGGATAAAGCAACCCTGGCGGGGGAAGCACCGTTACGGCAAACATGAAGACATGTGTCCGTAGCGAAGTGTCCATCGTGCCGCCTTAGAATTGCAGTGGGTAATATTTACACTCGTCACAACACAGCAGTTCTGGTGTGGTGTTCGTTCGTGATATGAATGAAGAGTAGAAGGCCTTGTAAGGGTATAAGTATATATGCCGTTTGGCGCTTAAGATGCCATCATATAGAAGCAGGTTGTCGTCGAGGTCTCACAGACTAGACCGTTCATTCTCCAGGGCCAATTATTAATGCACTGACGACGTGTCTAACTAACTGTCCAGACAGCATCTGGCAACCAGTTGTGTCGTTACACAGGCTTCGATGCACGCAGCAATTTTGAGCACAGGGTGTCGTGCATAGATAGGTCCTATAGCCTACATTGAAATCAAAGCCAGGTCTGCCCATGCTGGAGAAAGCTGCAGTGTGTAGCCCTTGTGACTATTGGGTAGCTGGTTAGTAGCTAGCTGGAGCTCTGGCTGTACGGGGTAAGCCTAGGGGAAGATTTACAGCCCCTGACAGACCCAAGCCTGTTGCAGCCGTCTGTCCGAGTCGCCTTTCGCCCTTCGGCCTTGACGCTGCATGGTTCGCGAAACGCGGGCCAAGGACAGGCCGGTCCGTTCCGCAGCCAGCGAGATATTTAACTAACTAGTAACCAGACTAACGAGATACTCCGTAGACGGAGCATCTTGCAGCGAGATGCAAGGGCAGTGAGCTGACTAGCGGGTGCTGGGTGGTGGCGAGCTATGATCGAGCTATAGGGGCAGGGCGTCAGGGCTAAAACAAGCAGCAAAAAAGGGGGAAAGGACCGCCACGAAGATAACTATAATAATAGATGGTTATTATCAATGTGGCTTCTTCTGGCCTGCTAGTCATCAAGCCGTTTGGACGACGGAGGCTAATAATCCGGATTCACTGTTTATACCAAATTAACCATCTCATCCGTTGCCCTAGAGCCGGGCGAGAACTCCCTGTGATAGCATGGATGCGGAGCCTGTCTTTGGCAGTGATGGATACGACATCCACCGTTGCACTATATCCAGCGTCTTGACACAGATACACGGCTAAGCATGCCACTGGGAATTTAGCGATTCAACTACATAACATATCCGAAGCATGGGAGGCAGCATGGGAAACTGGGATAGACTCGTGAAGCAAGCGTACGATAATCTAAATCCTGGAGGATGGATCGAGGTAACCGGTTTTTGAAACATGGGCCACCACGGACGACAGCAGCATCCCCCGAGACGACAGCATACCCTGAATTACCATGTGCAGCTCATACTGGCTGCTGAGGAGTTCGGCAAAGGTATGAACATGGTGGCCCGGTTTGAGGAGTTCATCCGGAAGACTGGCTCTGCTTCGATCACCGAAAAGAAGCACAAATATCGCTGTCTCCATGTGCAAAAGATGAACGCCGTGCTGCGGCGGACCCATTGAAAACGGTTGGGCGGTGCCTGCAAGTGTATTAGTTACAGATGATGGAGCCATTGAACTATATACTCCCTCGCACTGTTTACCGGGATCTTGGAATGGGATCATGCGAGGATCAGGGAGGAGCTGCGTAACTTGAACTACCACCTCTGCGCTGTCGTGTAAGTCTTTCTCTCCTGCTCCACCTGTCAATGTTCGATCCTTCTTCGTCTAACTGAGAGACATTCTTAGACATACAGTATACGGACAGAAGAAGATGGCGGAGTCAGATTGATAGGTCGTCTTAATGAACGTGCAAGTATAGATATATCGACGGTTGAACGGAGTTCTCATGGCTTGATAGAGACACACGCAACCTGCATCTTCTATGTTGACTTCCTACCACAAATCTGTCGTAACCCGGGGAGTCACACCTGCTCCCTTTGAAACAGGCCGTTCTTTCATGTCGATTAATTCGAGTTCGATGACTGGCCATAGCCTTTTGCCTCATCCCTGCACCGTTGAATGCAGTTAACTAACACGCGGGACCAAAGTTCACGGCTCCATCTTGCATGACGAAGTATGGAGTAACTAGTTAAACCAGTTAGCTGTGTGAGGATTTCCGAGGAAACCGGGCCTCTCTTCTCTCTGTTCAAGCTGTCCTTTCCATTTTCATTATCACTCTCGACTTCTTCGCAGTTTATCCTTTGATATCTAGTTAACGGCGAGCACCCATTCTCGACATAACTTGCTAACCACTCCGTAACGACTCCCCAACGCACGTTAAAAAGCCCCTTTATGACTTCAGCTCGCAGCAAGTCCGATAAACGGAGCTCACGAGTCAAGGTTACCCTCGTCAGTGTTTGGTATCCGCCTGTGCTTCAGACGTCAATCCGCGGCTTTTCAACTGTCTTCCCGCGATCCTGGTCCATATCCCGCCAGCGCTTTGAACTAAGGCCAAGGATGACCGTGCAATGTCGCATTTAAGATATACGTGGAGTCCAGCCCAATCCTATCTTGTGTCAGCTACTCTACAACCAGCATTGCTCCTTTGTCCGGCATACATACTATGTCTCCGTTAGGACCATTGTATGCTGTTCAGAGGCTACCTTGGCCCCGTGCTGCGAATAGCCATGTAATGATTACTACGTTTACATTACTGTTTGCCTGTATACCTATATATCTTGGTGGTTTAAGATCTTCAGGCTCGAGTAGCAAACCGTTAAGAGGTTCTTGAAAAACATAATTGATATGAAGTTTTTTTGTGTCATTAAAAGAATGCAAAATGCTCGCTAAAATTGCATACACAGGGAAAAGAAGCCTATATCACCAGGCTCGCAATACATGACTGTCATCACACTACATGTTCCTTGGTCCATGGAATCGGGCCCAGGGGAAGCCGGACAGGAGTCATCTCTGGTGACATCAAACCTGCAGCTGCACAGTAAAAGGCTATCGTTCCACAAATAACACCACATGCGCCGCCAACTTTATTTACCTGGATGCTCTGCTCGGGCAGCGAGGTTGCGATAAAATTGGCTATGGCAGCGAACAGGTACGACAGCGCGAGGAAGACAAACACAAGCAGATTCAAGACATTGGAATGCAGCGACGCAAGCATAAAAACAATCGTCAACAGTGCCCAAATGATGAGGAATATGCCGAGTGCAAATGTGTATGATCGTTCGTCTGCATATGCCTCGTGTATGTGCAATCCAGGGATCTTGAGCATTGCATAGGCCAACCAGTACGCGCCGTACGCAGAGTGAATGGTGGTACCTAGAGTATTGCCGGATCGGAACTCCATGAGGCCAACGATGATTTGGATCATGCCTCCCATGAACAGCGCAAGGCCAAAGGCAGCTTGATCTGGACCGGAGCTTCCTCGTGGATTGGAGTTGGGCAGTCTATGATACCAGTGGCCACATTAGTTCCCCCCCTTGAAGGGCTGAGAGGAAAGCACGCAGTAACCACAAACCTCCCCACTCGGGCACACACTTACCCTGCACCGCAATTGTACAGCCCAAACACAATACTTGTGACCGAAAACCCGAAGAGACCCAGCGGGGCCGGGTTGGCAAGCTTGGTAAACGATGGCAGAGTTACATGGGAACCGGTGGATGGCTTTGGTTCCTGCTGCTCATAGAGTGAAGACCACTCTGTCTGAGCCAGCTTTGCGCTGGGCTGAGGGAGAAGATTGGACATGGTTGTTGGTTGGGTGTGCCTGATTCGGTGATACGGAGCTGGACTGGTATAGAGTGATGAGGTGGAAGAGAATCACAGGCTGTGCAGGCAAAGGGCAGAAGAGAGAGGTACGGGGAAAAGTAAAAGAGAGAGAGAGCACAAGTAGGAGGGAGCAGACTGAGATATATATCTTCACTGCAATTTCGAGGGGCTGTTTTTTTTTTCCGTGCGATGTCCAGGGTCAGCACTGATTTTTCCCCTTTACCTCTCGTTCTTCCGACTCGGCTTGCTTGGCCGGTTGGCGAGGCCCTGAAAGCTCCTGCAGCTTGTACTATATTAAGCTTTCAACGAATATAAAAGACAGAAGCGCCGTTACCTAGCGCAGAAGCTGTGCAGTTCGCGAGAGAAGCAGCACCAGCGACAAAACGCGGGAAAAGACCGTATCCATTGACACTCCGTCGAGATAAGGGGAGACTCAGGGCGGTTTGTCGGGGATTGGAGGGAGGTGGAGAATATTCCAAATGCTTGATCGGCTAAGCTTTCGCTGTTTGTTCTCTTTGGCCCTCGGGAGCTGGAGTTAGCGCACTTGGAACCGCCGCCGGTCGGCTTGGAGAAACGGCATTATTTTAATTTGGTGCCTGGAAGTGACGGCAAAAGGCTTATAAATGGTAGGCAGAAACACCTCGGTTTTGTGGAGAATGCTTTTGTGTATACGTAACTAATCGTTGAGAATTTTCATTTAAAGTGTGTTTGAGCCCCTTGTTCTTGCTCACTCGCGACAAGGGCAGTACCAGCTCGACGGAAGCTCTGTCTCAGTTAGGAGATAGGCCGCAGAGAGCCTAGCTCCGGCTACAGGCTCTGGCATTTCAGAGCATCTTGCCAACGATTACCGAGACGGGGAGGTTAGAGATGGAATCCTCCAACAATCGATGTAGGATTCATTTATTCCCGCCCTTGGTCGTGACATTGTGTCGTCCGAGATGGAGGCTCTAGGCCGGCTGGCAGAGGGGAAGGGGGTACGGGTGCATAATCATCATCATCATCACCATCATCACCATAGTGGCTAGTGTGGCTAATCTGCGATTCAGATACTCTTCAACCTCGCTGGACGGTGGTAGCCGGTCCGGCACGGTAACGAGCAGACATAGCTGAAGCTGTCGGCGAACATAGCTTATATACCACGAGAATGGAGATGCGAGACCCGTTGAGGGATTGCGGCAAAGGCGCTGTGGTAAAATGAGAGGAATGTCAATACTTCCATTTGTATGCACGTCATGGACTGGGATCTGCGTTTATCGGAGCACCCCCGTCTTCATTGTCTGAATCTCCAAATCCTTCAAACTCGCTTTCATCTTCGTTGCCGTCCGACCCGTTTTCACGGTCTTCTGGCCCGGCGTTCTCCGCATCCTCATCGCTTGCGTCAGTGCCAGCATCGATTTCATCCCCGTCCTGGTCTTTGGCATCATCCGCCTTCCTCTTGACTCCCATCTCGCCTAATCGACCTTCACGGCCATTTATTTTGTCATCTCCAGCATCGGCAGCCTTAGGTGGAGGAGTATACCAAGGCAACTTTCCGCGGAGGAAGTCATTTATCACCATCTTTGCAACACCGTTAACATCAGGCTCACCACCTTTCAGCAACCGGCCACCCTTTCGAGCTAATATGCTTAGAAATTCTGTGGCATCTGTGAACCCCTTGATTTCGTATGTCCGTTCAATGTGGCGCTGCTGCGTCTTCTTGAGAATTGCAGGAATATACTGTTCTGGATTTTCAACATTCTCTACTCGAACAACACCGCGTAGAAGGATGTCCTCCTCTGTGACGTTATTGCTCGGAGGCACAACTCCAGGGCAGTCGATGAGGTAAATTCGCTTCATCAACGTTATGTACTGCCATACTTTAGTCTCTCCAGGGATTGGAGCAACAGTGCATACTTTCTTCTTCCGAAGAGTGTTGATAATGGAAGATTTTCCGGTATTAGGATAGCCAATGAATCCCACCGATATTTGTTTGCGATCTGAATGGAGAATTGAAAACTGGCGCAAGAGCTGGATCAACGATCCCTTGCCAAAAGAGTTATTAATGCTGGCATGGAATGCAAGCGTAGGGTACTCCTTAGATAAAGCACGGACCCAGGAAGCCTATGGCCAGATGTTAGTCAAATGTGCCAATATATATATATATATATATGTGTGTGTGTGTGTGTGTGTGTGTGTGTGTGTACGTGCGTGTGCGTGCACGTATATAATGATGGTGAGAGTGATAGATAATAGGTAGAGAGAGATATATGAAATGTTACTAAGAGCACAGCTATCTTGTCCACAACAAAGTGGAAGCAGGACTCAACTCAAAAACACGTCACACCATGCCCTTTGCGACAATGCCTTCAAAACGAGAGCAAGTCAACCTCGACTTCAGAAAGAAGCCAAAGTTACGGGGGGGATTGATCTGCCATAGCGGTAACAGACCGTCTTCCATTGTAAAAAGCGGCAACTAATATGCACTGGAAGCAGCCTTGACAAACGCGATGGCACCATTTGAGTGGTTTCTGAGGGCTAGAGTGACAGTTTAAAGGGAATGGCATGGAAGGGGTATAGACTTACAGCAACACCGGTTGGCACCAAGTCACACTTGTTTAGAACAAATATCAGATGCTTGTGTGGCGCTTCATCCTGGATATATTTCTCAACACTCCTGCACCGAGTGCCTTCAGGGTCTCTGGCATCGAGAGCATGAACGATAACGTCCGATGAGTCAATGACTTTGTACAGTTCATTCCAGATACGTTTACTCTGGCCCTTTGAGAAAATTGGCTCTCTGGCGGCAGTGAGCTCTGCATCAGCGCCATTGGTATCAGCATTGGCATCACCTGATGTGCCGCTGAGCAGTTTCGCCTGCTCCAAGCGATCCAAATAGCTGTCATGCATCTTTACCGTCTCCCCGGCGAGACCTTCTAGAGTATCAACACTCAGCTTAACACGCTTTCTCTGTGCCTTGGGCCCGAAGGTGTCACTAAACGGGGCATTTTCAACAGCAATCTTAGCCTTATGTTGCTTCAGGCCATTTGGAGCATGGCCATCCTGAATAAGACTCATTGGGAGTTTGTTCGTTTTAAGCAAGACTTGGTAAGGGTCAGCTGCCTTTTCGGCAACAGCCTCTCGGAACGAGCTCAAGGCTTCTTGAGAGATGACTCGAGTATTCCCAAACCATTTCCTGTTTGGCTCAATCCGAGCACTCGGCTTTTCTCGAGATTGATATGATGCAGCTTTGGTGATTTTTCCAGATGCGTTTCGTTGAGCCTTTCCATCCTTAAACATATTAAGGGTCTTCACTTTCTTCGCATCTCTATAAGTACATACGACAGTTAGTCAAAGCTTTCATAGTATAATCACTACGCATTCTCTTATTAGAAATGAGAAAGGGAATTCCATACCTGTAGAAATTTTCACCCTTGGTTCGAACATTGCCCATTCCATCGTTACTCTTCCCCTGGCGCTCTCGCCGAGACGCCTCCTTCTTGCCTGTGCCCATTTTCGCAGAGATGCAATGGAAGACTCTGCTACTACTGATCAAGACCAAGATATCTCTTCTAAGAGGTGCTTTGCAGTCGAAAGCCTCTTGAGTGTTGATGTTGCTAGAATATTTTGAAGGAAAAAAAAAAAAAGATTTTGATTTTGTGTAGTTTTGCCAAGATTTCAATGCACGGGCCATGTTGAAACTTCTGTCTTTTTTTCTCAGTTCGAATATTTTGGTCGTTTTTGTCCCTTTGCCTCCAACGACTTGAACAGGACGAGAGTCCGCCGCAATTGATTCATGATGGCGTCCCTACTAAGAGAGTGCAGTGCGAAATCGTCTGTGGCACTATGCCGCGCCTACACAACCCCTGGTGTCCAATCCCGGTTGTTCTCCTCGACCGCTCGCATGATGGTCGGTCCTGAAGCTCCAGGCTATATCGATGTACCACAGTCAATTCAGCCAGACCTGCCCCGTCGACCACAAGTCAAGGGCACTCTACCTGTCCCTCGAGAGCTGTTTCCATCCCGACGACCTGATAAACCCACCGAATCATACATTGCAGACGCTACACCACTGCCGTCAAGCACGGATCCGAAGGTCGCACCAGACCATCCCCAATATGAACAGCTCGAGTGGAAGCGGAAAATGGCAGGTGTCAGGAGGAATCATCTACGTGAAGGACTTCTAGAGCTTCACGAACGCAAGAAGATTGCCCACCAGAGAATGGTTGCGAGAAGCAATGCCAAAGAGAAACGTCGAACTCAGATCCTCAACCAGCCGAAGCGAGATGACGACCGACTTACTGCCTCGACAACAGTTTCGGCGATGAAGCCTGTGAAATATAAAGTACTTCCAAACCCAGGTGCAGAGGAACGACTGGCGCAATCAATGGAAAAAGTGAAGGAGATCCAGGAAGCACGGCGTGAGGATGTGGTGAACTCGATCCACGAGCTTTATTTGAATGCACAGCAGTTCATTGTCAACGAAGAGCAACTTAACGCTGAGATTGATCGTGTATTCCCCATCGATAGCAACCCCGACTGGGCTAACGGACGCCGTACCGGAGAGAACATCTGGAACTTGGGACCTCCCCCTACGATGGCTGTTCTGGGTAACCAGACGAAGGATGAATTGACCAAATGGGAGACCGTACAACGACGAACCAAGAAACTTGCTGAGGAGCTGACAGGAAGCAAGATATAGTTCACGAGACGCTTAGTGTCACGGATTTATTTTTGATGTACTCATATCATTGACTGTATAGTAGATTCTTTTTCCTATGGAGGCGAATTCAGGGTGTTCCTTTTTAACCGGCATCAAAGTATCAAATTCATTTTAACGGCATCTAAGTACTTGACAGGAATTCCTTTTCAAGTGCAGAGATAACTTATGCTATCTGGGTGAGAATTGACAATAGACACCACCTGGCTCAGTGATACCCCTTAGATGGTTTCCTCGTGGATAGCGTGGTCTGCGTACCCAATGGCCTTTATATATATCTGGGCACTTTCAAGGACTCTCTTCTTACTGTTTCCGATAGTCTCGCGGTCGTTGAAGGCGCCGTGTACATGTTCAAAGTCAAGTGGCGCAACAGTCTTCCATATGCGGTGGATGGCGTCTGGGAAGAGTGGTATCTGGGAAACAGTCAGTCCGCCTGAAGTTGAAAGAGAGAACAAAGCATGCTGTATACGTCCATACCTGGTTCGGATATGACCACATAAAGGTATATGAAATCGTTCCTGGTTGCCTATCAATATGGTAGACGCCACTGGGCACAACCATGATAGTATCGGCAACCAACAATCGCTGCTCATCTTCCCAAAATAAGACAGCGCTTCCCGGGAAATGGCCCCCAGTCTTGAGGATCTTAATTTTGCCATTAAGAAGGCTCAATTCATTTCCTTCCCACAAAATCTGCTGGGCTCCCGTCCGGTTTTGGGGTTCTGAGCCTGCAACCACTCTCAGGGGGCCACCGTCACGGAAACGCTGGATCCATTCCTCATCTTCTGCTGAGTAATAGACGGGACAGTTGAAGGCCTCCGCCCAGTGAATAGCGGTAGAGTAAAAGTGAGGATGGGAAATGGCGATTGCCTGGATCCCACCAAGCTCGTTGATGTGGCGGATCGTCTCGTCGTCGATGTAGCTGATGCAGTCCCAGAGGACGTTACCATTTTCCGTACGACAGAGAAATGCTCGCTGTCCGATTGCTACCGCAGGGACAGTGACGATGCTCACGAGCCCGGAATGCTCATATTCATGAAAGACATTCTGGTGCTTCCCTGACTCCTGCAGAGTGCGTAGCGATGTCCACCATTGCCTAGCAATCTAATGTCAGCTATGTCAAGCAAACTAGTAATATGCCACTGGAGGTTCTGTACCCCTGAGGAGGGACGTATTGACGAGGGTCGTCGCATATCTTGCAGGACTTCACTGATGAACTGCTAAACTGAGCACCACATGTTCCGCAGATTGACAGATCCATCTTTGACTGTTCCTAGGTAATGGGGGAGGCAATAGAGTGCGTTTAGTCGGGTATTGATATCAAACGAGCTAGAGTGTGCTGGTAGTTGCTTTCATCCTTCATCAGGGGCCGTAGAGCCTCCTTAAATAGCTTCTCCTGGATGATAACCGTTCAATACAGTTAAATAGAGTCTAGACGAGCTGGAGACATACGAACTTCCGATACCTAATCGATGTATTCTAGATGTCGGAAATATGTCATCTTCCTCGCTTCAGTGTGACATCGTAGCTTCGGGATACGATGAGCTTACAAATTGTCTAGATCTTATGATATGACCAAATATCTAACTACTAACTAGTTGACCAACTAGCAAGTTAACTCTTTGTATTTTTATCCCATTTAGTGTAATCACTATCTTCTAGATCTCTCATCTATGTAACTAGGTAAACCAATAGAGGCAGCCAATACGAGGGCTACCAAGAACTGCTAGGCCTCTATTTGAGCGCCATATCCCAGCCCTTGATGCATCCAATTTCGTCCTGGGTCAGCTTTATACCGAAATAATCCCAGAGAGCTTTCAGCCTTTCTTCTTCCGTCTCAAACGAGTAGATGATACTTGTCTTCCCTCCCATATTTAGTTTAACAACATCGTTCACCATCATGACCTTGCCAGCCACTTTGAAATTCGCCTCAGATGGCAACATATCCTTTCTTTCCTCGAACTTGACAGGCTCCCCGTCTCTTAGAAACCGCACTACAAGCACCGTCCACCGGTGGAGAGTCTTTGCACTCGTCCACCAATTCTGCACCTCAAAGTCCTCCTGGAAGAACTCGATCTCGGCAAAGCTGTAGAACGAGTTCCATTCCCGATCCGGTCCGTTTCGGTACTGGTATATCCAGAGCTTGGGCTCCGTGAGCCGCTGCTTGGGTATATGATCGTTTACCAGCCGGACCTCCTGCGGCCCCAGATTCTGTACGGCATGTCCAGATACCATCCGCATAGGGCTCGTTGGGCCATCGCCTCCGAAGGCGACGTCGACAGAGAACTTCTCGCCAGACGGCAAATGCACGATATTGTTGATGTGTGTCCTATAGCACATTAGTATTAGATACTCTATGGAACTCCCATCAGAAAAGAAGCTGATATCCATGTGATTTCGTGATTTTTCATGACGATGAATTCTAAAGAAATAAAAAAAAAGGCCTACCAGCCCTGGTATTCTCCGCTGGGAACGCCCTCAGTTCTTGTCCTGTTCCTGATCCCTGTCATATAGACATCAAACCCGATGGCACGCAGCATATGGTGGAAGAAAATACTGAGCTCCATGCAGTAGCCGCCTCTGCCTTCTCTCCCTCCCTCATAAGGGCCCAGCATTTTAGTGTACAAGACATCGGGTCGGATGTTAACCAGGTGCGTAGGTGAATAATGCACCGAGAGATTTTCGTATGGAAAAGTAGTAATCTGGCACCTGAACAGAGTCCGGAGGGAGTCGAACGTCTTCGGGATCGAGGCTGGGTCTGCTATGTAGCGGTCGTAGTCCGCTGGGAGGGAGATGTGCCTGAGCCATGCGGCGACCTGCTCTGTGGAATATGCACACGGCAGCGCATCTCTGAACGCCATGGCTGAGCCTGATGGACAAGTAGAGGATGTAAGTTTTTATTCCTGGCGGAGAGTCCAAGCTGGAAGTAATCAGTTGACTGACTATTCACTAGCCGAGCGGTTAACTCCCTGGTTACATAGTTACCTCCAACCACCTCCTGGCTCTACGACTTTATATGTGGCTAACAGGGAAGATACCACGAGCCATTTTCATTAAACGAACATCCCGTACTTAAATACCCAGCTACTGTTACTATAGGCTCCCTCGAGTCAGTTGACTCCAAAAGGGAAAAAGGGAAGAAGAAAAAACGGCTTCTCTGCTCAGGTGACGTATCCTGAGATAGCTTCACGATAGGACCACCCAGCAGCCAGAGCAGAAGCGCCAGCGACTATGAAGAGAGCGTTGACAGCCAACTGCTTGATAACATTCATGTCTCGCTTTCGACATCCCTTCCAGAAAACGTCCCGGCCGTTGCTTCGTGGAAACTCTTCTGCCGGCTTCTCCTTGTCCAGGAACTTGCAGAGCGGCTCCCAGCCCTGCTCGACGCTGTATTCTAGCAGCAGCTCTGAAGGCACATTCTGACGAATGTACTCTACATGCTCCCGGTATGCGGCTTTGCATTGTTGTTGAACTCTTCCTCGGCCTTCCTCTCTTCCCTGGCTCATCGGAGTCGTAGATGCTGGAGTTTGAGTGGAAGACAGCAAGGAAGTATAGTGCAGGATCGATAGAACGCTGATATACGGTATGCATGCATGAACTATGTTTTTTTTAATATTCTTGTTAGTATAACTAACTGGCTAGCTTGGTGAGAAGGGGGGAGGGGAGAGACCGTCGGATACATACGCATGCCATCCGTCAACATCGCGGGTGGGCAGTATCACTCTGCTCGACGGGTAGTGTCTGATAAATTCGGCGGCAAATGCTGCGGATGGAACGTTACGAACCCCCTTGAGACCTTCTGTTAGACATCGACGAGAAACAGACGAAAAGAAAGTAGCAGTCAGTGCCTTGGGGAGGGAGCGGCCCTGCTCACATCGTATCCGTCCAGCACCCCGTCTACTTCTTCCAAGCTGAAACCACTTTTTCCGGATAGCTTCCTTTGAGCAGCGTTAAGCCAGAACCTTGCATGTTCAGGGCCTCCGTTAGCTATATCATCGAGATCGTAGAGGTTTTCATATCCAAGAGCACCCAATGCTCGAGAAAGCGCTATTATGGGGAGTTAGAACACGGCACTCGATAACCGGCATCTTTGGCTAGCGATTGATAGCTAGCTATCCCCAAGTGGACAATATGCACGGAGGACTTACAAGTACCACCTGTTCTACTCAGTCCGAGAACAAGCAACAGGTCTCGGGTCTTTGGATTCCTATACTCACCGGTATCCCTGGGCTGCATTGTAGGCGTGAATTCCTGCTTCGAGCATTGGCTGAAATATTTTCCCGTGAGTCCTTTGGGGGACATCTTTGTCAATTTGAACCGACTGTGCAGAGGAACTTTGTCCAGGAAACGGAGGCGGGCAAGCAACTAGACTGTGATGATCGAAGATATATGGCCATGTATACCCCGTCTAATTTCCATGCTTCCTAACTAAAGGTTCACAATTCTTGCTAGTGCATAAACTTCCTTGTGTTCAACCAGCAAGTTATCAGATCTAACCACAGCTGCTACTCCAGTTATAGTTTAACTGCGGATGAGCAGATACGATTTTACCTCGGCCTTGCTGTGGATGTTTCCGCGAAGTCTGTTTCGATAAGGTGGTAGTGCTGACTATTTCCATGTGTGACCATTATCCTCTAAATCAATGGTTAAAGAAAGGGCCAGGCAGACAGGTGAAACATATAACTTTATAAGGGAGAACTGTATGGTGTGTTAGTTCCCGCTAACTACATACTTCGAAAGAGGCCTTTGAAGCTTCACCACTAGGTAGGCATCAACAGGAAAAGCGGATCTCGGCTAATTATGCCGCTGCAGCCGGCTGGTCCTGCAGTTCCCCGGGCCTCAAAAAGTAGGAGAGGAAGTATCTCTTTGCGGCTCCATCCCTTGGTTGGGTTACCCTGTGAAGAGGAGCATGTAACTGGTCATGAGATAGTCGCTGGAGAGACTTGGCTCCATGGATGAGGGCACACCCTGGTGGCGGTGGAGGAGTGAAAACCCACGTTTCTCCCTGGCCAGGCAGATTGAAATGCATCCCCCAGCTATCGCAGAAGAGCATCGTCAGGGTGCCGCTATCCTTGTGCTTGTTCTCTTGGACATCCACCGCTCGCTCAAGGGACGGCTCCGCGATCAACTTGAGTCCCGTCTCGCTCTCCATGCTCTCCTGGTGGTACTTTTCGAACGGGATCTCGAGACTCTCAGCAAGTCGCGCAAGCAGCACATGCGCCGAAGAGTGGCAACTGGAATGGAACTCGTTAATGAGTTGTGCTTGCTTCGCTAAAGGTTCTGGCAGTTTGAGTGTCCCAGCTCTCATCTCGTTATAGGATATCTATCCAAGACACACTCAGTGGTCAGTGGCCGGCTGCAACTAATAGTTGTGCATATACTGACCTCGAATGATTCATCTGTGGGGCAGAATTTATAGCTATCCACGAAAAATGAGTTGGCAATGACTTCCCAGTAGATTGTGGGTAAGAAAGGGCAATATGTGCTTTCTGACTTACCCCCTATCACTGGAGGCAGGGATATCATTCCTGAGATCTTTCAGCTTAGCCTCGGAAGGCTGTTCAAAATAGTCGTCCGCAACCTGGTAGATACTCTGAACTTGTCGGGCGATATCCTTCGTTGCTGGATCATTTCGAAAGTCGAGAAAGAAGTATCCAGGAGATGCCGCAGCTTTTAGCAGGATCTCGACTTCAGCAGCATCCCTAGCTATGAGTCGCGCAAGATCCACGGTTGTAACATCAGAAACATTGGACATAGTAGCTTGGGCCATCTTTGGTTCGTCTAGTAGCTCTAATTAGAGTGCAAGGAACTGCGGTTCTTCGAAGGAGCCCTTTCATCCGAAGATTGGGATTTTATATACGGCTCTGCTGTGGAAGTTTTGATTGCCCATCCTGAAGTGGTTGAACATTAAGATGAAGCAGCTGAGATCACTAGTGAGTTTCTCTCTTCATGCTATGTCCTGGCTCTAATTCACATGCCTTAGTACGTAATTTGGTAGCACTGGCCTAGGTTGGCAGCCTGCACATTGATGGCTGATGGTCTTGTTTTTAACCACCTCGTGGTTTAGAGACGCATTTGCGGTGATCTCGCTGGGCTGAGACAAAAACTCTAACCTCAATGTTTTCAGAGGAATCCAAAAGCATAGACAGCCCCATTGGTTTTCCCAGAAACGTATTATGCATTGAAATGTCGGCTGCATCGAGGCTGGATGGTGCAAGAAAAGCTCGAACAAAATCCTGGTGTGCACAAGCTTTAAAACCTTACCAGAAGACTACCATATCATATCACCGCAAATAGAGTCGACGAGGTATCATCCGGCAGGTATGTACGACGCATATTGTCATCCAACTATCTTACCGGCAATAGAACAGACTAAGACATGTTGCCACAAGCAGTAGAGAGCTGAGGACGATCGAAAGGATAAAAAAGTAGCTGTAGTTTAAGCTCTCAAGATCTTTGTATGTGGAGAGAAAATAAGAATATTCAATCAAAGCTTCTCTCCGTTGCCATTCTCGGTCGCTGGCCAATCTTCAGGGTACCCCTTGGCATCAGATTGAAGCCATTCATCGCTAGCTTCATATATTTGACGAATTGGCTTCAAAACCTGATTTAGTCCCGAAGAAACAGCTTCTCGGAGCGCGTCTGGGGAGATCTTCTGGCTAGCAAAGTCGTGCTCAAGATCCGTATAGTTTCGATAATGTTTGTAGGAGTTATAAACAGTGTCTGCACCAGGAATGCGAACGCTAAACAGAGTTCCATCTGGGGCATTCACGGCACAAAGCAGGTCTTGGCTATTGACCCCATTCGGCCCATGATGGGCAGAATCTTTGGCATTTTCATGGTTGAACAGCCGGAATTCGCTGATCGGCATCAGGATATGCTGCACAATCGGTAAAATGCCGTTCCCTTCTATAATGCCCGCCATGCAAGTAGCGCCAGCAATTTTTTCCTTCACGGTTTCAGGGCCATCCAAAAACATAATCTTCGTGTGTGCAGGGTGGGAAGACGACATTTTTCCACCTGTAAGGCTGGGTAGCATCTCGTTTAAAAGATGTACACGCTTTGCATAGCCGAGCTGTGGAAGGAACTGTTCTCCGAGGTTGAAGATGCCTCGCTATAAATGAAAATCAACCGATCGGCTCTCATTATAAAGGGGTATATTAAACAGGGAGAAAAGGAGCTTTACCTGGTCTTTGCCACCAAACTGAACATCAACATCAAGGTGTTCTTCAGAAAGCTCCTGGAGCAGTGGAGTGAGCATCGGGCTTAGCATTGTCGAAGCTCCAACCTCAGCTCCTGTGTCACGAGAGTCCTGCTGGGAACACAATGCACAGAGCTTCCAAAAGTCCAAGCAAAACTTATGAGTACCTTGAAATGAAGAAGACTGCACCATTGAAACTTTGGAAGATGGTACACCTATAGCTTTGAGAGCTGCCGTGATTATCGATCTGTAATACGTAGCTCGATGCTGAACTTGATCCCACGGGAATTTGTAGTTGACCAAAAACGCATACACATCAATATATTCAACGATAACCTATTCACTATCGTCAACAATCGGCTATTCTCTATAGAGAACAGCAAAATCCGGGGACATACCTCGCCTCCAGCACGAATAAAATCAGCGAACTTTATAAGAGGGATAAAGTAGCCGATGTGCGCTGGTCACTTCAGTCGAGTGTCATTGGAAAAGGGGAAGGGAACAGCTTACGCTTTCCAGTAGGGGCAGTAACTAATGGGCAGAAATACGGCATTAGTAAGGGTTCCCATGAATAGCTGAATAGTGTCCTTGCTCACCCCATTGGAATTTTATAGCCTTGTCTCGGACTAGAAGCGATTGCAGTTCTTGGGCAGATTGACCGTTCTGAACTTCCGTGCGGCGAGTGATGAGGGAATACTTCTCCTCAATTGTAAGGGGGCTTGCCATTATCAAGGATTTGTGCTAACAAAGCTGATCAGGATATTAACAACTTGTGTTTTTCAATATGAGATACTGTTGATATATAAGTTAAACTTGGTAAGTTCGGTTCGGCAGATTGCATCCTTCTCGCATTCGGTCATAGAAGGGTGGTGACGATCTGATAGGCTCGACTTCTCGGAGATGGCCAGCCTCCAGGTTAATTCAACTGCGCATGAAAGCCAGGCTTTAATGTACATAGAGTTGGCTTGGTTTGTTATACAGGTTGTTGATGCCAAAGCTTCCGGGATGACTGCGTATCCATCTTTTTACCAACTTTGCAAAGGAGGTTGTTAGACTCCACAGCCTAACGGAAGCAGAGACTAAACCCAATAGACATCTAATCAGATACAACCCACACCATGCGCTAGCCAATAGCCTTCTTTGACACGTGCATACTTCAGCTTCATACTTCGCGGTGGCAGGTTCGAAGAGCAGGGACCATCATCAATGCTCACATCAATTTTAAGCCCGGAAATGTGGACACAGCTATGGTATTGCACGGCTTTCAGTCAAGAGTAGAAGATAGAGAGGTTCGACAATATCCTTAGGTGATCACCAAGTTCCTAGGCCGGCAGAAGCCGTTGATACCACTTGTCCTGGTAACAACTAGCCGGTATGTTGTTCAAAATTATATGTTCTGATAACATACAGCTCATAGATAGGCATCAGGCAGTGGCCCCCCGCCGAGTTGCCGACCCGGTCTACGGCGGCTACTTTTGTTAGTTATTTTTTGACAGACGTGGACAAAGATGAGGTACGCTTTTCAATACGACTGGGCTTGCACAGTGTATTGACATCGTACAGATTGTCGTACCGGTCGTTTGTCCCAAATTCGATACTGGACATTCGTTCTTTGAGCAGCTCTGCAGATACAGAATCCAAAGTCGGCATGCCATTGATTTATATAGCATTTGCTATCACAGCCTTAGCCTTGGGGTGGATCTCGATATACCGCAAAAGAGACAGTAGTCGACGGAGTACTTCTCTTACTTGGAGCAAACGGGGTAAAGAAGACATCGGCTCCAGAGATACAAAAGAGAAAAACTTGAGTAGCCAGCTGGCAACAGCGGAGTGGGAAGAGCGATTTCGATTATACAAGGAGCTGTATTTCAAGCTACAGCACCTTGAAAATTATCCTGACATCATCCCCACATCAAAATCAGTCCTGCTCTCATTCCTGTCTGGAGCAATCCACTCGGCACTAGTCCAGAATGACACCATCCTCTCTATTGAAAACTTTTCGTCCCATGCTCTTGACGATATTGCAAAACGAGAGCTTGATGATGTTACTCTGGGATGGCAACGGTATCTCGAGAGGAGAAAAGCGGGCAACCCCAGAGAGCTTTTTCGCGGAAGAGAAGAGGCAAAGAGGTGGCTTGTTCGAATGGCTCCAACTAAATTTGTTGATGGTGCGTGGCTCGGTCATGTCCACAAGATCAAAACTCCCTTTGCCTACCGATCCGTCACAAAAGACGCCTGGCAAGTTCTATCAGAGGAGCTTGGTGATGGTGATTTGGACAAAAACCATGTCCAGGTGTATAAAGAATTGTTGCGAAAGGTAGGGGTGCATTTACCGGCAGGAAATTCAATCGAGTTCACGCAACATCCAGGCATGGACAATATCCAAGTATGGCAATCGGCGGTTATCCAGCTGCTCATCTCTCTCTTTCCCCAGGAATTCTTGCCAGAAATACTAGGGTTCAGTATGCACTTCGAGATGTTAACTTTCGAAACAATCGTGGCCGCTAAGGAGCTTCGGGAGCTGAATATCGATCCGTATTATTTTACGCTTCATATCACAATCGATAATGCGGACACTGGACATGCAAGGATGGCAAAAGAGGCAGTGACAAAATATTTGGAGCTGATAAAGGTTTTAGAAGGCTCAAAGGAAGCGCATAAAACATGGAAACGCGTTCAAGCTGGATACCTCCTCTCAAAATGCCTTCCGTTGGATTTGGACGTTCTAGGAGGAGCGCCGGCCTCCTTTTGCCTTTCAACACAATACGAGACAGAAGTCCTCAGAATATTCGAGTCGAAGGCGGCTGTATCAAATAGAATACATGACAACTGTCGTGCAAGCTTCGGTGGTAGAAAACTTGGGGCCTGGTTGGAGCCAGAATCCTTTAAACAGAAGAATTGGCAACTAGATTTTTTGTACTGGCTCAGCAACACAAAGCCTTGGGTGTATAAGGGCGACAGTGCTCGAAGCCGTTTTGTCCAACTAATATCATGGGGCGGGCCGATGTTTGGTGCTTTCACTCATGGTGAAGTGGACACTATCCGGGCCTGGATTAACAGCCTTACATCTAAAAATTCAAATATATACCGGCAATATACCGAGAGAACAGAGGGATCACTGGATGAATATCGGAAACCAGACTTCAACGTTGGCTATCCGGTGTTCCTCCCCGATGCGCAAGGTGATACGAGGCCAGACCATCAGCCAAAGGGTATATCCGCAACAAATTTCCCCGGGGCTCTCCAGCTGGATATCCGCTCAAGTCCGAATTTGCCTAAGCTCCTCCCACTATGGTTTTCCCACCCCTGTATTCTAGAGTCCTTCATATCTGTCCCATGGCAAACGGCAAGCAAGACAGGTTGCGCTGCTGTTAGATTCCTCCGTGCTCAATACGGATATGGCCCAGAGACGCCAGATGTAGCTGGCGTGGATGAGATGCGAAGGAGACACAGTATTGATCTGATTGATATTGGCATGGAGATGTTGGAAAGTACGGGATGCCCCTCGCCGAAGTGTTTGACAGACGTGCTGGATCAATGGCCATCACCATTCGCAGAAACGCTATTAGCTCTGTCTGTGCGGCCGCAAAAGTACCGCTGGTTTTTGCTAGGACTTGCACAAGCATTTGTGCAGCTTCATGCTGCTCTAGCATCCTCGTCTGTCCCGCTGTCGCCTCGAAGCCGAAACGCCCTTCGTCATATCATCGATCGGGAAAATAAAAACATCGCCATTCTGGTCACGAACGACGGGGTTAATGAAGTAGACCTTTCAGATCTTCACCGGGGGTATATATTGGCAAGAGAGGAAATCCAGCTAGCCTTCAGTGGTAGCTAGCCGAGTGGGCCTCTTTTTCCTTGGAGCCATTAAGGATTTCGATAACAGAGATATTGTGACACTTTCAGTATTAAAATTGTGCAAGTGTCAATGTCAAATCGATCAGTGTATGCTGTGTCCGTCGCTATAACTAGCAATTACGTCTCAGAGGCACGAAAACGGTTTGAATGAAGCTAACGACAAGGAACCGAAGACGACGTTAAATCAAACTTTGGTGGTCTGTGCGCCTCTGTAACTTCCTCGGCCTTAAGTAAATCCGGGAATTATTACATAATCTCGGGACAAAGATTATCCTTTTTAGGCTTCATCGGGCTCAAACCGTTGCAAAAGTTTTCGTACACGCTTTTTCGACTTTTCGTCAGACGATATTGAGTAAAGTAGATTTAGGTACCACGCTGCTTGAGCCTACCTGCCATGCGTCCGATACCAGTCACTCACTACACGGGCACTCTGTATCTTCAGTCAACGGCGAAAACATATACCGTTGAACACACGGGAGCGCGAACTGTATGGATGGATTCTACATGGTGGAAGGGGAGGGCTTGTGCAACTGCGATCACCGACAAAGCACGACATCTTCTTCGCCAACTACCACTGCCTTGCATATCCGTATCGAGGATATCGCGAGAGCAAACATGATGGGAGGTACTTGCCAATGAGGTCACTCAGCAAATGGTGATGCCATGCCCTCGGCTATTCGCTGGATGTCATTACGGCAGCATGTCTTAGATACGCCCTGGGGCGTATCTTGTATCATGCAACAAGAAGAACCACATCTCGGCATCTGTTCGCCTGCATGACCAGCCAGTTTCTTCTGTACAGAGTACAGAGTATAGAGTAAATTGTACCGGCTCCTCACTCGGGCGCAGTCGTACGACTTTGATATCGCCGTGAAGTTACTCCTTCATCTCTATCCGTTTCTGAACATGCAAGCTCCCCGCATAAGGTAACAACAGAGCGATTGATTGATGTACAGTGGCACCAGGTCATCCGCTTTCACTGAGTGATCTTTTATCGACAAACAAGGTAGCGCCTCCAGGGATTCTAATGTCGACTGTTATCCACTCAAAGCTGTGCACTAATCGGGAGATGTGCACCCACGGGTGTTACAATCGCAGCATCACATGGCTGCTACAATGATGGGAGCACTGAGACATCCAACGCAGATCTGTTATCCACTTCCTGCAGCTTGTGCAAGATATCTCCTGATATCTGCTTGTTTACTGCGGCTGATCCGTCTGCCTAACTGTGAATTTTCCATTTTTAGCACTTCTCGCCGCTTCTAGCTGTCGGGAGATGTACGCTCCGCGGCATCGAGTGCAACTTGGCGATGGAACAGTTCATGGGAAACAGCATGGAGGAGTCCCGATCGTGACTTTTTGGTTCAAGACATGCTTCTCGCTTCGGCAATTGAACGAGCATCTGGACGCAATGGAACTTACAGGTGGGAGCCTATAAATACCAGCAAGTCGCCCAAGCATGAGCATCCTCATTCCCTGGAGCAGCAAGCAACAGAGCACGATATCCATCAATTCCAATTCCTCAAACCAAACAATCAAAACAGCCCTCCCCAATATCAATCATGAAGTGGCTCTCTGTGGCAGCATGCCTAGCTATGAGCACCAGTGCTCTATCAATCCCCTCCCGGCCCATCGAGGAGCGAGCAACCAAAAACTGCCCGACCAACCTCTCCGGCCCATTCGAGTTCCCCCACCTGATCATTCCCATCAACTCGTCTGCCCCTAAGGTTGCTAAAGGGACTTCTTACTATGGAGAAGTCTCAACAACAATCTCCTCCATCTTCAACTTTGACATCCCCCCTCAAGGTCCCAACCTTTGCTCCCTGGTCTTCTTGTTCCCTAGTACGGAAGAACGTCCTGCCTGGACCTACACCTTTGAGGGCGATGGGAAGGTTAGCATGGCCAGACTGAAAGGGCCAGCTAACAATGGAACCACATTCGAGAATGCGCCAAAGGTGGCTACAGAGCTGGGAACGTATACACTCGCCGCGGGAACATCGAACGTGATCGCTACTTTCGACTGCCCGCTTGGCCAGGCAATCGGTTTCAAGATGTCCAATGCTGGATCAACAAACCTCAAGTACTTCCAGGACTACGGAAACCCACCGTGAGTAACGCCTTAGGGCCTCGTTCACCTCTGACGAGACCAAGATATATGCTGACGCTCACTTCTAGAATCGGACTCTACATCACTCGCTGTGCCAAATAGCTGACTTAGAGGGAGGACCCATGTCTTGAGATGATTATGAATTCCATGGCTTTTCTATTCCAACAATCCTTTTGCCTTAAAAAACATTCCTGCTGCCGAGCTTTTATATTGAACTCAGATGTAAGCAGAATGACTATTAGTTAGTAATAAAAAGAGAGTGCAACAAATCGGGGAAAGAAGAAATCGGCTTTTGAAAGGCTATACTTACGTAATCAAATAATCAGCCAGTAATATTCACATTGCCACGTCACTCTAAACTTCAGCGCTATTGTTGCCCATAAAAGCCCAGCCCCGCACCGCAATTAGGATTTTTTTTTTCTCCTCTTCCGATCCACAACAACGTCACAATCATCGATCGTTCGTGAGATACGAGTTACTTTGTCCATCCCCTGTCTTAGCTCTTGTTGCTCATACGAAGTGCTCGTATACATTCTGTTCCGTGTCGTCGAAAATTCAAAACAATGGCCGACCCTGGTGTACCGAAACTCACCGATGACGACAAAACCCTCTGACAATTTTGCGGCGAGTAGCGGCGAAATTCATGACTCTGAACATTACGAGATCGATCTCAAGGAGGATATCGATGCAACAGAGTTCCATGACACATAGAGACAATCTGATGTACAAAGCGAGAGCTGCAGACAAGCGACAGACAAATGCCGGCAGCAAAACAGAGAGAACAGAGAAACGTTAGTCGATCGTTGGAAAGCAGGAACTCTTCAAGAAAAGAAACAAAGTCTTAAAAGGTTTCGATGAACTTGATATCAATGAGTGATGGGAGGTCGATTTCCTGGCGATAGAAGTATTGGTTACTTTTGAATTAAGGTGACCCATTCACCACCTGCACGTGGAAGGTTGGTACTAAGAAGTACTGTTTATTATGGCTTGGCTCATTGTACTGGTGGTATTAATGAGAGGAGGGCCGATATCCTGACGATAGAAGTATTGGTTACTTTTGAATGATGGGGGCCTATTCACGCCCTCGAGGCACATGAAGAGTTGGTATTGAAAAGTACTGTTATGGCTTGGTTCATGGTATTGGTGATACCAGGACGGGATCCTGACGATCGAAGTACTGGTTACTTTTGAATAAAGGTGACTTGAAGGTACATGAAGAGTTGGTATTGAAAAGTACTGTTATGGCTTGGTTCATGGTATTGGTGATACCAGGTCGAGTTCTGGACAATCGAAGTACTGGTTACTTTTGAATAAAGGTGACCTGGAGGTATATGAAACGTGGTACTAAGAAGTACTGTTATCTTGGTTCATGGTACGGTGATATCAGAAAGGGGGGGTTGAGGTCCTGACGATAGAAGTACTGGTTACTTTTGAGCGAAGGTGACCTATTCACCCCCCGGAGGCACATAGAAGGCTGGTACTGAGAAGTACTGGTCTTTTTTGAATAAAGGTGGCCTCGAGGCATATAGAAGGTTGGTTCTGCGAAGCACTGGTCCTTTTTGAATAAAGGTGACCTGGTGGCTCGTGGAAAATTGGTTCTGCGAAGCACTGGTCTTTTTTGAATAAAGGTGACCTGGTGTTTCGTGGAAAGTTGGTTCTGAGAAGTACTGTTTGTTATAGCTTGGGTTCGTGGTATATTAATGAGAGGGGGAGGTCGATTCCCTGACGATAGAAGTACTGGTTACTTTTGATTTATGGTGACCTAAGGCACATGGAAAGTTGGTACCAAGAAGTACTGGTCCTTTTTGAATAAAGGTGACCTGGAGGTACATGGAAAGTTGGTTCTGAGAAGTACTGGTTATTTTTGAATAAGGTTCTGGAGGTCGGAGTACATGGTTCTAGAAGTGCTGTTTGTTATAGCTTGGTCATGGTACCGGCGAGCCGAAATGCTTTTTTTATCGCTACCCACATATTCCCGCTGTCACTGGGTCAGAAAACGATGATGTTCGGGCCCGATGCGAAGAATGAGATCGATTCCCCTTGAAACGCACTACCTTTGCCGACAAATATTAAGGAAAATTTTGCCTCATACTGGATCGTTATTGTCCCCGCTGAGGAGGCTGTCCCAGGTACCCGAGAATGGAGGTTTTTGGTCCTCGATGAATCGGGACTTTGGGATGCAAGAATGTTTCCAGGTCGTTGATTCTTTGGACGAAATGCAGTTGAACGGCGGGGACGGGGGGGGGATGAAGACTACGGTCTTGCTGGGGAAAGTGTTGACGATAGGGATGAGGACGAAGATACCTGGCTGGAGGATGTGTTAAAGGATCTCTTGAAATTCTGGGTGTCGTCCAGGACTGCAGATGGAATAGGGAGGCGGCTGTTCTATCCCCATTGATCCTTTACCTTCAAACATTCATGCTGCCGCGTCTTCTTAACATTGAACTTAGATGTATGGAGTAAGCGGAATGACTATCAGCTAGTAATGAAAAGAGACCGTCCTTAAAATAACCCGCCCATGGGCATCTTTCTAGAATAATGCTTGTGAATCCTAAGCATTAAATACGGAGACTCTATCCCTCCACCTACTCCATATAAGGAACTGCTTTGATAAACTTGCTGCATGGAAGTTCCATGGGGGTAACTAAGCCCCGTCTATCCCGAGGAACAAGGCTTCAAAGAAAAAGCAGAGACTGGGCAAAGGGGACCTGCTGCGCACTATCGTTTGACGCCGGCAACCAATGCCCGAAACTTACAGTCAGTCAGCAAAGGGGATGCGATATTGGACCCAAGGTTTCCGAGGGTCTAAGCCATGGGCAGTCGTAAGTGGGTGAGTTAACGAGATGGTTGTTGCTGGCGGGAATACGAGGAGCAAAGCCATGCCAACGGCCCCGAAGAGGGCGTCATATTAAAGGAGAGTCTTCATAAATAAATACCAGCAGTTTGCTCTGGAGGTAAGGCATTTGCCATTTTTTTATAATATTCAAAGATAATACAATCGATCGGGGTAAAAAAGAGTGCCTGTGGACTTTGGACATTCGATACTAAACGTCCAAAGCAAGGCTGAGAATATCTACTTTATATTTGAACCCCCCAGGATGGAGCGGAAGGAAGCTCCAGATCCAGAATATAGTGAGCATGAGATAACTATTCCCAGCCTCGAGAAGAGCATGAAGATAGGCAGACTACAGGCAAACGATGCTGAGAAAGCGGCGATAGCGCCAGAGGTCAACGTTGCGCCTACTGCACCACCATATCTCACAGCTACAAGAACCATAGCATCGGCAGTGGCTTCTTCGTCAGCATACAGCGACTACCCCCGTCCGGTCCCTATACATGCGTCGTCAATGTCCTCTTCGGAGGCATCATCCTCCTCCACTATTTCAAGAAGGCCTGCTCACCCCGGAGCTGAGTCGAGAACAGCGTTTGCCTGCCTGTCGATGCACATGACGGACCGGATCAGACTACTGAGATTCCCACCAAATGTAGTCCCTGAGATAATCGAGATGATACGGATAGGCTGGCCAAAGGGGATCAACTCTCCGCGTGAATACAGCCAGTCTCTCGAGATCAAACTGAACGGAACCCCGTGGTCACCGCACTCATGGGGAGAGTCTCGGATCCACGCTCGTAAGCTGATGGTACAACTGCTTGACGGGCTGTACCGGCGAGGATGGATTGTGAAGGTATCCGTAGATATCGGGCATGTCGGTGAGTTGACACTCCGCCTCTTTAATTACCAATAGGATATCCAATAAGTATGTTCCACGCCTTCTTCGGCCGGTTGCTGATTCTGGCAAAAAGACAGTTTATTCTTCCGCTACCAACAGCCTGCTCCGCCGCCGTGTATATGGACGAGCATATCCTTCCACCACTCGGACAGGCTGCGCATCGTCGACGCACCAACCGGCTTTGGCTTGTCTCTGGCTGATGCACTGGGCTCGGAAGTTGAGAACTGCCAAGTGAAGGGGACCATGTTTGAGATCAAGCTTCGCGGGAGTCCCTGGCGAGCCGTCGGATCCAAGACGGTGATGACTCGGGTCATCCTTTTGATGCTTATGGATTTCCTCGAGCAGCAGGGATTCAGCCTGTATGCCGCCATTAATCACAACAGCAGACGCTCCAGAGACTCCAGCAACGCGGAGGCCGATACGTGGTACTGCAACCGGCCCGTCGACTGGAAGCCCGGCCAGTTTGTCTACCACGGATAAGTAGTAGCAGCACCACCTTTATATCGGCCTCCTAACCCCCCCCCCTTTTGCCCCTTTCCCCTTTCTCGCCATCAGCCGTCCTGCTTTGTGCGCTTCTTCCCGTGATACCATAATCAGCCAGATAGTTAGCAACTCTCCGTAGCGATATCAAAGCGTTTCGTTCCGTCCAAGCCTCACAGTGGTGCAAATGATCTTACGTGGCCGCGGCGACGTTTCCCTTTCTCTCCCCCACAGCGCCTAGAACGCAGCCCTCAACTCGCGCCAGCCACCCTTAGCTCGTGGCTAAACAGGGTAAAAGAGCCAAATGGCTGCTTAAAGCAAGGCCAGAAAGCGTATCTTCGGTGCAGGCGCTGCTGTGTTTCCCTTCCATGACGCGTCCCACACACAGGCAGGGACAAGGGCCGCAGATGCGAGGGGAGCGCTCAGCCTGAAGAAAAGGCAGCGAATCCTGCGGCGTGTATCAGCCCGAGAGGCCCGGGAACGAGAGAGAGAGTCGACGGAGCGCAGACAAGCCGTATTCCAGCTGGAGTCAAGAGCTGTCTCTCTTCAACACGTATGTTCATCGTAGCAAAGTCGTTTATGTAGTTGTTTAACCGCTCCAAGGTCAACCGTCCTCCTGGTCAAGTCAAAGGCTTAAAAAAGGTAGCGTTTCAGCCCCGGGAGCAGAAGCAACGAGGAAATGTTATTAAATATTTAAATATATGGGACTCGCTGAGCGTAGTTAAAGCCAACCCGAAAGAATTCCACATATCACAGCGCTTGCTTTTTCACAGCAGCGGGTTCTTCTTGTTTATCTTCATCTTCTTCTCTGCTTTCTTTTTCCTTCGTCTTTTCTCTGCTTTTTCTTCTGTTTCGTCGTCGTCGTCGTCTTCGCTCGATAAAAGGCTTCACCGACCAGCTCGACCATGCTCGCGAGACCTCGTAGAAGAAGCTGATATCGATCCCTCCTGTCTCCGTCTCGCTCCTCTGTCTGCTGCATATCTCAGCCTCTGCCTGTCTGCCTGCCTACCGATCATTCGCTTTCCAGAGCTTCGAGTAGAAATCGAGCCGCCGGGTTGAAAACTCCGTGTAGCCATGGACGCTCAGCTCCCCAGCAAGCTCCCGTTCTCCAAGAAGAGACTGCGCGCAAGAATAGTCATATCGTGAGTGAAGACGGACGACCCCTGGCACATATAGCTATAACTAGCTATAACCGAACTGCTGTGTTCCCGGCTAACAGAAAGCGCCTGCAGATATATATCAGACTATGTGATCCTCATGTTAGTCGCACGCTGCCTCCCAAGACGGCGCGAAGACATGCGACCGCTTTCCCTATCGAGAACTGACTCTTCAATGCAGTGCGCTCATCGTAGGCTTCTTCATCCTCGACCGGGTCGAGCCCTTCCACCAGCCGTTTGCCCTGCAGAACTACACGCTGCACTACCCGTACGCGGTCAACGAACGAGTGCCCATCCCTCTTCGCCCTTGCGATCTCCGGCGGCTTCCCCCTGCTCGTCATCCTCGTCTACACCATCGTCCTGGACGGGCTGTTCTCGCATAGCAAACCAGTCAATGTTGCGACGGGGAAGCGGAAGATGATGGGCAAGTATAGGCTCAAGGACCGGCTGTGGGAGCTGAACTGCGGCATCCTTGGGTTGGTGCTGGCCCAGGGAGCGGCGTTCGTGATCACCGGCGCGTTGAAGAATGCGTGCGGTAAGCCTCGACCGGACCTGATCGATCGATGCAAGCCTAGGACCTTTGACCAGCCGGAGTTTGGGCTGTCGAATTATACCATCTGCACGCAGACGAACCATGAGATCCTGAAAGATGGATTCAGATCGTTCCCATCAGGTGTGTACTGACATTATTTATTTATTTTAATGCAACCTTTACTGACTTTCTTAATCTAGGGCATAGCAGCTGTACGTATCAATTGAGAAAAACCAAAAGTCTGAATATCAGCTAACTTACACACCTATAGCTTCGTTTGCTGGACTCTTCTATCTGTCGCTCTACCTCGCTGGAAAGCTTCATGTCATGGACAGCCGTGGAGAAGTGTGGAAGGCGTTCATCGTCATGGTGCCTACGCTCTCTGCTGGATTAGTGGCGGTATCCCGCATCATGGACGCCCGGCACCACCCCTTTGACGTCATCTCAGGCTCCCTGTTGGGCGTCGGTTGCGGCTGGGTTGCATACCGCCAGTACTTCCCATCCCTCTCAGAGCCCTGGAAGAAGGGCCGGGCGTACCCTATCCGTACCTGGGGATCGATCCCGGAACCCCCAGTGTATACCCACCGCCGGCTTCTCGAGTACGAGAACGACCAGGTGAAACTGGTCCCTCGTACAGATGAAGAATATCAGGCCGCTGAAGTTTCCCAAGACCCGCCACATGGAGTTCCTGAGTCGACTCCGGCGCTTATGAGCAACCCCTTTGAGCAACAACAGGTTCAGAGGCGCAGGCGACTTGCTGATCCTGACTATGGTGCGTCTAGCAGTGAATCTGAAGGTTATGAGATGCAGCAGACCAGATACGAACCTAGACACCACCAAGCTGCTGAGACCAGCTCAGATGCTGCGCCCAGATACGCCGCCTACCATCCTGACAACAGAACGCCGTCTAGCAGCCCGCCACTTGAGCGTCACCCTGCATCTCTCGTCAAATCATGAACAAGAAACGTCTCTCTCTGCCATGATAACGTCATGTCCCTCTGTGTTTTTTCCCCTTTCTTCTGCTTTCGTTCTAACATCTCACATATGATACCTATGTCGTGATCACTTCCATCTTCATGTCAAATCCACCCCCCTCGATGTTATATTATAATTCCTCGTCTTTTTTCTTTCTAACGTATACGTTTTTGCATCTTCTTCATGCTCCTTGTTTGGCGCTTCTTATGAAAATCTGAATACCCGGTTCTTCTTCCTGGATTACGGTGAATAAGCTGGCTCTCGACTTGGTCTAGAGTTCTCAATCATTTGATAATAATACCCCCTTTTTCTCTCTCTTGCATAAAGCAGCATATAAGAAACATTTGATCTTTCCATACGGTATTTCTTTCACTCTTCTCTTGCTTGGTTGCTTTGCTTCGACCTAGCTATCTATCTATTGCTCGCTGGTAGCCGGGCAACTAGCTGTGTTGTTCCAAAGCAGGCCTCACATAGGAATTTGCCCTATAAAAAATAATAAACAAAGATCAATCTCGCGCTTCTTTCTCAGCTTCTCTTTTACTTCTACACCAATCTCCTCCCACCATCATATTTCAATATCAGTCACATTCTCACAGTCACTCGACTTGCATACGCATTAAGGATACTCTACAGCCATCTAATATCAACCAATCTACCTACCATCTTCCAGAGATACATCCTTTTCTCCCAAGCTCTAGCAAAAATGCCTGTTGTGTGGGACGACAAGGCGGACGCTTTGGTAGGCGCAATCTTACCGCGTACTCTTCTATAGCATCAAAACTAACCAGCCTATCTACAACCAGCTCCTCGCCTCGATTCTGGCTACTGCCAGCACTAAGGTCGACAATGCTGCCGTCGCTAAGATGATGGGTGGTGGTAAGTGAAGCTCCAAATCAACGTCTAAATGAGATATATCTCATATCTAACAATCATATAACTATGTAGAATACAATGCGCTGGCGATCAGGAACCGCATCGCCCGTATCAAACTGAAGGCAAAGGCACCAGCCACCAGCGACACCGAGACGCCTGCAAACACTCCGCAGAAACCCAAGGCAGCCAAACCAGCTGCCGAGAAGAAACGTAAAATCAAGGACGAAGCTGAGCCTGAGAAGAGCGAGCTGGTCGAGAAGCAGGCTCCGAAGAAGACCAAGAAGGCCGTCAAGGCTGAGGCCAAGGAGGAAATCAAGGGTGAAGATGATTGAATATCGTATCCTGTCTCTATCGATCAGCTTTGGAAGACACATATGGGCTCTTTTCTACTGCTCTACTTCACTGCTTTTCACTTAATTACGTACGGACACTTAGCTAGCTGGTGAATTGAACAAGATCCCCTTACGTTAGCCAAAACAAGCATCTCGGTAGACCTTCTCGAAGCCGTGGTTGCATCAAAGTCTGAATGCTATATATCTAAAAGCCAACCGTGGAACCGCAGCCGCCGTTAACTCAATGCCCAATGCCCTAAATGCCCGAAAGAGTCCCTCCGTCCGCCCTCTATGTCACCATCCATCTCTTCAAATGGCCATTATTTGAATGCAGGGATCCGCCATCCAACGACGTCACAGGCGATGCTGATTGGCAACTTGGCCCGTTTCCATGACAGCAAGCCACAGCTCAAACATCCCTGGTCTTTTTCCTTGCTTTTTTTTCTCCTGCTTGTCAATCTCCCAGCCTCAAGTATTTTATCACAGGGCGGTTGCTAGCCATGGACGGGCCATGGGGATCCCAAGGGTTGGCCCGGCGATAAATAGATTCGTGGCTCGCCTGGTTGGGTGCTACATCTTTGCGACCTTGTTTCTCTCTCCCGGCAACTCGCAGTGTCGATCTGTTCCTGTCCAACTGTCCTGCATATCCAAGTAGCTGACGAGAGCAGGTAGATACATACAGTGTACATACATACCTTCGTCGCAAAGTTGGTCGCCTTGTTTACTACAGCATAGCTAGCTGCTAGCTGCTCGCTTATACTCCGCTGTCCCTCTCTCTCTCTCTCTCTCTGGTGAAAACCTCAAGTCGCATTCAAGATGTTTTCCAGCATCTTCTTCATCTGCTGGCGAGTCGGCCAGTTGATCACTCTGATACCGCCAATTGGCATGCTCGTACGTCGTCCAGCCAGCTCATCAAGAAGCGCCCCATGATACTGACGTTTATCCCCAGGCATGGTTCATCGATGGCTTCGTCAAGGCGAACATCATCACGCCAACCTACATCCTCGTCCTCTTCATCGTCAGCGTCCTCGGCGGCGTCTGGGTGCTCGAGACCCTCTTCCGCTTCAAAAACACAAAGCGCTCAGCCATCTTCGTCTCGTTCGTCGACCTCTGCTTCTTCGGCGCATTGATCGCAGGCGTCTACCTCCTCCGCAACATCGCCGGGGAGAACTGCAACAACTTCTCGCGCAGCAAGTTCCTCCTCAGCCTGGGTCCGTTCGGATACTATGGCCAGCAGCAGAACAACCCGCTCGCGAGTAACCCAAACAAAGTGTGCTCCATGCTGAAGGCTTCCTTTGCGTTCGGCATCATAAACATCATCTCGTTCTTCTGGACTGCCGTGTTCGCATACTTCATCTCTCACCATGAGGAGCATCACGAGAAGCGCTCGCGCAGGGGAAGCCACTCCAGCCGCCGAAGCAGCCACCACAGGCATCGAAGCAGCTCTGGAAGACGCGGCTCGTACAATGTCTAACTTACCCTTATCGCCCTCCCTTCTCTTCATTTCCTTTCTCCCCCATTCCCTTAGACTGCTCGCTAGGAACACACGGGCGTGTTGTCTTTCACGACTGACGACGGAAACATCGGCGGATAAAACTGGTTGGTTTGGCTTATGTAGATAACGACTGATATGTTAAATAGTGTGAAATAATACTTTGTCTCTATGATCTATCTCCTTGCTTAACATTGAAAAACATAAATTTCCGTATAGACGCAGTCGACCTTATATACACTATCTACTGCTCTTACCAAGGCCTACAGACGCATTTACACAACCTTTCCTCGTACGAAGTCTAATATGGACGGACCACTGGACGCGGGTCCGTTCTACTATGTCCGATGTGGGCAACGATTAGATCAGATAACTCCAAATATTCTATAGAAACATCATCATCCTACCGTATAACTATAAAGGTGAACAATGAGTGTCAAAGATCAACCAATCTGAAGAAATTCGTAGCGTCTTGATACCTTTCATGCCTCTTGTGTTTGGCAGACGCCGGTATTGCTTATGTAAGCAAAAGAGCGTTTCGGCTTAATATTTATCCCCAGCTCATTACTAATTGATGACTAATAATAACACGTGCTACGGGCCGGTATTTATAATTCACGTAAGGTCTATTAATAAACGGATATAATAATGCAAACAGCATAAACTTGCCGTTTTTAGTAAATACCTTCCCCATTACCCTTCTCTCTCCGCCGCTGCCGGCCTAAACTCCGCATATCAGCAACATCCTTGCTTTCCTACAGAAGAAACAATGTCACAGCCTGGAGATATCATACACCATTAGTCCACTTGCTCGTCATCTCCAGGCTACTTATGTATACCCAATAGTGGCCCCTTCGTCTTATTCCCTATCTTATCTCTTGTGTTTTTATTAGTTACGTGAATAATGTCACATTATTCACTGTTGATTGGTAGCGATGGTTTCCATCGAAGACTCTCCCTCCTATTACAAGAAGCCTGTTGAGAAGATCCGAGCAGATCAATATCCCCTGCTGAAAGGTTAGCTTAGCGCCGTATTTATCCCTACAGACAAACCCTTTATTCTATATTGCTTGCACATAGCTTGTAAGCTACCATCAATTTTGGGAGACATGTGCTAACTCATTTATTCCAAGATACGACATACCTTGATCATGCAGGGACAACCCTCTATGCGAAATCTCTAATAGAGTCATTCTCGCAGCGCCTAACAAGCAATCTCTTTGGGAATCCCCACTCAGCGTCTTCGTCTTCCCAATTATCAACCAGTATAATCGACGATGCGCGGCTACGAGTCCTTCGTTTTTGTAATGCAAGCCCAGAAGACTTTGATGTCGTCTTTGTGGCTAACGCAACGGCTGGAATAAAGCTTGTTGCAGAAAGCTTACGGGATAATGAACCAGAGGGGTTCTGGTACGGATATCATGTCGATTCTCATACCAGTCTGGTTGGTGTCAGAAACATGGCGGATCTCGGAAGCAGATGCCTTGTAACTGACCACGAGGTAACCAGTTGGATTAACCAGCTGCACAATGACTACAATAAGCCAGAGTCCCCCTGTCTGACTCTCTTTGCATACCCAGGCCAATCAAACATGACTGGTCGCCGGCTACCACTCAGCTGGTGCAAGGAAGTTCGTGCCTGCATCGGCAAAGACAGGAAATGGAGAGCTTTCACTTTGTTCGACGCTGCATCCCTGGCCTCTACGTCGCCCCTGGATTTAAGTGACACTGCCTGCGCACCGGATTTTACCGTTGTCAGCTTCTATAAGATCTTTGGTTTTCCTGACCTCGGAGCTCTCATCGTTCGCAAAGATGCTGGCCATCTTTTTCAGAACAGAAAGTATTTTGGCGGAGGCACAGTTGGGATGGTCTTAGCTGTTGGAGAACAATGGCATGCCAAAAAGGACTCCACTCTTCACGACCAGCTTGAAGATGGCACCTTACCTTTTCATAACATTGTTGCCTTACATTCCGCATTTGACGTGCATGAACGTCTTTACACCTCTATGGATAATATATCTCGCCATACTGCAGAAATGGCCAGGATACTATACGATGGACTCTCATCTTTGGAGCATGGAAATGGCGCAAAAGTTTGCCAGATCTACAAAGGACCGGGAGGATATGCCGAACGCACCCTCCAAGGTCCCATCATATCATTCAATTTGAAAGACAGCACTGGACGCTGGATAAAAAAGTCAGACGTGGAAAGGCTAGCTGCTGTCAAAAATATTCAGATTCGTTCCGGCACACTATGCAATCCTGGCGGGATGGCGTATTATCTCGGCCTGAAGCCGGGTGATATGAAACGCAACTACAATGCTGGACAGCGATGTGGAGATGATAATGATATCATTGCTGGAAAGCCTACGGGTGGCCTTCGTGTCAGCCTAGGTGCCATGACATCAAAGCAAGATATCAATACCTTTCTTGACTTCATTCGAAACTTTTACGTGGAAAACTGCATAATTAGTGAGCCGAAACCTCAAAAAGGAACTCTAAACCCAGCTATCCAACCATCACCATCACACTTTTATATCGAGAAGCTCTGTATCTATCCGATTAAGAGCTGCGGAGCATTCACTATCCCCGGATCGACGGAATGGAACGTCAAGCCAGAAGGACTAGCTTGGGACAGAGAATGGTGTTTGATACATCAAGGAACTGGTTCCGCTTTGAACCAGAAAAGATACCCACGAATGGCGCTGATACGGCCTGTCATTGATCTCCCTAGAAGCACTCTACGAGTCACCTTGCCAAGTCCGGGGCCACACGGAGATACCATGGAGATACCATTATCTGTTGATTCCACTGATCTTGCTGAAGGACAGCTTTGCAGAAATTTTACAAAACAGCAATCGACCGTTTGTGGAGATACGGTCTCGGTGCAAGTGTATAAATCTGCTCGGCTAGCAAGCTTCTTCTCAGATTTCCTTGGTGTTCCTTGTACGCTTGCAAGATTTCCGCCACAGCAGCATCATTCAGCAGCACGATTCTCTAAATCATACCGAAACCCTATTAAGGAGCTTGTACATAACCCGAATGCCGTAGACAAGATACCAGGAGCCTTTCCCGAACCTATTGCATCGGGCACACGACGTCCTATTCTCTTATCCAACGAAGGACCTATCCTCATTATATCTCGTTCAAGCGTTAATAATGTCAACGAAAGTATAAAATCATCCGGCAAACCGAACTCCGCCTCCAGGACCGTTGCAGCAGATGTATTCCGGGCCAACATCATTGTCTGCGAAAAAGCTGCTGCTCCCGCAGCTGATCTCGTCCCGGCTTATCGACCATCAGCCGTTTGTGAACAACCATATATTGAAGAGCTCTGGACTGGATTCCAGGTTGGAGATGCTCATTTTGACGCTCTTGGGTCTTGTCAGAGGTGTCAAATGATCTGCATTGACCAGCATACTGCGACACGTAGCGATGAGCCGTTCTCTACGCTGGCAAAGACTAGGAAGGTTGATGGAAAGGTTTACTTTGGTAAACATGTTTGTTTATCTAACAAATCTGAGGATAAACCTATAACAATCAAAACGGGTGGGTTACTGATTCCATTTTACAATTGAAACTAGCGATATATCTACCAAATTTCAGACGATTTGTTAGACAGCGTTTCTTACCGTGTACCATTGGCGGCCATCGTGACTTTCTTTTTTTAAGTATCTGCCTATGGATTTGTATAGAAATCTTATGCATATTTTAGATAATTTATAACACCAATGCAACAGCTGCATTATCTCGCAAAGTAGGATACAGCGGCCCGTTAACCACCAAACTCCAATAATATAGTACATTTGAGTTACAATTGAGGGTTCTTCAAGCACGTAATAAAGAAAATCACGACCGAGGGTACTTCTTCCAGCCACGACCATGACCACGCTATAGGAAGAAAGATGTATGTTAGTTGACAATGCTCATTCAGAAACACAGGATAGGAACAAACGAGAAGCCTTACCTGTTTCCATAACCGGATCATTTCCGGCATCTCCAACATGGCCTTCTTCCTGTCTTCTAGCTTTCCTCTCATGGCTCTCTCCCACTTGTGACCCTTAACCTTCTGGCCAACACCAGTACCCTTGACTCTGAGACCCTTCTCAAGAAGCCTTGCTTGCTTATATTCGGTTGACTTTCGGCCTGGAGGCAATAGCTCTTCAACACCATATTTGATGCCCAATTTCACCAATTCTGCCTGTCGACGCAATGATACGATAGCTCCTCGCCATCGTCCGGTTTCTGGGTTCTTATATGGGAGGAAAGGGTTTGGGTATAGCCCGCTGGATTCGGAACGGAGCAGGGAGTCTGTGTATGAAACGGAATTGGCATCTTTGGTCTTCGAAAGCTTGACCTTTGTGTTTCGTGATGCAAAGGGGCTTGGAGCGGGTTTAATGACAGCAGAGGATTCAGAGCTGCCGGTGGATGATTCTTGCTGTGGTAGGGCCTTCGGTATAGCTTGTGAAGAGTAGTACTGTGGTGGATAACGGGCGAAGAAATTTCGGAGGCGGAGTGGGAGGCCTTCAACGAGGCCGAATGCTGCTTGTGTCGTCATTGTATGTCTGTAAAAGGGCACAATGCCTGCTCGAATGCGCCTTTTTGGAGTTGTTGCAGCTTGGCCCTTATTCTCATCGTCGACTTTCGATCTTTCGATCTTTGCGCAAAAGGTTTTTGACTCACGTGATGTTCGCGGCTGTATTATGTAATCATATCCGCTCTTTTTTAGCGCTTTCGCCGTTCTCCAACATCAGTTTCTCACTTGACGCTGAACGCGCGCTGACCTGCATTTTATTTCCACAAGGCACGACGACGAAGAGGCAGAGATTCGCTGTAATACTCTGCCGTAGTTGCCGTGACTATCAGTTGAAACGCCCCATTGCCGCTACTTTTGAGCAATATGGCAGACTTGGTCTTTGGTGGGACTGACGAGGAGAATGAAGAGTTGAAGAAGCTCCATGCTGAAGTGGTAAGCCTACCTTGGATTTTTCTTGAGCTTTCGTGGAATGCCACGGTTGCTTTTGTCTTGTTGGCTTCGCTAACATAAATACGTTATAGCTCGAGGATACCGATAGCTTTGAAGCATGGGAAAAACTGGTGCGCGCGGCTGAGAGCCAGGAAGGTGGAATCAATCGTAATTCAAGCCCGCAAGCCATAACAGCTACAAGAACTGTATACGATCGGTTTCTTGCCAAATTTCCTCTTTTATTCGGGTACTGGAAGAAATATGCGGACCTAGAATTCTCTATTGCCGGTACTGAGGCCGCCGAGATGGTCAGTATTTCACTCACTGTTCTATTTGAGAATCATATGTACTGACTGGTGCCATCATTTTCTGCCTAGGTTTACGAGCGTGGAGTTGCTAGCATTACAAACTCAGTCGATCTTTGGACAAACTACTGCACATTCAAGGTTGAAACGTCGCACGACACTGATATTATTCGAGAGTAAGTATAATATGTTGGTTCCCTTCCCTATAACCATACCGACATAGCGCGTGAGTCGTTCGCAATCTTGAGGTCATGTAGGGCAGATCGATGATATCATGGTTCCTTAAATGGGTGAGATAGTCATCTGTCATCTCAGTTTCGTTGAAACTACTTCTCACCCATAAGATTCAGGCTGCCTTTGCTTCGCACACTACTTGGATATTGTTCGGGAATCCTTCTCCTATGTCACGCACGGATGATATAGCCACACCTACCTCTATTAATCGTTGACTTGACTCGGCACCTCATTTGAAGATTTTAAATGCATATGCCATGTTTGACATCCTTTCCCACCACCCTTCCTTTTACCCCCATCCTCTGCTTCCCCTTTCTTATCTCCCCTTTGGGATTGATTTTTACTGACCCGCTTACTATAGGCTCTTTGAGAGAGGTGCCAGCTGTGTTGGTCTTGATTTCTTGTCACATCTATTCTGGGACAAGTACATTGAGTTTGAGGAGCGTGTAGAATGTTTTGACAAGCGATTTGCAGTGCTCAGCAAAATTATCCAGATACCAATGCACCAGTACGCTAGGTATTTCGAACGATACCGACAGTATGCTCAAGAGAGACCCTTGCATGAGCTCCTTCCGCCTGAGACTCTAGCTCAGTTCCGAGCTGAGATAGAAAATGCGGCGGGTAATGTACCCCCTGGTTCAAGGAGTGAGGCTGAGGTTGAGAGAGACATCCGGCTCCGAGCTGATGGTCATTTCCTGGAGATATTCTCCCGCACTCAAACGGAAACTACAAAACGGTGGACTTACGAATCCGAAATTAAACGACCTTACTTCCATGTTACTGAACTAGACGAAGGTCAGTTATCAAACTGGAGAAGATATCTAGATTTTGAGGAAGCAGAGGGTTCTTTCGCCCGCGCCCAGTTTCTCTACGAAAGATGTCTTGTGACGTGTGCCCATTATGATGAATTCTGGATGCGTTACGCAGCATGGATGTCCGGCCAAGAAGGAAAGGAGGAGGAAGTTAGAATTATCTATCAAAAGGCCAGTTCCCTCTATGTTCCCATATCTCGCCCAGCTATTCGACTCCACTACGCCTACTTTGAAGAAATGGCTTCAAGAGTTGATATTGCTAAGGATATCCACAATGCTGTCCTCCTTGCTATGCCGGGGCACATTGAAACCATAATATCTTTTGCGAACTTATCACGTCGCCATGGTGGCTTAGATGCGGCCATTGAGATTTACAAAACTCAACTTGATTCTGCAGAATGTGATATTCAGACCAAAGCAGCTCTTGTGGCTGAATGGGCCAAACTTCTTTGGAGAGTCAAGGGTACCCCTGATGAAGCCCGGCAGGTCTTCCAAAAGAATCAACATTGGTATCCGGACAGCCGTCCTTTCTGGACAAGCTATCTTATGTTCGAGCTAGAACAGCCAACTAGTGCCGAAGTTGAGCCTGCACAATATGAACGTATCAAGCAGGTTATCGATGATATTCGCAACAAAAGCACATTGCCTGCCGAGGCAGCCAAGGAACTTCTTCAGCTTTACATGGTTTACTTGTTGGAGCGAGGGTCCAGTGAAGCTGCCAAAGAGTACATGATTCTTAACCGTGAAGTGAACGGGCCGCCATCGGTTCAGTCAGTTATGAAGTCATCGCTTTCAAAGGAGACGCAGGACAAACTGGTGATTGAACAAAGTCCTAATTCTATGTTCAGACCTGATGTTCCCGCCCCAGCTCCAACAGTCTAATTCTACACTTACCGGTCGGTGGCCTACGCAATGTTTGTTAACCTTTGTAATCTACAGTGGGTGTTTAAGCCGGTTGGGTGGTTTCCTTTCCTTTCTTTCTCTGCCGTTATTCTATCTAGTAGCAAGAAATAAATCAAATACAGTTGCAAATTCTCTTTCTAGGCTCCTCCTCAACACCAAGATGATGCCTACCATTCGTATGGTTACGGTATTACGGATTCCCATAGGTGAGAGTGGTGACACATTCCACTTTCGGCAGCTTCTCAAGGTCGGGTATGCGTGAGCGCCACGAACAGAAATCCGGGTAAATCGGAGCTGCTCGACAGCAGGCTGGAACCGAGGACAGGTCTCGAATGCAGCGCTTAGTGACTCTATAAAGCAAAGCTATTAATTATAGAACTGCCTTCTATACAATATTATGTGGGTTGAGATTTCTTAACCAGAATAAGTTGATACAGGACTAGAGACAATACATAGCTAAGGAGGTTACCACATATCTTAGCTGTCTTCTATATCAAGCTTGAACCCACCTACACAGCCTCTCTGAAACAAGCCGTCTGGGTCATACTTCTTGCTTACACTGCGCAAAAGTTTTGCGTTTTCCTCTCCGTATCCTTCAAATGGTCTCTGCCAGTCTCCACAGTAGTTCATATATCGATACCGATGGCTGGTTCCATTAGCAGTAGCAGCAGCATCGATCTGCTCAATTGCCTCACGAGTCAGTTTCTGACAGAGCTTGTCATCATTCTTCTCAATCCAGTTGACGGTAAAAGAGACAATCACAAGAGGCTCCTTAGTATCAGCTAAGCCGAACGGGTTTCCGTCACAGCCTTCCCCGGCCCAGTTTGCTAGCATGGGCTGTAGGACAAGCGTCCATGACATGCCCTTAATATTAGCTTTTTTGATAGGCGCAATGGCATCTTTATAAGCCGTATAAACAGCTTGCAGAGTAGCCATATCATTCTTGATAGTTGTCGTGGCAAGGGCCTGCCGCCTACCAGCGGGGTTGAGAGAGTTCATCTCATCACAAGCATCTGCGAGCGGACGGACCTTGCAGGTGCTCCAAAAGCGCCAAAGTGGTTTGAAGCCCGAAGTTTCCCAGCACTCTGGCCACTTGTTCTTCTTCTCAGGGAGTTTTGTGTGAACAAGGTTAACCGAGACGGCCTGGATACCAAGCTGCTGTAGATAAGTGAAACAAGCGATGGGACCGGATGCGTGACGGTCATATGTAACGCCAGTATTGTCAGGGTGAGCTCTGTGTACAAAGTCGTAGAAGGCATGGAGGGCCTTTTGGGCGCTGCCGGATGGCATATAAAGGAAACCGCTCCAGATATCGGTGGAGGGGAAGCTGCGGAGAGTAATCCTGGTGAGGATGCCGAAGTTGTTACCGCCGCCTTTTAGGGCACGCCAGAGGTCGGGGTTAGATGTGGGCGAGGCCGTGGCAGCCGTTCCAGAGGCCAGTACGACTTCATAGCTGAGAACGTTGTTGCATACCGAGCCGACTCGTTGAGAGAAGAAAGAAATTCCACCTAATTGTATTAGCTCTGGTTAACCGAGAGTAATAGCGGGAGAGATGCTTTTCTTTTATACCTCCTAATGTCAAGCCGCCGACTCCAACGTGTGAGTTTCGTCCACCAGCAACCGCAAGGCCCTTCGCAGCCAGTGTCTCAAAAACCGGACCCCATCTGGCTCCTGCGCCGATAACGACACTCGATCCGTCCTCCGATGGGGTCACATCGCTAAACAAGCTCATATCAATCATCACACCGTCTTCAATGCTCGCGGCATGAGAGACCGCTGAGTGACCGCCGCTACGGACGGCAAATAAGCCACCCGACTTAATCCCACCTTTCTCACCATCCCGATCCCTTCGTCTGTCGTACTCTCCTTTGAGAATAGTGACGGCGGTGCAGAGCTGGTCGACGTTCTGAGGCCTGAAAACGCACGCTGGCACAACCTCACACTCCTGCTGCGCCCAGTAGGTGTTCATTGACTTTCTGAAAGTTGCAGCATCTTGAGGCAAAACGACAACGCCCTCTGGCAGAGCAGATGCGAGGAGCTTGTTGAGCCGTATGGCAGCTTCCGACGAGCGAACTATGAGCTCTGCTGCCTTGGGCTCCTTCGAGCTTCCTCGTAAACGACGCATAGCGAAGAAGACAGAAATAGCAACCAGGAGAGTCGCTGCAACAACTGTCGTGCTCATCTTGACTTGCTTGCCTACTACTCCTCTGCTTCTTCTTCTTCTCGTCTTCTTTAGTCTTCAGATTCTCACAGCGACAAGAACAAGGCAAGGCTGGGAGAAGAAGAGGTCGCAACGCGCCCTTCAACGAACAGCAACCCTGGACGCAGCTACCCCCCGCCGTACCTGTGCGACAGCTGCCTTTGATGCGCAACAATCTCCTCTCTTAATCTCAAACCAGCCCCCAAGGCTGCAGCTGCAGCTGCAGCTTCCCTTCACAAAGCTGTCTCAGCCCACCCACGTTCGCGCCTTGTCGAGTGATCGACAGCCAAACCCAACATGCGTCATTATTGGGAGATCAGAAAGCAAAAAAGAAGCAATTAAGGTTTTAAGCAGGTGTCTTTAACTTCCGGCCGTGCGAACTCTATTCTCCACATCTCTAAACCTTCATCCTTCGCCAGCATAAAAATATTAACTACAGAAAGTCTAATACAAAGGCTGGTGATGAAAACGTCGATGCTGGGCCTATGACAAACAAGGCACGGGAGCGGAAGGGTGAGGAGAAATCCTTCAGAATCTTTATCATGAGGGGAAAACGGAAAAGGTCAACCGGATCTCCGCGGCTAGACTGAACCCCGGTCTACACCTTTGAGGCAACGGAGCGCTTCCTGACCAGCAGCGTCATAAAGGGACTGGGCACTCTGACCTTGCCAAAGGTCAGGAACGGGGCCATTGTTGGGTTTTCGAGCTTGAACTCATAGTCGAGAAGAAGATGTGAGAGCACCATTTTGATGACAACGGAGACATAGAAGCGTGCTGGGCTGGTCCGGAAGTTAGAAATCTATACTTGAGGCCAAGTCCGAAAGTCCGAGGAAGGGCTAGAAAGAAGAACTTACCATGCATGCTTTATCGACCCCCAGAAGGGGAACTCGTGGCTAGGGTGAGTAAAACGTGACTCAGATGCATCACCCTGTTCATCAACGAAGCGGAACCCTTCGAATTCCTTGCCGTTTGGCCAGATTTTCTCGTCTCGCATGAGGGCGAGTTGCGGTATGGCAATCCAGTGTCCAGCCGGGATGTGGCAGCCGTCCTCCATGGTGTACGGGACCATGACTGTACGGGGCGCACTTACTGTTGTGGGAGGTTAGATACATAATTCCACCCGTCATACCGGAGATAGGGAAGGACATATGGTCGACCTACCGATTGGGCCTGGGCTCAGACGAGAAGTCTCCTTCATAAAACTGTCGAGATAAGGCATCTCCCGGTTCATAGAGCCAAAGGACAGATTCTCGCATTCTAGAGCTTCTTTTCTGAGCCTGTCTGTGTACTCCCCATGCGTACACAGTCTGTGTATGCAGAACTGAACAACCTATACCGCCAGACCTTCATTTAGTATGGGCGGTGACACACAGTGGGGGCCTCTATAGTTATTGATCTTGGCCTACCATTGGTACTTGAAATGCACTGGCAAATAATAGCCCAAGTGATATTTTGGCCACTTCGGCAGCGTCTCGAAGTTTTGTTATCTCCGATGCCCATTGAGCGACATGGCCCCCAGCATGCTTAACATGTGTTAGTATTTTTTTCTCCTATTGCCATGTGAGAGAGGAGAACCCTGCATACCTGCTTTTCTTTGCCTAGCTCCTTGTCCTCAAGGGCTTTAGTAGTGTGCCACAACAGGAGTTCGTAAACTTTTGTTCTTGTAACACCCCAGCCCATGGCAATTGGCCCGATGAAACTGTTGCCATTTTGTCAGTTATATGTTTTGGCCTTGTAGTTCAGGTGTTGATAACTAACGGCGTGAGGAAACTGGGCATCATATCTACTATGGGGAAAGCCCGCGCACAGCTCCAGAAAAAGTTCATCACATCTTCATATACTTCGGGGCGGTTGGCTTCGTTCTCTGTTAGCCTCACGATAACATGGTAGAGGTAAACCAGCACGTATACACACCTTGTTCCTCACCAACTAGAGGGAGAAGATTTACGCTGGTGAAGATGCGAAGGAGTACCGGCATCAGTCGAACTGGTCTCCATTCATTCTTCTCGCAAGCTTCTATTCAAGATATGGTTTTGTTAGCAAATCGTCCCGTATAGCCATCCTTCAAGATCTTTTCCGTACCGTTTGTTGGCGGAGACATCTCCATAGCCATTGAACTCTTAACTCGTTCTCGAAGGGTATCACTCATCAAAGGAATATTTGAACGGAGCTTATTCTTCAACACACCAACCACGACACGAGAGACTTCGCTCTGCGTTCCCTTGTTCTCTATTTTTACCTGATGAGGACCCAATATTGGCCCTGTGGACGCGAGCTAGTTATTTCAGTTCAGCGAATTTTGTTCAAGTACCGCTTCAAAGAATTCTAGGCACAACGCTACCTACCTCATGCAGAGCTTGCTGTAGTGAAAGTACATGTTCAGGTTCACGGTCCAGCTGCTTGAGGGTGTCCGTGTTGGAAACGAAAATGATCCAGCGATCCAGCATGGGAATCGCAAACGGTTTTCCGCCAGACTAGAACGTATCAACTACCATACTTCTAGCAAATTCAGACGATCTCGGCAAGGGAATACATACCGATTCATACGCTTTTTCAAGGAGCGTTCCTGAAGCATAGACCATATGCAGTGCCGTCAAAAACCTTCCCAGCGGCGTAGGGTATGCTGCAATAATGACGTTGGACTAAACGGCCGGCATCAGTATCGACACCAGGAGTGTTGTCTGTCTGATCTAGTTCTATGATGCATACCGGTGCTTTCCACCAGAACTTCCATAGTATCTGCGCTACCTGCCATGCCAAAAAGAGGTATACTACATGGTACCAGTGCCAGTTCCAACTTCGGTAGTCAATAGTCGAAGCCAGCTTCGAAAACGACGGAAGTACTGGGATTGCCATTGTGACTATATGCTTGCTGGGTGGTTCCGAGTGCATGTTGGGCAGGTTCAAAATTTGTTCAACCAGTTCAACCAGGTGTTGGCTTAACTATTCCCCTGTGTCTCTCTCAGCTGTCTCTGTCTCTCTCCCGCCCTCCACATGGACACCGTCTCATTTATCAATGGAGCAAGACACAGCGGGACGCTGAGCTGGTCGCTAACAAATTACAACCGTTCACCCCCCGGTTAGCCTTGGCCAGCCCGCCTTTACAGTGACATTTGTCTTAGCTTGCGTGACCTTTTGGGTGCCTCCAAGGATACGGGGAAAGCTGAGTGGTGGAAAGGAGCTGGGCTCGTCCTCTTCCCCAAGCTCTCGATATGCCTATTTTGAGAAACAGAAACAGCAAATGCAGAAATGATTAGTTATTTGCCCTATGCATATCATGCTCAGCAAGGCAGAAGCCATTCAGCCTCCTCCATGTCGATCCTCTCTTTGGCCAGGTCCGTGAAGTTTGGAGGGTTGGGGGCTGAAACCGAAATAACCTGTGCAGGAGGCGAGTCGAGAGTGAGGGACGGGAAGCAAAAAAGGGCCATCATGGCTGTGATGGGCCTGCCTCGTAATGAGCAAAGCGTATTGAACGGGGACTTTGGCAGCAATCCAGTCAGGGAGTTCGGCCCGGTCTACCTTAATTCCAAATAGAAGCGGACCAATTTCTGGTGCAACTGAGCTTTGGAAATATCCACCGCTAACCCCAACGAGCATGATTCTCGAGCGCTAAAGAGGAGCCGACGAATTTAAAATCCTTCACGCATATACATGTGGAATACCTGGTGGGCGCTACAGGGTGCGGTTCAGGTGCAGGTTGCGAAGATACCACGCCTTGATCCTGGCCTATACGTGAGAGATCAGCCGCAGCGGCAAGGGTTCGCTGGCCATGGCCGACTTTTCGACCACTCCGCATAGGAATCGTGTTATACGGATGGCCCCCGACGGACCAGCGGGCGCCCAGTAATCTTCGAGAAACAAACATGACCCCCCTTCACCATGCTGTACATGTGGCAGGCAAAGAAGAAAAGAAACCCTGATACTGCAGCAGGGGGAGGGTTGCCCTGTGGGTTCTCACAGCCTCGCAGCCCTCGGGGATATATGTAACATGAGATGCCTCCCACAGCCTTGCCCGAGGGCATTATTTTCAATATTAACATCGACGGGCGCCCGACTTGTTGGTAAGGCCTCTTTTTTTCATTTTTACAAATCCTTCCTGCGATTTTTCTGACGTGCTCTATAGCCGTGCTCAGCATCATCGAGACTTCAGATCGAACTAGTTACCAAGCTAGTGCGTGGTGATGTCTAAGACTCCAGATGCAAACGCTCTCAAGAGCATCCCGCCAAACCTGCTGTCGACTATCCCAGGAGGTAAACCGCCCCCTGGGGTCATACCGAATTTCGAGAATCCAGAGTCCCAAGTGCCAGTCATTGTAGGGGTTGGAACGACTTTCCTGGCTATCGCCTGCTTCTGCTTCTTCATTCGCATGTACACACGACTTGCCATTTCAAAAACATGGAAATGGGATGATTGTAAGTAGACACCCGGTGGTAGCAGATGGTTAAATGCGAGCAACTCCAGACTAACTACTTTTCTGTTCTAGTAACAATATCCATAGGATTTGTGAGCCACCGCAGTCCTGGCCTCTGCTGATGAAATAAGCCTAACAGTGGAGTATAGTTATTCAGTCTTGTATATTATGCGGCGACATTAAACGGTAAGCGATGCAGGTTTCCTTGCTCAACTTCTACTTTTCTAGTCGAAGGCTGACTCTTCTAAAGGCTGTATCAATGGTATCGCCGGGAGACACGATTGGGAAGTGCATCTCGATAAGCTCATTGGAAATTCCCATCTCTACGTAAGTGGAACGCCCCCAAATTCGTTAATCGGAAAGATCTGTGCTGATAACTAGACCAGCAAAGTTACATAACAGTTATTACGGCAACTCCGGCACTAGGGCTCATCAAACTGAGCCTTTTCATCCAATACTACCTCCTATTCAAAGTCAGGAGGTATGTAAGAATTAGCGTGTATGTAGGGGCAACATTATCTGGCCTCTTCTACATCGCAACCTCGATCTCGTCCTTCGTGCTGAGCAGTCCATGGCCGGGAGAGTCTATCCTTGACTGCGTCCTCTCATGGCACTACCTTAAGTTCGCGGAGTTCTCCATCCCTACCGGCATCATTGGCTCGCTGGTCGATGTTGTCCTATTTATTCTCCCAATGCCCGCTGTATGGCAGCTGCACCTGTCAACTTCGAAGAAGATTGGTATCATACTAGTCTTCATGACTGGTGGCCTGTAAGTTGTCTCTAAACAGCCCGCTATAGGCTCCACCGAATCATTCATGAAATCTAACGCATCCTTAGTGCCGTGGCAGCCTCGGGTGTAAATCTTTACTACCGTGTTCTACTCCAAAACGATGTAAGCGATGCATCATGGAAAGTCGGATACGTTTTACTCTGGTCGTAAGACAGCCTGCCATCCAACCAGCATCCCAATCTTGCACCCATATCTAACAGGAACCGTATAGGGAGATCGAGATGTTTGCTGGCATCACAGCTTCCAGTATGCCTGCAGTTAAGCAGTTCTTCTCGTCGCGTACCGGCCTTTTCTCCAAGAACTCACGGCCGTCCTTCACCCCCACAATTAGTATGATAAACCGCACCAAGCGGTCTGGCCATTCGGAGCTCATCAACCAGAAAGATACGTCTTTCCAACAATGGGGGTATCCCGTTAAAAATGATGAGGAAAGCCTCGACAGGTCTGAGGAAAGCCAGAGCAGTCCCAGGCTAAGCGGCCCACCCCGTACTCAGAATCTATCACGGTAAAAAGATAGAGGAATGAATTAATGCTTTAATAAATATGTCCCTTTGTATATAGTATAGAAACCCCTTTTCATGACCTGCGATGTATATAAAAGATATCAATTGACGTTTCTTCTGTTCTTCTCCCCTTGGAAATTTAAAGTAGCAGAGACCCTGTTCGGGTTTAGCGCAATTGCTGACATAAGACGATCAACCTTCGCGGTTTATCAAAAAAGCTTCGAGCTTTCATCTTGAATTCGACAAGAGAAAACACGAGCAAGGGACAGCTTGTATTCGACGATGGACGGAATAGAAGACACTAGCTACGGGGCTATTGAACCTCCACGGCCTCCTCCAGAGCCCATAGAACGACCTCCGACTCCTCCGCCTCCTCCCCCTACCGACCATAGCTTGCCTCCTCCGCCGCCGCCAGATGTTCCGGCTCCTCCACCCCCAGATTCTCTCGCTCCTCCCCCGCCTCCCCCCCCGGAGCCGAAGAAAAAGAAAGGATGGGGAGCGCCGAAAGCGTCGACTCCTCTAAGTGTAGAGGAATTGCTTCGGAAGAAAAAAGAAGCAGATGAGGCAGCGTCAAAAGTATGTTCACCCATTGATTCATTAATTATCCCTGGAGTGCTCTTTTCATATGATATATATGCTTGGATAGTCTATACGACGAAGTTACTAACTTGGGGTTCTTATGGATAGCCAAAATTCCTTAGTAAAGCGCAGAGAGAGAAGATTGCGCTGGAAAAACGAGTAAAGGAAGTCGACAGTGGTCGCCGCGCGAAGTCAACGGCCAACGGCAGTTCTGGATCAGATTCAAGGACTCTAGATACAGATTCAAATGGATATTCTTCGGCTTTAGCTTCTCGATCTGGTGAAAGCAGTAGAGGTGATGATTCGAGGCATATTCCCACTGGTCCCCGCGCATTGAGACACGATGCACCTAGTGGACCAGCTTCCATGAGGCCAAACCAGCAGAAAGGGAATGATAGAAATGCGCAAAGCTCTTCTGCATCAACTTCCGGAAATAAAGGAGAGAAACGGGCTTTGCCAGAGGACGCCCAGGCACAGCTTATCCGACAGAGATATATGGGCGCAGACCAAAGATCTAGCTTCTCAGCGAAGAAGAAACGGCGGCGAACTACCGAAAGGAAATTCAACTTTGAATGGAATGCGGAAGAGGATACTAGCCCGGACTACAACCCGTTATACCAGAACCGCTCCGAGGCGAACTTCTTTGGCCGTGGTCGATTGGCTGGTTTTGCAGATGAAGTGGTAGACAACTCGGTGAAAAGGTACGCAAGAGCTTTGGAAGATAGAGACCTTGAAGCTGGAAGTGCCCGAGCAAGAGAAATACTAGAGATGGAAAGACGAAGAAAGGAAGAAAGCGGAAGAAATGCTATTGATGCTCACTGGAGTGAAAAGAAGCTGGAACACATGCGAGAACGAGATTGGCGAATATTCAAAGAGGATTTCAACATTAGCACGAAAGGTGGTGGTTTGCCGAACCCAATGCGTTCGTGGTCTGAATCCGGCCTTCCCAAGCGACTTCTTGAGATTATTGACTCCGTTGGGTACAAAGACCCGTCGCCTATCCAGAGAGTCTCCATACCGATTGCGCTGCAGAACAGAGATCTCATCGGTGTTGCTGTCACCGGTTCCGGTAAAACAGCAGCATTCCTACTGCCGTTACTCGTCTACATCTCCTCCCTCCCACGACTAGACGAATTTGAATGGCGACGAAACGACGGCCCCTACGCCATCATTTTAGCACCAACTCGTGAACTTGCCCAACAGATCGAGATAGAGGCTATGAAGTTTGCGGCACCGCTTAATTTCAACGTTGTCAGTATCGTAGGTGGTCACTCTCTCGAAGAACAAGCGTACAATCTACGCAACGGAGCCGAGATCATCATTGCTACTCCAGGTCGATTAGTCGACTGTATTGAGAGACGAATCCTTGTGCTCAGCCAATGCTGCTATGTCATTATGGATGAAGCAGATAGGATGATTGATCTTGGCTTTGAGGAGCCAGTGAATAAGATTCTTGACGCACTTCCAGTATCGAATGAAAAACCCGATACCGAAGAGGCGGAGAATGCCCAGGCAATGAGCCAACATATTGGTGGCAAGGACCGATATAGACAGACAATGATGTACACTGCCACCATGCCTTCAGCTGTTGAAAGGATAGCACGGAAATATCTCCGTCGGCCCGCAATAGTTACGATAGGTAACATTGGCGAAGCAGTCGATACCGTCGAGCAACGCGTTGAATTCGTCGCAGGAGAAGACAAGCGTAAGAAACGTCTTGCTGAAATCCTCACATCACGCGACTACCGCCCTCCGATCATCGTCTTTGTCAATATCAAGCGAAACTGTGACGCTGTTGCACGAGATATCAAACATATGGGCTTCTCAGCCGTCACGTTGCATGGTTCTAAGACGCAGGAGCAGAGAGAGGCGGCTCTCGCGTCTGTACGCAATGGATCAACGGATGTTTTGGTTGCTACTGATCTTGCTGGTCGTGGTATTGACGTTCCAGACGTCAGCTTGGTGGTTAACTTCAATATGGCTACCAATATTGAAAGTTATACTCATCGTATTGGACGAACCGGTCGTGCAGGGAAGAGTGGTGTTGCTATCACTTTCCTTGGTAGTGAAGATAACGATGTCTTGTACGTTGATACCTTGATTCAACCCCTATTATTACTGTTCCAAACCACTAACTTTATTGTGCAGATACGATCTTAAACAAATGCTCATGAAATCCTCCATATCAAGAGTACCGGAGGAACTACGCAAACATGAAGCTGCTCAATCCAAGCCGATAAGAGGAATGGGCGCAGCAGGCCAGAAGAAAATTGAAGAGAGTTCTGGGTTTGCAGGTAAGGGCGGCGGCAGCGGATGGTAATTAGCCATTGGCTGCTTGTAAGATACGATATATATGAACCAAATAAGTGAAGATTTTTCATTGAGACGCAATGTCCACGGCTCATTAAAGGGGGTGGTTTTTTTTTTTTTTCGAAATATATCTATATACACCCTAACCTTTGGGGTATGTATGACGCGTAACCATATGCAGCTCCGCCATCCATAACGTAAGGACAATGTCCTAGCGAATGTAAGATTGATCCTTTGTCAACCTGTAGGAAGACTCACGAATAGGGTATCAGAACCACGTATAGAGTCTTTTAAAAATATGCGTCTTACGGAAGCATACGTCAACTAATGGCTGATTTAGGCCTTAAGTCCGTTGGCCTTGAGCCAGGCCTCAACATCCTCACGGTCACGAGAGAGCCAGCCAGCCTTAGCACGAATAGAGTCAAGACTTTGCTCGAGAGATCGGTCGTAGCCTATAGACATTCTGGTTAGCAAAGGCTAGCTAGGAAGAAAGTACATAGGGTTAAAGCTGTCACTTACCTTGTGATCTTTGTTCTTGAAGAACTCCTCTACTTCCTTCAACTGTGACTCGGTAGACAAGCTAGCACAGGCAATCTGAATAACAGATCCCAGCATGGAGAAGGCAGGGGGGAGTCTCTTGGTCAAAGGCTCCCAGTTGTCCTGCAGCCACTTCCAGCGTGCTAGTATACCAGCAGAATGGGAGCGAAGACCGGACATGGGCATGTAGATATCTTGGATTCTGACCTCGTCGGAAAGAGTGAGGTCGAGAGTCTTCTGCACAACCTCTGGCTTCTCGCATGAACCAAGGCAGCGGAGAGCAGTATTCTTTTCAGCAGAGGTAGATGCGTTCTTGTATCTGTCAAAGACGATCTGCCATTCCTTCTCGCCACCGTTTCGGAGAGCAATGTCGAAAACACTTCCGCGGATATTGGGGTGGATGGCATCGTAATCACCATCAGCAAACTTCTTGAACATCTCGGTGGCAGCAGCAACAACTTTCTCATCGCCTGCAGAGCCAGCAGCGCTGAACATGAGAGCCTTATACTGCTGGAGAACATGGCCGTCCGCGTCGCTGAATGTCCAACCGAGGTCGTGAGCTTTCTTGCTGACCAGGTTACGCTGGAATGTCTTCAAGGCCTTCTTGGTCTCCTCATCTTCAAACATCCAGGCACCACGGATAGAACCGAGACGGGTGAGAATCTCGTTCCAGACAACGAACTCGTTCTCCTGGTCAAAAGCCTTAAGAAGAGACAAGCTACCAGAAGTCTTCTGGTAGCCAGAGGCAGCAAGGACACCAGCATCGGCAATCATACCGGCCTTGTCCTCAACGGTCAGACGACCGGCCTTGGCATCCTCTCCAAGCTTCTCCAGACGCTCAGGAGAGTAGCATGTTCTGAAGAGAGACGAGTGGTCAGCGTTGAGCTTGTAGAAATCGAGGTCCACTTTAATGTCTTCGCTTCTTTGTGAAAGGACGGCAGACTGGTCAATGCCATCACAGCCCTTCAGGGCGAGAACGACGGGGTAAAGGGTCTTGTCGTCCGCGGCCTTGACGTCTCCAGTTCGGAGAAAACGGTTCTGCTGGACTGTGATGCTCTGGCTTTCCTTGTTCTCCTTTACGGTAAGAACCGGGAAACCAACCTGCTTAGTCCAGATATCCATAACCTTGTCGATGGGCTTACCGCTGGCTTCGCTGAGAGCAGCCCAGAGATCACTGGTGGTGGTGTTTCCATAAGCGTGCTTCTTGATGTACGCCTTTACGCCCTCTAGGAACTTCTCCTCACCCATGTACTTGGAGATCATTCGGAGTACGGCAGAGCCCTTAGAGTAGGAGATGGCGTCAAAGATCTGGGTGATCTCATCGGCACGCTTCACAGGCACTTCAATGGGGTGACTGCTTCTCAGGGAATCAAGAGACAAGGCCTGCTGGAGGTTGTCAATAACGTAAGTCTGCCAGACATTCCACTCTGGGTAGAAGACATTGCACGAGTACCACGACATCCACGTGGCGAAGCCCTCGTTGAGCCAGAGGCCATCCCAGAAGTCCATCGTGACCAGGTTTCCGAACCACTGGTGAGCGAGCTCGTGTTGCACAGTTTCGGCAATTCGCTCCTTGGTGGCAGCACCAGTAGTCTTTTCGTCGTACAAGACATCGACGATTCTGTAGGTGACCAGACCCCAATTCTCCATAGCACCGGCAGCAAAGTCGGGCACAGCAACCATGTCCATCTTGGGCAATGGGTACTCGTTGTTGAAGGCCTTTTCATAGAAAGCGAGGGTCTTGGCAGCAAGGTCGAGCGAGAATCTTCCGTGCTCGATGTTCTGGTCTGGGGTAGCATACACTCTAATTGGCACCCTGAAGGCGTTTGTCTCAATATAGTTGAGATGGCCAACAATGAAAGCAACAAGATAAGTCGACATGAGTGGAGACTTGTTGAACTTAACGGCCTTTCTGGGGTGGCTGACCAGGGTAGACTTGACTTCAGTCTCTGAAGCTACGTCCATGTTGCTCAGGCAGGTCATGTCTTTGTCTGCAATGAGGGTAACGGTATACTCCGCCTTCAGGGAGGGCTCGTCGAAGCAAGGAAACGCGCGTCTGCAGTCGGTAGGCTCCATCTGAGAGGAGGCCATGTGCTTTTGGTTGCCATTGGCGTCCTTGTAGGAGCATTTGTAGAAACCGGCCATGTTGTCGTTCAGGGTGCCAGTGAATTTGATGTTCAACTTGGCCTTGGTGCCGGCAGCAACCTTCTGTCCGAGGGTGATGGTAGCAGTCTGCTTGTCCTTATCATAGCTGACTGGCGAGGAGGCGGCAATTTCGGTTCCATTGGCCTCGAGAGCAGCAGTATCAATAGTGATGTCAAGGGCGTTCAAGGTGATAGAGCTCGTCTCCTTTACAACATCGAGACTATCGACCAACAGTTAGTTATCAACAGATTGAAATACGTATCTAAGGGATAAACAGGTAACAAGGACAGCCATACTCAATCTGAACGGATCCCAGGAAGGTGAAGTTCTCGAAATTGGGCTCCAGCGTCAGGTCATAGTGCAGCGGCTTCACGTTGTCAGGGAGGATCTCGCGACCATGGCCGGCCACAGGCATGGAGCCCGGGGTGCCGTCGTCGCCTCGCCTTGCATGACACATTCTCCTATACGAGCAGAATCGCTTGAACTGACGAGGTAGACGAGCAGAGGGAGACGAGGTTGTAGATGTCAGGGAGAAAAGGGAAGAGGAAGTAGTAGTCGTAGTAGTAGAAGCAGCAGAAGTTGGCGGGGTGAGGGACGACGGCGGGCGGGGAGAAGTCGCAGGCCTGATTGGATGCACGAAGCTTCGGCGGAAAGGCTGAGTAATACCGAAGGACGGCGACGACCGTATAGAAGAGAGACAGGATATAGAAGAAAGAGAAGAAAGCGATGATAGAGAAGATAGAGAAGAAGATGCTGGTACTCGAGGAAGAGCAGAGCCTCTGCGAAGGCCAGCTGCCCGGGACAGCATCGCGCCGGCTGAGATGAAGAAACGGCCGGGATGCACGGGAAGCTCAGTAGCGGCCGGTAGACAAGCTATCGGGAGCGTTCATGCATGCAAAAGGGGGCCCCGTCTGCAAGAGATATATATATACACGGAGTATAATGGCTGCAGATAAATATATATGTATGTATATATATAGAGGTCTTCCTATATATCAAAATCAATGGGACGCCCGGCCAGGACGGCGAGAAACAGGCTCAATTGACCAAAAGGAGCGACGGATTAAATCAAAAAGGAAACGAGCGGCGAAAGATCACAATACGCAAGCAAGTTCTGTCTCTGCGTCCTTGCTCCTCATGCAGAATATCAACTTCATCAAACTGTCTTCGTCTTCGTCTTCGTCTTCAAATCTTCAAATCTTCAGCTTTTTTCTTTGGTCGCAAGAAAAAGCTCGACCTTCTGACCAATCACAGGCGGCGTCTCCTTGCTCTATTTTAAATGTCTTGGTGCTTTGCTTATGTCATCCTCGCTCTTATTTTTATTGTGGTTTTTTCTCTTTTTCTCTTTCTTTCTTCAACATCAACGCAAGAAGGGCTTCTCTTTTGATAGAGTCAAAGGACGATGATCAATGCTGTCTCTCTCTCGCCCTTCGATGCCAGATTACTTCTCCCGCTAGTTTGAGGGGATCGGTTCGTGGCCCTCTGGGCTGCTCCAAGTGAACTGTTTCTCCATAGAATAGTCGGCACATCTTTACCTGTTTGACTTGGACCAGCTGTGGCTTTTATTATTATAGTATGAATGGACTCTTGTATAGAGGATAGTATACGCGATAGGTGTCGGGAGAATAATACAACTTGCTACCGTTCCCCTACATGACACTCATCACATAGTTCAAAAGGAGAAAGAAGAGGATATCAGTTTCTTTCTTTTTTTCAACGACCACCTGCGAATGGATTCTTCCAGCCAAAATGATATTATTTTCTCCTCTCGTCCGGGGCACGGGGTCTGGCCGAAGGTATCCTCACTGCTACCGTCCTGGCTGCCCCATTCTTCTCCTCCAGGGAGTGCTCTGCAATCTCATATACCTTCATGTAGGGTAGCAGCTTTGCCCATACCACCCAGTATACCGCACCAATCACAAAGACACTCAGGCCAGCCACGCAATGCGAGTAGTACGGAAGGTAAGCGTATATGTTGTCCTTAGGGCTCGGAGGTGGGAGGAAAGGTGCAACGGTAAGGTAGACGTTGGATACCAGAAAGAAACCAGTCACTGGCAGTGTTGCTCGAATACCCGGTGCCCACCCTGGATACTTCGACGGCTGAAGGTAGATATGCATTAGTCCTGCAGAGACCAGGACATTTACGACGGACAACGGATACGAAATCATGCTATTTCATCTTCTTTAGCAAATCTTCAGATTCATGAATGACCACGGGATACCCACTTGAGAAGAAAGATATATGCATCTCCAGGTGGCGGTGCAAGCATTACTATAGCCGAGATGATATAATGCTCCAGCAGGCCAGCAGCCGGAGAGTTGAACGGACGCTTACTTGCCCAGAACTTTGACAACGGGAGCACCCCTTCCTCGCCGAGTGCCTGAATAACTAGACCCCTTGGTTAGAAGCAGAATCGGAAGAGGAATAGAAGAAACTGAGCTTACTTCTGCCTTGGGAGAATAATACTGCCATCACGTTTCCAAAGGCTGAGAGCGCAATAAATATAGACAGGATCCTCTCTGCCTTGGGCCCAAAGATGTTGCGGAAAAAGGAGGCTGCCAGAATACGCCCAGAGCCCAGGATATCCTCCTTTGGCACCACGGCGAAGTATGCAATATTCACCAGCAGGTAGAGGATGCCAACCAAAGTAACTCCTATTGGGGCCGCGATCTTTAACGTTCGAATGGGATTTCGAGTCTCGCTGAGTGACTATAAGTTCATGTCAGAGCTCCATACTCGGATATAGCCAGCGAGCTTACTCACATAATTTGCATTTGAGTAACCAACATACGACCAGATGACGCTGTACAATGCAGTGACCATCCCGTATATGCTCGGGCGACTGTCTCCCCAGGTGTTTGAGAAGTTATTGGAGGGTTTCCCTAGCGTACCCCCCGCCAGTGCTACCGCTCCGCCGACTATGATGACCATAATCACTACCAGTTTCAGCAGTCCAAGTGCGTTTTGCAGCCGAAGTCCCCATTTCATCTCCACGGTATGGACAAGGAATGCTACCGTAATGCACCCAAAGCCAATACCCCGTTGATTCCATCGATTGACTGCCACGCCTGCAGCGTGCAGAACATATTCCCCAAACACCACGCTGTTTCCAGCAGCCCATCCGAGGAACAGTGCATACGAAGCATAGATCGCCGTTGCCAGGAACTTGGGCCTCCGATAGACGTACTCTAGGTAATTTTTCTCTCCGCCATTTCTGTCATCACAGCACGTCAGCAACCAAATAGATGGGCAGGATACAAGGCGGTATAACTGTCTAACCTTGGAATCGCGGTGCCGAATTCAAGGTACACTGCCGTGCCGGCCATCGCAATCAACATCCCGATGATCCAAACCACTAAAGACATGCCAACACTACCTGTTTGTGCCAGTATGGCACTAGGCGTAGCAAATATCCCCGTTCCAATGATCCGGTTAAATATAAGGAACGTCGCACTGATAATACCGATCTGTCTTCCGCTGGTGACCACGACGGTATTAGCTTCTGTGTCATCTCCACCGTCACCGCTATCTCTGCCGCTGAAGTCAGAACATGTACTCTTGCCAACTATTATAGCTGATATCAGTCGCGACCTCTATTCAATAAGGAAAAATACTTGTTGACTTCCAAGAACTTACAGGAAGGTATAGTAAGGTCCATTGGTGGGAGATTGATATCCCCGAAAGATAATCTCCCGTAATCCTCTGAGGCCTTATGCGATGGCAGTTCCGTCACTGAGTTGCCCAGCGTTTTAGAGGACGTTCCTTCAGATGTGGAATCGCTTGAACCCGCCATGGCGTTCGAGGGAGAAGCTGATAGTGCTGGAAAGTAAGAAATACCAACGAACACCCCAGAGGTTAAAAACGTAGATATACAAGGGTGTATGAATACACAATAAAGCTAGCTCTCTGGATATCGCAGAGAGAACTCATCCTTGATAGTGTCTAGGGCTCTTGTGCTTTCGAATGCTTTTCGAAGGTGCTTCATATGCTTTACGCAGGAAGGAAGCACCCATGGCTGGCGATATCCCGATTTTGTAAACACATAAACGAGTTTGTTTACAAAATATAAAAGACAGTCTTATTTGAAGTACATATATGTAATATTTTTATATTAACCTATGGCCCTCCATAGTAAGGTAAATGCACATCAAAACTAGATCTTAAAACCTTGAAAAGACAGTAACAAGCACCAAGGTAGAGGAAGAGGATATAAAAAGCAAAAATCGAAGCCAGGCCCCAAATCTTAAAAGCCCACTCCGGACGCGGCTCCCAATGAAGATAGAGTAAAAATGGAGAAAGAAAATATGCCGCCTTCAGTAGATTCCGTGGCCAAATATCCAAGGCACAAAGGTATGCTATTGCCTTTTGCATGATGCATGGCAAAAGAAAGAAAAAGAAAAAGAAAAAAGACACGAAGGATAAAGAGCATAGTTCGAGAGCTATAGGACAAATGGAATAACTCAGGAGTTGAAGGGCGTCATTCTGATTAAGGTATTGAATGTAGAAGGAAGGATGGAATAGGTGTGATGGCGGGAAATGTGGAAGGTCGAGGGTAGGTAATTAATACGGCAGGGGGGCCACAGGCTGGAATATGTAATGCCAGAAAGTGAACGATCAAAAGAGACTAACTCCGGTTCCTAAAGTTTCAGAATTGATGTTTGGAAAAGAGTTGATATAGTTGATTAGATAGGGCGTTAGCTAACGGCCGTGGATAACGGGGTATTCATTCATTTAGATGGTGACTGAGCCATGGCAGGAGACGCTGGCCGCGGGTACGTGGGTAGAAGCTTTGGCGAAAGTACAGCTGGCGGAGCAGAGGTTCGCTTTGCTCTTAGAGCCATGTTCTTTCGAAGGGCTCTTAGGCGGGCCCGAATGCTTTCGACAACTATAGAGAATAGTTAGCAATGCAATACAAAACCAAAGAAACAGAAAAATAAAGCTTACGTTTAGCAACAACTTCAGAGTCTTCCTCTTGAAGACGACTCTCTTGCATGCGCTGTTCACCGGAGCTGTCTCCATCAGCGGTTCCCCGGTCCTTGGTTGATCGGGAAGTATCATCGCTCTCTAGCACGGCCTCAAGCATTCTGATCGCAGTGACATAGGCTATTTCGCAGCCAGATAGATCTTCGCCAGTCAACTCATTGATAGCAGCTGTCCGACTCATTTCCAGGGCTCTGTCATACATGAGTTTCTCTGCAGTGATACCCGAGCTGATGATAACCTGGTCTGAAGACTGATCGAAACTTGGGAGGCTTCCTGATTCGCCGACTTCGTGGGACATGCGGTACGGATGATCAGGTGGCAGCTGTTTCTGCGCTTCCAGAAGTCGTCGACGGGAATATTCGGCTTTCTGAAGCACTTCATTGAAACGAGTCCGGACCCATTGGACGACACTGTTGATTCGACTGCTTATCACAATGTCCCTATCTGTCCTCGGTGATGAAAGGCCATTGCCAATTGCTTCTTCCCGGTTCTTTCGTGCCCACCATGCTCCCGCAATATCCATAGCCTTTGCCAGGATGGACAAGGCCTTCACGTACAACACCAAAGCTTCTTCAGATAGTGTAAGCACTGCATCAAGCGTCAGGCCGTCATCGTCGGGGCTGTGCTCCATGGTGCTTGGCTTAATGGTGGAATCCGATTTGTTTGACGGGGTAGCCGGGATAAGTTGCTTGTATTTGACTTCGGCAAACCCGTAAACAACATCACTTCGAGTGGCGCATTCTTCAATGATATGTACGGTCTTTGAATCATGGCTTAAATGTTGTGGCTTCTCGTCAACCACTACCAGGCTGCTTTGTGCAACAGGATATGTCGGGAATGGGCTATATCCTAGCGGAGGAGAGCGACCGCCTTTTGTCAACGTGGATGGCGGAGAAAAGCTAACACCAAAAAGCCTTCCGCTAGCCATGTTGAGAGCCTTGGAGATGGCTGATGTTGCCGAGATGGGATTGGGCCCATATCTCCTATCATATGAATATCGTCGGTTATGTGTTGAATCGGTTTTTTGCTTAGCTTGTCTGTCCTGGGTATCGGCCTGGGATGCGTGTTTTGTTTTAAGAGAATGAGGAGTAGCTGTTGTTGTAGCCCGGCGAACAATGGCGCCAGACTGGCGAGAGCTCGACTGCTGTTGCTGTACTCTTGGGCTGGCCGCGAGCTCATCCGCAAACGCATTCACTTCAACTGCTCGCTTCTCCACCACAACATAATCTCTCTCGAAAGCAATGTCTTGTGCGGCACGCTCCTTTTCTACATCCGCCAACTGCTTTACATTTTGAGAGGAAGTAGTATGTGAGGGTCCGGATATCTGCTGGGTCAGGGAAGATTTGGAAGACCGCAGGTTATCGCTTTGCCTCACTACAGGCTCGCTAACCGAATGATCATTCCTAGTTGACGGCTTTACGAGAGAATCTTCTGGGTGGCGACCTGGGGTACGTTGGATATCGTGTTTGTCTCGTCCGTCCGCTCTGCTTATAGCAGAGCTAGGCCGTGAGTTTCGTTCCACTATTGGTCGAGGACCAGGTCGACTTTCCGGCCGTTCGGTAACCAGAGTTAGAGCTTTGTCTGTTGGCACTTCAGCTTGGGTGTCTGATCGGTCCAGTACCTCCTGCTCAAGCCCTTCCGGTTCCAGGTCATCACCTTCAAGCCGCTCCCTCTCGCGGGCGGCATTTCTCTCTATTTGTTCCTCTAGGTCTTCCCCTACCAGACCAGGGATATCATTCTCGATAACCGAATTCTCAAAAAATTGGGGGAAGGTAAGTCTTTCGACAGGATTAAACTTTAGGAGGCCACGGATTAGTTTCTTTATGTCGCTGGCAACTGGTGTCTCCCGGGGGAATTTAATTCTGTCCTTTGATATTTGGATCTTTTGTAGCAACTCCATATGGTTGGAGGCTCTGAATGGGGGCTTTCCAACAACCATTTCATAGAGTACAGTTCCAACAGACCATAGATCTGCTTTGGCGTCATATTTCTCGTAACGCAAAATCTCCGGTGCCATGTATAATGGTGATCCGCAAAGGGTATCTGCGAGAGATGTAGACGGCAGAGACCGGGCAAATCCGAAGTCCGCTATTTTTAGCATAGGAAATGACGAAACTCCAGCGATGGGAGTGAACGAGTTCTCGCTTCCCTTATAGGAAACAGACTGAATTAGGGTTTTCGAGTAGATGACGGGGGAAGGATGGAGGAGTAGATTCTGCGGCTTGACGTCACGGTGTATCAAATCTTTCGCCCTAAGGAACTGGAGGGCACTGGCGAGTTGCTTTAGGAAATGGCGGACAACCACATCGTGAAGGCCATCTCCTGGGGGGTTGGGGTACTTGGTCATCATATCTCGCAGCAGCTCATGCTTGGCCATGGAGTTCCGTTTCTTGATAAAGCGGGAGAGATCGCCGAGCATGCAGAACTCCATGATGATATGTATGTGAGATGACGTCTCGTAGCAATCTATCAGAGCAACGATATGTGGGTGCTGAAGGCTCTTAAGAATATCAATCTCAAGCTTCAGGTTCTCTCTAAGCTTCTTAGTCAAGCGAAGCAGCGTCACAGATTTGACTGCGACAAAGGTGTTGTATTCCTATCATGAAAGGGACCAGATCAGCTACTCTCTTTCAGGCCTCTTAAACATGTCCCAAGGAGATTCAGTTTAAAGAAGGAAAAAAGGTGTCTTACATTATGGGTGCCGCGGTAGACCGTAGCAAAACTGCCACGACCGATCTCATTCAGGCGAGTGTACTGCCCTATTCTCAGGTTCACCGGGTCATCATCCACAGCTGTGTTTGCCCGTTTCGAGCTCTCTGCCGATGGTGTAGCCATGATTTATGGAGTCCCCAAGTCTGATAGCACATCGGTTTGAGCGGGCTGACCAAAGGTTATGTTATCCAGTATCCTTACTCAGTCAAAGGTATGGTCCCACGCCCATCTGAGACGGCTTTTGAACAAACTTATCGCCAGGTACGGTGGAGCAAGGGCGCTGAGGAGCTGAGGAGTAGAAGGACTGGGAAAAGGATGGTCCTGTTGGTCGAGGATCAAGGGTCGGGTGTCGTAATGGAAGGCGGATCAAAGAGTGAAGAAGACCAGACGAAAAAGTGTATTCACAAGAAAGTAAATAGGCTGCTGTAGTGCAGACAAAGGCCAAACTAATGCAATCTGTGAATGAGGAGAAAGATAGAGAGGTCAGCCAGCGGTCTGCAAGGTACTATATAAATCATCACTAGCAGTCAGGCACCTAGAGCATGCAACCCATGACCAGGATAATGCCATGTCAAAAAAAAGGGCAGAAGCAAAGAGAAGCGAGTCGGTGAGTAGAACCGAGCAGAGGAAGAGAGAGCGCGCAGAGATGGAGATAGAAACAGAGGCAAAGGGACGGGAGATGCCCTTACTATGCTATTCCGTCGATTCCCAAGCCAGCTGGTGAACCGGAGCTATCCAAGCCACTTTTGTTCCGTGTGTCTGGGGGGTGTAGGCAGCCAGGTCAGATCGTATCACTCCTACGCCCACCCCCGGGATTCTTTATTATATTGGACAGGTTATATAGCAGCCAGCTGTACGAGGGATCAGGGTGTATATGCAGAGGCGTGTGAATATATATTATATATAGTATGTAAGAGAGAAAGATAGAAAGACAGAGAGCGAGAGAGACGACCGACAGGCCAGGCGGACAAGGTGCAGCCAGGGCAGGGATGTTCCACAGAAGAGTCGATCAAGCAACCCCGGTGTGCGACCAGAGAGTCGTTAGAGGTCCCCTTGACGGCGATACGGTGAAGAGAGCAGCGAGATAGACCGGGAGAAGCAGAAGGGCAGGTTCGATGGCTGGCGAAGTCGAGGCTGACGTTGTGACGTTTTGGCGTTGAGGTCGAGGTCGAGGTCGAGGTCGAGGTCGAAGTTGACGCAAAAGCGACGAGGATGACCTTATCTTATCGGCCGGCCACGGGACTCGGCGACGACGATAATAATAACACCAGAATAACACTTGAATAACACACGCTAGCTAAGTTAGTTAGTTACCTCGACCACCGCAACGACCTGCAAGTTAGCTGCGTGGTGAGCGCCGGCGATACTTCAGCCCCAGCGCCAAATCACACGGCGAGATCATGTACTCTTCTTTGCGTCTCCATGACGACCTGCCGAGTTCCAGGTACAGGTACTTAACTTTGTACACTGACGTTCGTTTACGTTCGTTTACGTTCGTTTCCACAGGCGATGACGCTGGGAGACGGCGGTGGATCTGCCCTGCGATGGATGATCGTCTTAGTCAGGGCGCTCGCCGTGTGATGATGATGGCTGCTGGTTCTTGCTGCTCCCGGGGGCAAAAAGGGCAGCAGCCTGGAGGAAGACAGCGCCTGATGGCTCACCGTCCATGAAGGAGGGTGAGGGTGTACAGGAAATCATGTCTGCATGGTGAACGTGGATGGCTCGCTGGCCCTGGACTGATTTCTGCATCCCGAGATGCAAGGATGGGGCTTCCCCGGATCATGCATGGGCACGCCGGTGGGCTTGTGGACTGCCGGTGAAGTATACCTGCTGCTAGCTGCGCCGTTGCTATGTGGAATCCAGGCATAGGACGCCATGGTCGCGATGTACCTGGGCTTGAACCTGCTCCCTGGCCAGTAATGCCCGGCTATTCTTCCGCTGGAGAGGCTACTGGCTGCCCACCCAGACCGTGGTCGACGTGGCAAGGGATGCAGTGCATACAGGTAACCATAACAGCAAGTACTTGGCTGCTTGGCCCGGTTGGTATGGACAGGAGACAGAGTTACACATTATTATTTATTTACTTGCTTTGATATGTATTGTTATTTAGACAGTCATAGATGAGCGTTAGTATTTTTTATTCCCCCGTACGGAGGTAGATTTTGTTAGATATGCTCTAACCAGAGTACTCCGTATATCCGCAGCGGTCGTCACAGGTGCAAGCCACGCACCAGCAGCCACAGAACCAGCGGGACAACCACATTATCGTTGCCTCCCGTCAGCACAGCTTCCATGAAACTTGACGCGACAGCTGCGAACGCGGACTTGACTATCGTCAGGATCCAGTCGACCCGGGCCTCCCATCCTCCACCAACCAGCCAGACACGAGCAGTCACAAGGCCAATGAAGACTGCTGCGGCGAAGGAAGCGCTCCCCTCGATGCTCTTATCGCCGCCCCAGAACCATCGACGTCGACCGTAGCGTCGCCCGACAAGCGATGCTGCGGCGTCACCCATCCCGACACAGACTATGCCACTCACCATGCTAACATCCCGGCCATTGATATCCCATCCTTCCCATGGAGCTGCTCCCTGGTGAGGGGTACCGGCGAGGCTTAGTAAGAGTGGTAGGGCGCAGCCGAGCATAAGGAAAATATGAGACACCACCACGGGTCCACGGTGGTCACGGCCGTCAACGTAGGGTGCGAGGAAATAGGACAGCCAGCGGGCCAGTGGCGGCACTTGAGATGCACGGAAGAGCTCAAGAAGCAGAAAGATGGCAAGGACCAGCGTGCACGATAGAGCGACAAACGCAGGGTCGACGAAGATGGTCGGAAAGAACATGGCTACCATCATGCCGTGGAAGATCTTGCGGCGTGTGTCCACTTCCACCACACGCGAGAGCCGGTGGACTAGTGACAGTCCCGCCACCAGGATAAGGATGCAGTAGCCACAGAGAAACAGTCGGGTGCTGGCTTCTCCAACACTGTCGCGGCGAAGATGTTCGACCCAGCCTAGGTGGCAGGACGCTGAAATATCGTGTAGCCGCGGTGGAATGCAGGCCCAGACCTCAAGGCTCCAGAGCAGCAGTGTGAACCTGACAGACGATATGTTTCCAAAGAGATACCCTATCGCCCATCCGAACGGCTCTCGGCCTCCAAGGGCATACTCACCGACATACCACCGCACTGGAACCAGTATTATAGCAAGGACCATAGTATAAACGTACAGCGCATACGCCCACTTGCGGATAATGGCCTGCTCCATCGTAAGGGAGAGAAACGCTCTCATACTGGGCGGAAGTTGGCGTTTTCGTCGACCTCCCTTGGTAGTAGTTCTGCGGCCAGGTGCCATACCTCCAGCTTTGGAAGATAGGTAACGCTGACTATCTGACCTCGAAGGCTGTGTTCGATCATCCAGGCTATCCATGCTTGCCTCAATCCTAGGCTCATTTTCCACGGGCGAAAGGGGCTGCGGGCTCAATCCGGTCCGTTTGAAGAGCCCCTTGTCAAGATCTACTTCGGTAGCCAGGAGCTTCGTGAAGTTGTTATACAGTAAACTTGTCCGGCGGCTTCCGGATCTATCCACATCCACCTGTATCTCGCTCTCTGAAGCTTGGTCCTCGGAGAAAGGATGATTCAGAGTGTGGCACACTTGACGGTCCAGCGCACCCAGGATATGTTCGTCATCAGTTGTCTGAGTCGAGGCTCGGCGGAACTTCCAGGACGGGATTTTAGCCAAGGTTGCTTCCCAGAGAAGGACACGCTTGCACGTAATGAATATGCAGAGCGACCCTAGCCAGATCAAAGCTTTAAGGATCTGTGCCTGAGGAGACCTAGAGACAAGCAGTACGTTGACCAATGCAGTCCCCAGGAGCTGGACTTCCGATGGCAGTAGACTCGAAGTAACAAGATACTCGATAATCGAAACGGTGGATTTTTGGAGGGGGAAGATAAGGACTAGAAGCTCTGGTTCAAGTCCGAGTTCGCTCATGGCCTCCTTGGGACTCCGGGAAAGTGGAAAGTTCTCGGAAATGAGGAGAGGGACGGTGGTGATCATCCAGTGCATCACACTATAAGTTCCAGAATCATGCAACGGAATAGTCGCAGCTGGTAGAGATGACAGGCTTAGGATTATGTTCAGTAAGACGAGTGCTTCACAGGATGGCCCTAGAGAAAGAGTAATTAAAACAGGTATTAATATGGGGTATATCAAAGGTGCTGGATCGATATCTTTTGAAAACGGAAAAGCTATGATCCTCTTTAGTTTTGTGCGATAGCTTCCATATGGACATTTCCGGAGAGGGAAGATCGCATAGAGGCCCAAGATAAGGAGAGCAAAGACAGATAACTCTAGGTGGAACACAGTCAGCCCTGACTATCAAGCATTCTGTATATCCGTCTACTCTTTTGCTTTGACTTACCTATGAAACAAACTTTTACCACCGACCGGACACTACGTCTTAGCATCACAGCAAATGCTACGCCGAGTACGAGCCCAGTCTCGCATATCCGCCGCAACACTTCAATGCGAAGCCTTGCCCCGATAGTTATATGGAATTCTAGCTCTCCTGGGTCCGGAGAGTCAGGCATACGTCTCTTGGAACGCCTGGAACCAACCGGCGCCGCTCGCCTCTTTCGCTCCGCAGTGGTGTTGACTGCATCATCGCCCCTCTTAAACTGGTATTCTATCCTCCTGCTGACCAGAGGCGTAGGCAAACGTTTCAGCACTCCATTCGCCTCATCGTCAGCTTCCGTACCACTATCACTGGGTGTCCGGAATGGCTTCCTCCACGCATAGAGGCTCTCCCCTGAATCGGTCGTCGGTGTGGTAGTGGCCGCGTTGTCCGGGTTAGAACGGCGACAGAGGTGTGGTGGTCGTTGAGGGAGGTGATAGCTCTGTGCCCCTTGTGTAGCTTCTTCTTCCTGCTGAGGATCTATAGCTGGTGGGCTTTCTAGCTCACCCTCGTTCGTGAGTTCATGGGTTGCCATCCCATCATAGAAGAGGTATAGACTTCGCTCAAAGTGGTCGTCGAGTAATGGGCCGGATGAGGTCGGCTCGCTTCCATCCTTTGCTCACACAACTGACAGCCAGCTATTTTTGGTCCAGCCGTCGGGAGCAGTAAAGATAAGACAGTTAGCGAGATTTTGTCAGATGAGAGCGCTTGTTAGCCAGATGCCCATCATACACTCTGTTCCGTGACGCAGGCTGATGAGCTTACTTTTGGCGAACATAAGCTCGCATCAACTTTAGCCCGCGTCGTCAAGAGTAAAGCTACAATTTTATTGGTCAAAGCTGCAACTTCTCTACACTTGGTTTCACTATCATTGGTGACCTAAGTCAATTTATCATTGGCTATTTTTACCATTCTTCCAATAATCTCGCATTATCATTTGTATTTGAACTTAGTTAATGGTATTAGTAAGCATTTGCTCAAACACTAAGCCTCTTTCGGCTCTATGTGAGCTCCACGTCCAAACCTAAAAGCTTGGATCTTTCAGGCACTAACAAAACATCTGATGCAACGACGTCTTTCTATCTGCTTCAACATCACAACATGAACAACGTCAATAACCTCGTCGGCCGAAGAGTATGAGCAAAAACCTTGTTTATCTCCGATAAATGTAAACTATGCCCCTTCGAGCCTATATAAGAATCGAACCGTTCTGACACTTGCTAGGCATCTAACGCCTTTAACAGTCGAGTCGCTGCGAATATCGGATTCTATCCATGATCAATACAATTTTCAGCCTATAGTCAAAGATGGCATATCCTAATCGAAGCCTTCCGGCTTCAGGCTCTTACTATATTTCGCAGTGTCACAGGGGAGACTGTTCCTCGTAACTACTAACTACTATATCAGCTATGCTATTACACTTGACAGCCAATATCCCGGAAGGATGTCTTTCTGCTAGATACCGAGATAACCGTTAGGCAATTACGACCACCTCCCTATCTTGGTAAATGTAAGAAGTTGCTCAACGTACAACGAATAGGCAAAGGAACAGTATCACATGTGCATGTAAGGTGACAACTCTCACTAGTTACCTACCATATCCAATCAATTGAAGAATTGGTGTTACATAGAAAGATAGTTATTGCAGATGTCTCAGTGGTGAGTAATCGCACAGATATCACAGCTCAAGTGTGGAATAAGCCTACTTGTGGTATGTGAGTATGTCAGACAGACACTTATGCGGCATATTATAATCATGAAGGGAATAGCATTCCACCTCTTACTTTCACATCCAATAATGACTTCCCTATGGCGGCAAGGATGTTTGAAAAATAAGAGCAGCGACAAGCTCCTCTGCTGCAGAGCCGTACACAGCCCTACACGGTATCACCTGGCCATCCCAGCCTTCAAACTCGGTGGCATGCGTAGTGTAAAGAGCCATATGTGAAAATTCACCTCCATAAGGCAGCTTTTCCGTGGCGATCTGCAGTGCTTTTCGTAGTGAGGCATCGAGATCAACGTCGCGCTTCGCCACAATTGCTATAGATGTATAGCAGCCAAACTCGGACCCAGACGCATGTAGAATCCGCAAATCAGCAGTTTGGTCATAAGATAGAGTAACACCGCTTGCCCTTAATCCAAGACCCTGCCATTCGATACTGCTTCCTCGGGGAAGCTTATCAACCTCCACGGCAAAGAAGGACGGTATCGTAGATGTTCCCTTTACGATGTCAAAGTCTGGTATCGGGTGCGTAGTCACGTCTGTCTTAGGCTGACCATATTGTCCCCCATATTTCATATGCCAGACATCGAATGCCGAAGAGTCACCATCATCTTCTCCGTCTGTATCATTCGTACTATGATCTTCGTTCATCCACTTCCACATATCCCACGCTACAGTTGCTCTAGACTGCGCCTTAGCATGAGTAGATAGGAACACCACGGCTCCCATCCACCATTTCACTTCCATTGCCTTACCTATTCGCCATAAATGCTGTAGAGATAGAGCAGCTTGATAGAGGAATACTGAAGGCTCGCCTTCCAACGCTCCAGTAGGGGAATATATCTGCATTGAGCTTGGTTCAAGTGGAATTTGGCCAGCAATATAAACTAGTCCCGCTGCTGGTGCCTGCCCAGAAGGCGACTGGATTGGCGCGTACACTGCCTGGGAATAGGGTCCTATATTTGCTGGGGCCCAATAAGACCTTGACTGGACATGGAGGGCTTGCAAACGTGTGCTTGAGCCTAGGTAGAAGGTAAAGGATATCATGATATCAACTCCAGTCGGTAAACTATCCCCGCAAGCCACTGTGGCCCTGGCTGGAGGGTTAGGCCGAGTAAATAGACTGGAGTATATAGCGTTAACAGGTGCAAAATCGTCCATTGATCGGAGTAGAATTGTGCTAAATATAGCATCATTTGGTGTTATTTCTTCTCCTTCTTCTTTCTTTTTGGCTCTTAAAAGAGCTGTCAGTTTCTGTTTGATTGCATCCATCTGCTTTGAAGCTCCGCTTCCAGCTTCAGGTGCGGTAAGATTGTAGATATTCAAGTATCCACCAAACTCTTTATACTGTTCTGTGGGTACCTGATACCTGTTATCTTCCCTTTTATGATATAATGGAGTGGTTTGCGCCACCTCGTTAAGTTTCACAGTGTCAAGAACTCTCTTGAATTCATCCTCAAAAATCCAAGGCACTCTCACATCACTCAGTGTGATCTCCTTGTCATTTTCACAGCGCTCTTTCTCAGCGCACCTGGCACCTTTGAGGGATAAGAAAGCCACTCCGGCTTCTCCAGCTCTTCTATCAACGGAATCAACATGAATTCTCTTCTTCCATAGAAATCGTGGTCCATCTAAAGCAAGGCTTTCGTATTCCCCTCCTTCGCCCAGCACAGCAGCTTCAATACCTTCATCCAAGAACCGTCCCAGTCTCTTCACAATTGACCTCCTGACTGTTCCGTCTTGACTTACAAGGTCACCCCATAAAGTACTTTCATCTAGCCCGCCGCTGGCTACTTTTATTACTCTCGCTTCACAGCCGCATGCAGCCATATCGTCTAGCAGCCCTGTAATAGGTACTCTGGCCGCGGCAGCAGCATTATTCCCGTACTGTACAGGTGCAGGGAGGTACGGGTACATCCACAGCCACGCAAGAGGTATCAGGTTCAACCGTATCGCAACATTTTCGATCCTAGTTCGCTGGTACGTGGACAGAACAGCACCTGCACACACAGCATTCGCTTCCGGGTGGGAGTCTATAACCCGTCGAAGTAGCTGATATATCGATTCTGTTTCATCTTGTTCTTGTTCGTCTGCGAGAGTCTGGTGGTAATAGTCTCGAGACGTATTCACTGCACTCCCCCTTATCTCCTGCCGGAATAAAGGAATGTCCAAAGCTTCCTGGTAAAGCGGAATTACGCTGTATCCAATCGTCTGGGTACATGTAGCTGTCCAGATCTTTGTCCTCCTCATCTGTCTCAATCCTCTCTCCCCCTTCATCTCGTCCTGGATGAGGTGGGGGGTATAAATTGGCGAGTGCAACGACCCCTATGTCCATTTTTCATGCAATGTAAGATGGTATAGAGAGAGTCCTTCCCGCCTGATATCAGAGCAATAACGTTCAGCTGTCCAGACATGGTGGGCGTCTTGGGTGATAGTGGACTGTCGCCTGCTGCATTAGCTGTTGGCTGCTGGTGAATCGACAACTAGCTGCTCTGACGGTGTCTTGTCACTTTCTTTGATCGTGTCACCGAACCAAGCACATGGAGTCACTAGTTCCAAGCTGATTTACCTATTGACAGGCGCCCAAGGCATCGGCTATCGAAAACACGCTGGATGGCCTGGGATCGAAGTTTGCACGAGGTTCTCCCCAGGCATTTTGGCCCCACAGACGTGATAACTAATAACTCTTTGATAGTTTATTCTCTGACTTGTGTTATCTGCCATGTAACTACCAAGCTCTTAACTAACTACAGACCATGAAAAAAAAGAAAGAGGATTTCCTCCTATTCAATAATACACCTATAAATAGATAAGACAAGCTCTGGAAGTTGAAAAGAAAAATCAATATCAATAAATATATTCCTTTTTTATTCTCTTTTCTTTTGATTTAACTAAATACATCCAACAAAAGGGAAGGGGAAAAATTATTATGTACGTTCGCTCAACGAAAGCAGAGCGAGGTACTGAGTAGGTATTGCCGAACAAAATTTATAAGGGGGAAAGACGGGAAATGAATAAGATAAGAATATAATACAGTAGCGACGGTTAAGAAGGTATATCAAGGCGAAGAAGAAAAAACGAGGATAGAGTGATACGTTTGCAGAGGCAAGTAATATAATTAGGTCGCACGCGGAACTCGCATGTGGGCAAACAAAAAGCAGTATCTGGCGTGAAAGTCATAAGAGAAGAAGAAAAAAATATGCTAAACGGGGGAAAGATGACCATGAATTAAAAAGAAAAGCTAAAGGCGAGGGTAAAGAAGAAAAAGAAAACAAGAGCGAAAGGGAGGCAAACAATTATAATAATATTTATCAAGTACAAAAGCTATGAAGGATAAAAAGATAGGCGGGAGGTAAGAATGTAGTATATGGAGAGTGGCGAGGCCGCAAGGCCAAAAAGGGCTTAAGGATAAAGAGTAAAAGTATGCTAGGACCAGCGAAGCATTTTGCGAAGGCAATAGGGTAGTTAGAATGTTGTTGCCGATGTTCAACAGCGAGTCAACACAGTGAAGCAGCGAGTATTAAAACGGTTAAGAGTAGTTCAAGTAACAGGGAAGTAATGCATGAATATCTAGAAAGAAAAGAAAAGCTCATGGCCGAGTAAGCGGGAGCTCGGGGGTGATGGGAGAAGTCATCATTGTATGATGAGAGATCTTGAGAAAGAAAACCCAGAGCCACCCTTTGAGAAAAGGAAGTAAAAAAGTCAGACCTCTGGAAACGCCAATGCCCTGGAACACCAATCCCCTTTATGATGATGAGTTGTGCGCCGATTATATGAGTGAGTAGTATCTCGAATGCCCGTGGATATAAAATTATGTGTCCGGTGAATATGAGCTTTCAGCCCGGGAATAAATTTTGTAAAGGAAAATCATTATCCATACGAAGTGCAAAGCGGAAGAGAAAAAATTGGAATATTTTTACTCGGATGCTTCACGCTTGCGCTTCTTGAGTGGGCGTTTTCGGGTTGTGAAAGGCGCAGAAGACTGGTTGTCTCGGGTGGAGAGGCCGCTATCCGAAGATTCACTGGTCGTTGACTTGTTGGCGGCAGCTTGGGCAACTTCATAAAGTACGGCGCCTAGAGCTCCGGCGTCCTGGTCATCAAAGGGAGATGACTCGGGATGGTGATCGGACATGGTCATGGGCATTCCGGAGCCACCGTGGGTACGTGTGTGTTGAGCAAGATTGTCACTGCGGGAGAACTTCTTACCACAGTCCTGGCACTCAAATGGCTTATCTTCAGTGTGAAGAGAGCGATAGTGACGCTTGAGGTGCTCTTGACGTCGGAATCGGCGGGAGCAGAGGGTGCAGACGAAAGTCTTGGATGGATCCTCAGTTAGGGACTGTTTGCGGCCACGGCGGCCGACAGGGACCATTGGAGTGGGAGCTGGGGTCTCGGAAGAAGTAGTGCTCTGTGGGTTTGTCTCCGAGCTTTCATGGCTTGGTGCTCCGGATTGCTGCTGTGCCTGTGTGGAAGACGAGTCGGTGTGTGAGGCGCGGTTGTTCACGTTACTCTGAGCACTTCGCATGATGGCACCCAGGCTGTCAGCATCGCTGTCCTCAGGTCCAAGAGGGAATTGCCTGATACGTCTACCAACGGCAGATACTCGCTTCTTTGTCCTCATGTCGTCGGCAATGAGGCACTGCTCAGCACTGTCGAAGTCTGGGAGCGGGATACAAGAGCGGGCGAACAAGTCACTCTCCTCTAAGTCGTCCAAGCCCTGTTCGCTTATAGCGTCCTCTTCATGGGATGTGGTAGCGGTGGTGCCGTTGTTGGCGTTGCTGGCAGCGCGTCGACGCTTCTCGCCAAGCAAATAACCGTCGTCGGGTGGCGTGAAATTAACGATACCGTTGACAAATTCGTCCTCAGAATCAAGGTCCGAGATAGCATCGAAGGCCGACAGGCTCTCGAGAGTATCGTCGTGACTCAGCCCAGGAACGGTGAGGCTCTGCTCTAGCTTACAGTTCAGCGAGCTGCTGAGAAGGGTGGACCGCGACCTGTCTTCGTCAACGGTTGAGAGTGGTGGGAGTGGCGGGTAGTCGGGAACGGGGAGCGAAAGCACTGGGCATTCGACAGTGAGCTGGCGCGGGTCACAGAAGTCGGTGCTGGAGGGCTGCTGCGCAGAGAACGAAGTCGTGGGCGTCTCGTGGAGAAGCGAGGAAGAGGAAGTCATGATGGGAGAGCGAGAAGACGAGCGAGAGGATGATGAGGTAAGCGAAGAGCCGCTCTCAGTGCCGCTATTGGAGGTAAGGTGGTTGGCCTCGGCAAGCGGTAAACTGGCATTGGAATGCACCGAAAACGGACGAACATACACTTTATTAGTGCCAAGAGTTAGTATATCCTGACCTGACCTCAGACGATAAACAATATAAAAAAAAGATATAGATTAAAGATGTCCGATAAACAAGATTAAAGGGACAAAAACTCACAAGGTGTCATCTCAGGAGAGGCAGATCTGTGCCAGTGAGAGTTGGCGAGGAGCTCGAGTTCCACGTCTGTCTCGCAGCCCTCTTTGACACCTTCAATGCCTTCCATGCGGAAAGAGTCACCGCCAATGGGAGTGTTAGTCATTCCACAGCTTGATGGGGGGCTGCTGATGCTGCTACCAGAAGTTGACAGTGGGGGAGTAGATGGAAATCCGTTTGCATCAGCCCAGCCACAGTTTGTGTCCAAAGACAGAAGTGCGGGCGAGCCATGAAGGAAAACACTAGGCTTGATGTGCATCGGCTGTGGAGAGGGCGATGGGCTGTGTGTTGCGTTGGGAGTCGAGAGATAATCCTTTGCACTGAGTGGTCTGAACTGAGCGCCGTTCTGCTGGTCAGATGGGTGAAGGTGCACCTGTGGCTGCATGTGGGAGTGCTGAGCGAACTGCTGTGGCATCTGAGGTTGCACCATCATCATCTGGTTCTGGGAGTACTCGTTTGGGTGAGGAGTGAAGAAGGCATGCTGGCCGTGGCGTGACTCTGGCTCTGGGTTGTAGTAGTAAAATGATGGCTGAGCCTGTTGGGGAACACAGGCTGGGTCCATTGTGAGAAGGAGATTTGATAGGATAATCTGGCCAATTTCGTTAGTTAAATCACTAAGAACCGAAACACCACCCCTCTTTGCCCATGATCGTACGATCTGGCTTCCTTGTCAACCTACCAATTAAATAAATATGTAAATTCAGTCAAAAATGAGAAAAGGTATTATAATTCTGTCTTGCAAGTGCTCCCTAGGGAGAGATGGCGTATCAAAAAAGGAGCGTATAGAACTTGGAAGTTCGGCAAAGAGTCGCAGGTCGAGCACTCGTGAGGTTTCGACTATCAGAGAAGCAAAGGCTGCTTTTCCCTTTCGAGTCTTAGTAGTCGAGTTTCGTTTGTCCGCAACCCATATGGTATTAGAACTTCCTGAGGTATTGTTAAAGAACGGCTTTGTTTGAGTCGACGAGTCGAGATGGAGGGAGGATAGGGAGGGAGTTAATAGGTATTAAGGAGTGACTGATGAAGCCTGAGAGTTCTGAGAGGAGGTAGAAGAGAGTGTGAAGGAACAGGCAGGCCAACAGCGTAAAGTAAATATAAAAACAGAACCAGAAGAATTAAAAGAGAGGAAGTAAAAAAAGAATATGGAGAAGATGATAAGTATATAAACGACGAGTTTGACGGGCAAGGCGAAAGAAGGGAGGAAAAAACAATTAGTGAACTAAAAAGAGAGTGACTGGACGACAGTTTTGTCCAAATCAGAGGGTGCAAACGAACGACGAGGGAAGCCAGGCAGATTAACGCGGAATCGAGGTGTGTGGCTCAAGAAGAGAGACGACGAAGAGAAAAAGAAAAGAAATGGCAATGAGTGTATATCAGTGGGAAGAAGAAGATGAAGGAGAAAAAGAAAGTATGAAGATAGGACGATGAAGAAGAAGAGGGAGATGAAGAGAGAAAGAGTGCAAGTGGCAGAATAAGAGCGTGTCAATCACTTTCTCTCTCTCGCTCTCGTTCCCCCCAGCACTGGTGCAGGCTAGGTTGCCAATCCAGCGAGTAGCATGAACCGTTAAGACACGCCGGCCGCCATCCAGTAAGCGGTCGAGCGGGCGCGGGCGAGGTCCCAGTGGCCAGGTGGATATTCTCTTTTTCTTTTTCGCTGGTGGTTGATGATGCTTGCTTCTTTTGCTTTTTTTTTTTCACTTTTTTTTTTTTTTTGCGAACTCGCCCAGACGACGCTACGACGGCCCAGTAGCCATGCCGATTGTAATTGCACAAGAAATGGATATGCTTGTGGGTGTAACTAACAAACCTCGTTAGTTGGTCTGGGGCCGCTGGCCGGAGGATGGCGCAGCCTACGACTCCACTGACAAATGGAAAAAGCAAAAAGGGGACCAACGCGAGGAAAGGCTCACCATTGCGCTGCTGATCCCAGCCAGACAGACAGACACCCATGAAGCACACATCACAGCACAGCACACAACACACCACGCTCACACAGGCTTGCTCACTCTCTGTCGCTCCCTTGGCCCTGAGGACCCTGTCTGTGCCTGCCTGCGGTTGCGGTCAGCGAGGCACCCCCAGGTAAGACTCCGGGTAGAGTGGCCAACGAGCCAACAAGAATGCATAACAGGGGATGTGGGCATTCTCAGACTAACCCTGTGCTCCGAAGGGTGGAAAAGCCAGCAACGGGACATAATACGTAATGTCATGCACTTTCTGACTGTCCATCCCCATCCGTCCCAGAGGGACAGATACCATATACAGATTCCGTACATCAACACCTTCACCTCATTCCCGCGCATGCGGTGTACATATGTACTTTTCAGGGACATGGCGGTATTTGCTCGGCCTCAACTAGGTTCGTTGTTTGACCTCAAGATGTGCCTGCGCATATACTTCGCACACGTACGGAGTACTTACACACCCTCACGCTCACACACCCTGGGCCATTAACCTTCAGGAACGCCAGATTGGCGCTGCTATTGGATCGCCGCTGACCGAGCGAGCAGCCAGCATCCGTGAAATCGTGACATTGTGTTCGGAATAGTGAGAGTTGAGGGCGGTGTGTGGGCCGCCGATTCCAGTGCTGGAGATGAGGCCATCGACGCCGGATGGCCGTGACAGGCGCATCCGTTCCATGCAGCCAGATTGGACAGGCGTAAGGGGTGGTTGGTTGGATATGCCCATACCCTTCCCCCCCAAAAAGTTACCACAACCAATGCCGTGAAAATCAGCCTGTTTCTTCTTTCTGGCTATCTCGATGCTTCATCTCTGTTGTAACTATTTTTTGGCTGGTACGTACCGTAGAAAATAGAGTAAATGTATACTCTAGGGTCCACCAGTCGAGAGCCACTTTGTGGACATGAAACTTGACGGGAAAAATGCGGAGGTTAGAAAGTCGGAACGCCAGGGTGCTCACAGCGGCAGATACGATTCGTGGACATGGCTCCTTCTGTTGGTGCTCGCCCATTTTTTTTACATGTCTGCTTCCCTGTCAGTTCAAGCGTCGCTCTGGTCAGGATAAGAGCACGCGCGCTCGACCCTTGGGGAAAAGTGACTACTCCAAACACTAAGATGGCTGAAAGAGAACGAACTTTCTCTTCTTGTTCATGTCCCTTAGCGCACTTAGTTCACGTTCGACCCGTTCTGGCGGGAGAGGCAGCGTGCTCAAACACCCAAATATGGACGTTATACGCAGTACGCAGGATGCACTGTTGTTTTTGTTTTGAGGGTGGGAAAGTATGCCTTGGTAGAAACGTCCAACTAGAGCCGTTCATACTGCCATGCGAGCGACGACATTTTACAACAGAAGCGCCGTTGAAGAAAAAGCCGCCAGAAAAGAAATCTCTTTCTGACTGTCATTGAGCGTCGAGTTTGTTTTTTGCCTGCTGCCCTTCTGTTTTTGCTACCTATTTTTCTTCTTCTGTGCCTTTCCGTGTGCCGCCTTGTCGGTGATGTCGGCCCACTGATTCAACTATAAAAAGAACGAGTAAGAGGGAGATGATTGCCCACGAAGGATCCATCTTCATGCACAGTTCTGATGCCAGAGACTTTCTGACACACCGTGCAGAACGATAAAAAGAACCTCCAAGAGGGCGAAAGGGAAGAAGTAAAGAAAAAGGAAAGTCAAGATAAGAAATACTATATTCATAAGTCAGCAGTATCATAAACCTTTTTTTCTTTCTTATTGTCTGTCACCTTTCGCTCCCCAACGGTAGAGAGATGGGTCATCAAAGGTATCCTTCTGGTCACCGTCTCTTGCTCTTCTTACTCCGTAGCTAAAAAGCAAAAGTATTGCTGATGGACATTTTGAACGAACCATTCCGAAGCGTTGCGATGGAAAAGCTTCGGCATTGCGTCCTCTCTTGACACTTATTTTTGTTTTCTCACCCATTGCTAGGCGGTCATAATCACATTTTTCGATGATCGCCAGACCGCGAGTCCCAAGGGAAATTCTGAGAGCTGAGCTTGACAAACAAGGTACTCCCTACTAGAGCAAAACTCAGGAAGAAGCGAGGTCTTCGTTTTCCCAGCTGTCGGGTCGATTCCCCAGCTGCACTGTCAAAGCATGCACCATGCCTTCTTTGTTTGCCTTGACCTGGCCATGGGGCTAGTTATGACAGATAACTAGCCAGATAGCTGTGATAGCACCACCATTGCTCCATAGCTAGCTCGTTTCGAGCAGCCGTGCATCAAAATACATGACAGAAAATCGGCACTATTGCCCTTTTGTGCTCCAATGATCTGAACTCTATCCTCTAGAACGGACCGGGGAAGCAGAGGCGCTCGCTCCGTCCACAATTTCTGTCTTGACCGATTAGAAGCTTTGTTCGACGTTTTACCTGGTGTTGCTGCGATGCTAAGTGGGATCTGTGTGTTCTGCTCTTGGACGTTGCAATGACCGACTTAACGCCTTCAATGCATTGACCTTCGATAGTCATTTTGCTGTTTTCATTTTGAAAAAAAGGGTCCAGGTCCGACTCCAGGACGCGCTAATTGGCAGTTATTTTACCCCTGCAGATTGTTATGGGAAGGGCAGTACTCCGTGCCACGGATTGATTTAATGTGCACAGAGCAAGACAGATTGTTATTCCCTCTGTCTATCTCATCTCAGAGACAACAAATGTGATGTGACTGTGCATGCCAGTGTAAATGCTCCGATTTGTGAGATGCTTTCTGGTCTGCATGCATGCAGGCAACCGAGGAACGCCGGGTGCACAGCATGAAAATTTCTGATACACCAAGAAAGCAAGAAAATGTTACCCTAACTTGAGTATCAGACCAGCCTCAGCGAAGACGAATTCGTAGCTCTAGGGTTGACGTACTGGCGAGCCTGTTTTTCTTGTCATGTGCGTATACAGAGTAGTGCACTTTTGGCTTCGTAGGCATGAGTATATACCTAGCAGGTCCCAGGTATAGCTCTGTGGGACGTGACATATTCCTTCATTCATCAACATCATCTTCCTCCGCCTCATTCCCCAGCCGCCACGACACTGGAACGAGTCATGATGCGCAGTCACCTCGGCCTTCGGCTAACCAGACACAGCACAAACATGCACAAACAGGCAAAGTTCTTGTCTGGTGGAAGTTGTTTCCCCTCCAGGAACAGGGATATCAGGAACCAGAACTGCACCAGTCGAACAAACCTTCGAGAGACCCTTTTGAAACCGCGAGTTACAAGTGCAAAACGGGACACCCCACACCCCGCCGTAGTTATCTGATATCACGATCGAGGTTAGAAGGCCGGAAGCTTGATATGAAAAAGGGCAAAAAGGTAAAGGCATCTTCCATGTCTGGGTCGATTCATGCAGATATCAAGTCACGGCAGTTGAAAAGACGACGGCAGATACCTGCTTCCGGCAGTCATTTTCTTGATCTTATCTCATGACGATTTGTTCCACGGCTCGATATACCGATCGTGTAGCTGCTACGTGTATCCTGCAGAGTCGTGCGCGTCGTCTTCTATTTCTCATTTTCTTTTTCTTTTTCGTTTTAATATGAAGTGAGGATTCCTTGCTTGATGCCGGCAAGAGTTGACGTTGACGTTGAATCGAAGTTGTCGAGTGCACATGTAACAGTTGGAAGTTGGAAGTGCAGGCAGACACAGCTCTGCTTATGTAAGTTTAACGCATATTCCAGGCTATCTTCACAATTTCAAGATATCAGATATCTCTCCACTGCTGTCACACGCAGCTGGAGAAGTTTGTACCATAGACATAGTCTACACGTCGACTCCAGCGCGATGGGGAGCGATCAACTATAGATCGAGATGAGCTGACTGCGACACCCCATCTCAAGCGTGCCAGCGGCTCCGCCCGATCAATACGGAGACCTCACCCGATTCTACCAGCAGGCGGCAAATCTCCATGGCAAATCATCACGTACTATGTCATTACTATGTGTGCACTACGGAGTACTCCATACTCGCGGCGAGGTTGACCAGAGGAAAGAAAGCATGTGAAATGATTATGCAACGACGCCGCGCCGATAGACTACTTTCAAGCCTCTCAGATCCGGGGTAAGAAAAAGGTAAAAACCGTTCCTATCAGCTGTCAACCTTTTGGCAAAGCTGCTCGACGGAGCAGACTGATAGAAACCTCAAGGGCGCGTAAGGCCTGTCTGCACAGTCCCGTGCGTCAAACCCATTTTACGAAACCCCAAGGTGCGCTCCCAAATGCCTCCAGAGCACATCGACTGTCCTCGGGCTAGGTCCAGGACAACATGGCTAATAATGACCCAAGAGAGAACTTGATTTCCACAATGTCACGGAGGTGTGGAAATAGTATACATAAGTAACACTAACACAGGGAACAACCAGCTGGGAAACTTTGCCGTCGGCCATCCACGCCCCCTGCAGAAGAGGACCACTATGAAAGTCTGTTCCTGACCCAGGCGATGTGAAGGCCGCTCCACTGGTCCATACCAGGAAGCTTCGACTAGCGTCTGAACCCTAGGAAATTGTGAAACACGCCAGAAGCCCATCGAGTTGTTCCTGTACCCTGGCCTTCTCAAGGGCCCAAGGATGGACGGCTCGGAGTAACTGGACTCAGGACAAGGGAAGGGCCAGCAATAGGTACCCGAGTAGAGGCAATTCGCCCGTCGTGCATGGAGGAGGGTAGCATGGGCGAGTTGGAAATGCAGCCTTGCCAGGCCAGGCACAGGTTGAGCCTGGCGAATATACTCTGGATGCTCAAGTTCGAAAAGGTCTTCCGACTGTGGGCGGCAGATAAATTATCACCTTGCATTAAAATGGTCGAATCGTGCGTATATTTAATTTCCCTCGCTGTTGCCATTGGTATCAGCAATCCTCGACAAAAAGGCCGTTCCAAGGCTGTATCTGAACAAGCTCCGTCCCTCCCCTTCCAGCAAGACGATCCCCTTCCTCCTCTCGAAAATATCCTGCCCTGCCCTGCACCCAACTGGGTTGCCTAGAACAGACTGTGGGATTCGAGCAAGAACAACTGAAACAAGTTCTATAAATGGCAAATCTATCAAGTATTGTTTCATTGCTGCCAGGCACACGTACCTAGGTACTGGACCCTACAATATTAAACACTACGGAAATCTTATATACCATCGCCTATCTCCGAGAATCCCAAATGGACATCTAGTTTTTTCACGCCTTACTGGTTGAAATAAACCAATAAGGGCATGTCTACACGTTGCTTCGGTGTATTTCTATGACTGTGTGAAACATTCCTGTCGCTTAATTTTCATGGTTGGACTCTTGAACGAGCCAGGCAGACCACCTTGCCACATAGTGCGCCCACAGAAGGGCGGCGTCAAAAGTCAAGCACGATGTAAAACATCGACCTTGCATCAACGAAACAGCAAAATAACTCTCTGCTCGATATCGTTCGCCGCTAACTTAACTACCAAAGGTGCAATTCATTCATTCGCCTATTTGGCTATTTGGCTCGCCTAATACCCGGCGGTGTGATATTGCATGATTCTTGTGTTTCAAACACCGTTCAAGTCAGTGACAAGCAATCAGCTTTTGCATATTGTGCGATGGTGAACACGACGGTTATTGAGAGACTGGTCTAGCCTATTATACATATAATGGATTCGAATATATGCATGGACTAAGATGCCCCAACTGCGCTTGGCGGCTGTGTGTCTGTAAACAAAGCACGGAGCACTGAAATAAGAAGACTCTCCTCCGGTTCCTACCATGCAACAGGTATCACCTTTCCTCTCCTCCGGATGGAGATGGATTCCGAATATCGGCCTATTCAGCAGGCGAAACAGCCTCTGGCATGACACACTCCTGGCCAGAGGCAACATCGTGAAAAAATTGAGTCCTTGCATTGGCCATCATCCCAAAGACGCCTTCAAATCCGCCGTGCGAGTGGATGCGCGTCCTAGCAGTACCGGCAGGCGGGGGACGCTACGAGCAAAAAACCATCCAATAGCCACACTGGACCACCAGGCGGTTCCGGCCTTTTTTTCACCAATACGAGCTGTGCTAGGGCCCATTGCACATTTTCCTGCTGAACTAAATATTAATGGGACCCTATGATCACGCCCGAAAACTGTCTCGGATGCAGATTTTTGGCCGGAGCCTTTTTATTTGCTATCTTATCATTGACGAATTTTTTTTGAGTCAACTCTTGGCTGCTCACCATACTTGCATCCAGCTCACCTCCCAGCATGTGGTTGAATAGGAACCTCCGCGAGATCCGCCAAGGCGAGAAAGAGGCATGTTCCTTGAAAGCATAGTGAGACTTAACTCTGGGCAGAGGGCATTACTATCACAGGTCCGACAGCAAGGTACATGGAAGAACCATCACACGAGAATAGATGTACCGGCAAATAATATATGGTTCCGATTACAATTCTCCTTTAAGTTGCTTATTTTCGTCGACTAGCCCAGATAAGGGAACGCAGGTTCACAGATACCTCCAAGGGTGGTACTGCTGTTGTGCAGAGAACGGAGTATGGAGTACGAGATTACGAAATTAATGCAGTTTAGTCTCCCATCGGTTATGTTCTTCGGACTTGCTCCCTTCCAATCCAGCCACTTCATCTTTCCCGCTCGAAACTCAACCCCCAATATGTCGGAGTTTAACGCGACAGCTCCATCATTTCCTTGGTGGATTTTTGCGCTAGCAGAGCCAGAACCGCGAAAGGGTGCCTGAGCATCATCGCCCCCCCACACGCTGAGGGCCAGACACACGGTTACCTCGCTTTTAGAGACTGGACTATTGATCACACCAGCGATTTGCCTTTAAAGTATGCAGCTGTCGATCCAGGACGCTTCCTTTCCCCATATTTGTCGTCTTCCATCTCGACTTTGGTTGGACTCCACTGATCGCTTATATTTTACGATTGTACGACATGCTGTGAAACTACCGATTGAGGCGAATATTTTTTTCACTATCTGTACTCTCTACCTCTCTATCTACCTTCAAGGACATTCGCCATTGCTACATCACGGCAGAAAATCGAACGCCATGCGTCTGATCATTGGTAAACTTCCGGTTCAGCCCATCGGCTATCTGTAGTCTATTTACCTTCCTTTGAACCTTCTAGATCTCTTCTCCAGTCTTCCAGATGGAATACTTTGTTCCTCGCAGCAAATAAGCCGGTGGGGACAAAGACGATGGCATTCCAATGGTCTACAACGAAGAGTTCTTGATTTTATCTGACTATTGTGTCGCATCAATCTCGTCAACGTTCAGCAACTTGAAACATGCAATGATTATACAACCTTCGCACAATTCGTCTTTACTTCCTTTTTTTTCGTTCGCCTTCCAGAAGCACGGCAGATCTGATACCATCTGCAGGTTATTGCCAATATAACCCAACTCTTTACTTTAGAGGGAAAGAAGCAAAAGTCAGACAGGATTTGCCCCTCCCAGAATGTCAAACGTGCCACATGGTACGGAGACAAAAACAGACAAAAAGAATCGCATGGTGTCGATCAGGCGATCTCATTCTTCATTATCAAATTCAGCTACGCATTCAAAAGCGCGCAAGTCCCTCTAGCCAGAGATGCAATATCGCATCAACGAAGTGGGTATCTTCCTTGGAGGTACAAAACGCAAAAGTGGTGATCAATTTTCGTCTTCTGGATACCCATATATCAAAGGCTCCGCAAGCATATGATAACTCGGATGTTTATTCCCGCGGTAGGAAAGGATGGACACCAAGGTCGTCATCCTTCGTGACGTCATGGTATACCAGTCACTTATCGGCAAAAGATTAAATCTCACTGAGAAAATCAAGAGGGAATGAACCAAGGACACTGAGATGTGCTTGTTGCGAGCAGCATGGAGAAGCAAGAACAAGACTGGAATAACATGAACATATTGGCCTCAGCGAAAGTGTCAAGTGAGATCATGGGGCTAAATAGCCATTCAGTCTCTTCCTATTATGTTTTCATAGATACCGAGAGTTATGCTCCCGTATATCCCATCATCGGCCATGAAAAAGAGAAAAGAAGAAAGAGAAAGAGAAAGCAAGAAAAAAATTCGGAAAGGGAAAGACCTAGGCTAAAGATATGTCACGTGACGTGCTGACTTATCATTAAGCGAGGCTCTGTTTGCACAGTTTGTTCTTTCCCGTATGTGGACTAGCGTCTCTCTGTTGAGCTTAGAATATAAAGATTTTTTCGTTGACTTTTTCTTATTTTTCTTCTCTTCTTTCTCTCTCTCGTGCGGCGAACGCAGCGTAAAATGATTCCTATCATTACCCGTGTTACCTATGCGTCTGAAGCTGTCTGTACAGGCAGGTTCGTCAGTGATGTTATTCATTTAGGTGTCAGCTGCGTCCCAGAGAGATGAAATTGCACGTTGATTCTTACTTTTATTGGCTCTTCTATACACCAACTGGAGTGGCCATTTGTTGGGATCGAACACTCATTCTATACCTATTCCGTACTGCTTTTACGTGTATATACCTTTCCTAGAGTACCGTTTGTGAGAATGGAAGTGTCTTCAATGTTATTATTATGCTGTCATGAAGCTCTCTTTGGCCTATGGCGGGTTACCCATTTTTTTGATCTACTAATACTTGAACGCGCTTCAGAGAACAGTCTGTTTAGTTGCCTGCAGCGCCAACCTTCTCTATGACACCTTCTCTCTTCTCTCCTGCCTCGCCGAAGATGCGTAGTCTGTCTACTCTTATCTTCTCGCCGTCTCCATCGCCGTCAACGAAATACACATTCAGGGAAGAAACTCCCTGGAACATGACATACCGGAGCTCAACAGTGGCAGTGCCCGTCTTTGGGTCCCAGTCCTTGGGTGATATTTCGCAAGTCTGCACAGGTTTTGTGTCATCCGCGTCCTCAAATCCGATAATGTGGGTGTGGTTTGTAAAGAGCTTTATCGTCCTTGGCCGCATGGGTGCATCCTCTTCGTCATCGCTGTATGGTGGGAGTGAGGTTATTTGTAGAGAATGGATCTTGGTGGAGGACTGAAAGGGGATGAACACAATCAATTGCTCGTCCGTATCACTTAGAACCCAGTCTGGTTCTGTAGGCTCTTTTGCTTTGCCCTTCGCGTTGGCTGCTGCCAGTGTCCCGGGAATCTGGCTGTCGAACAAACTTCTTGCGGGCCCGGCTTCGTCGTCGCGGTTGAGCATATCTATGCCCTTCACTTCTACCTCATCCGTGATATTCTGGTACGTTCGGGGAGCAGGCGCACCTAGCCAGGCCGAACTTTCACTACTACCTGATTCCTCCGGCGCTTCAACAGCTTCGCCATTGGCAGCCCGCACACCAGCCATGACTGCATTTGTGAGGGCTTCTTTTCCTGCTCCTTTTATCCGTCGTAGAATTTCACCGTCTTTGTAAACGATGAAGGTGGGCATACTAAACCAGGAAACGTGACATATTAGCTCCTTCTGAGTTCCATATCCAATCTGCGCATGATAACAGTATAAACTGCTTTGTAGACAAATTGACAGGCACATACGCTGTGACAGTGAAAAGCCCAGCGATTTCTTGTTGATTGTCCACATTGACCTTTGCGAACTTCACCTTTTCGCTAGAATGTTGCCCTGCAAGGCCCTCAAATACCGGGCGTATTACTGTACATGGCCCGCACCAGTCCGCGTAGACTATAGGGAAGCAAACGAATTAGTTTCAGGTTGAAATTTTAAGGTAAGTTGAGAGTTAAAGTAATTGCTTCAACGTTATTGATGCTGATGATGGTGGGGTGACGAGGGGCAGGCTCAGCTGCTTGCAGGGAGGGGCGTCTTACAGTCCGCTACTACAACAGGAGTCGTTGATAGCAATGCTAAGAACTGCTCTGTAGATGTGATTTCAATCATCTTCGACATCTTGGGTCTTATCGTGGTTAGTCAGGTTGCGGTGGTGACCTGTTTTGGTTTTGAAGACGTTGGCAACTTCGCGCTTAGTGACTTTATTTTAAATAAAGTAAGCAACCTGTTCCCATTTTTAGCCGCAGGCGCTACTTGCCGTACATACACCACCGGGTATATGTGCTACTATTATCTTGTATCAAACATGGAATGGTCTAGGTATACATGCCCTCTCTTCCGTGAAAACTAGTAAGCCCATTAACGGGCTGGAGACCATCTAGACTTAAGGTACTCCTCGGTTTGATATAAATTCAAATTCCCAAGAGGCTACATACAAAGTGACGCCAGCAGGTGACGTGGCCCATGTCGTACCTGAAGACGAGTCTTAATGATGAGAACGAGCAAGTTACAGACATAGATTTATATTTTGATGCTCATATGTTATCCCAAGTTGAATTGATTGAACTATTCCAGAACCGCTGTAACCAGGCTTCAATATGCTGAATATAATTAAATAGTAGCAGCCGTTCGATAACATAATTTGATCCAATAAAAGGACTCAACGCGAGTTCTGGAGTATTGCAGTACCAAATGTCGTAGGGAACACCTCAGCAAAAGGATACAAGTATCTTATCTCTACGCTGGCTAAGGAGGTTAGCGACGTATCTGATATGCGGTAGTGAGAATTCTGGTGATTCCCATAACTTGGCTCTGCTGCTCATAATGCAAATTGGCCTTCCATCAATTTGTTCGAGGGACAACATATCATGCTCGATGTCCTCTTTCGAAGTGTTTGCATGCCAGTATCGTATAGCTTATGGCAATAGCTCTCGCCACAACAGCACATCATATTGTGGTAAGTATTGGCCACAAAGGCTCATCCATCCACATCTTCATGAACAGCAAACACAACCTTAGCCCATAAGCTACATCCTCGACACCCTATAAAAATCTCTCCCTTCTCAACTTCCTTCTCCAAATCTTCCTCAGTGACCATAAACCCCTTCTCGTCGCCACATCGACAACCTCGATACCACGTTTCAATGGCCTCTTGCTCTCTATCCCCATCGGGTTGACATACGACCGTCTCCATTGCCATATCGTCAAGGTCAAGCACCTCTAAACCCGTGCGGAAAATAGAGTCATCTTCATCTCCGTTTCTGTCAATGTTTGCACTAGCCGCTCGAAATCCAGATAGCAGAAGAAATTGATCATATTCAGCCTTTGCTGCTGGATTCGAAAGAACCTTATAGGCAGTTGTAATCTGGTCAACGGTGCGGGTTTCCGCGGATTTAGGGGTATTTAGATCGCCAGATAGGCTCTCCTGCTTTTCGCTCTCTCCTCCAGGCGGAGATGGTATTGACGGGCCAGATTTATCCGGATGATATTGAAGCAAGGTACGGTGGTAGGCCGCCTTAACGTCTTGTTTTCTCAATGAAACTGGAGGATGAGGGAGGCCAAGAATCTCGTAATGCGAAATAGCCCCATGGCTAGACTGTGAGGGGGCCATTAAACATACGGGAGCTATCTCTCCTACTGGTTGATGTCTGTGACCATCGCTCGCACCTTCCAGGTTTAATTCCGTCGAATTTGTGCCTTCTGCTTAGTCAGCCGAATTTTCCTGTAGCTACAGCGCTTTTCGAAGCATCCATCATATTGAGCACATTGAACATAAATCATACATTGATACTATTCGGTATCAAAGTGACGGCTGATAACGGCCTCTCCATCATACACCTACTCGTGAGAAAAAAGTGCAAGTTTGCCCCTTTTATGGTCCGCCTGGATATCAGCCCATCCAGTTCAGCTTCTTTCCGGGAGCCGAAACTAAACTATTAACGAGAACAAAGCTGATCCTTGGGATTATTTAGCCCAGCTCAGCTCAGCGATCCACAAGCCTTGCTTTAAATATTGCTGCCTCCCCTGCGCCGTTTAAACAAAAGACAAGTATTTCTCTTCAATCCATTTTTCTCCAGGTCACCATTTTCTAGCGGCCGGCGCACTTTACCCAGGCTACTACCATTCACAATGCGCGCCATCAGCTTGATCGGGACCCTGTCTGTCCTTACAGTTCTAGTTTACTGGCTGGACTCGAATCTCAGTAACTTTTACATCTTCAAGCCGTCGAGACTTCAGGAATTGGCAAAGGCGTCAATAGCCAAACATCCCAATAATGTCACGGCATTGATGGTGGATCTGAACCTGGCACTGCAGGAAGAATATGGCAGCCAGCACATTGAGACTTTTACCACGGAGCCTGAAAAATGGATTTGGAGGTATTTCCCTTTCCATTTACCATTTTCTGCCAATTGCTGTATTGGACAACGGTTCTTTAGTATATGACTAACGGGGTTCTGCAGTAACCACGGAAGCGCTATGGGAGCGTTCCATATTCTCCACGCGTCCGTCACTGAATACTTGATATTCTACGGCACTCCTATCTATTCCAGTGGACATTCTGGCCTTCACTTGGCTGATGATTACTTCACCATTCTCAGCGGTACGGAAAAGGCCTATAGACCAGGACAGCTGGAGGCTACCACATATCGGCCTGGAGATATCAATCACTTGCCTCGGGGACAGTCGATACACTATGCCATGGATGGATGGGCTCTGGAGTTAGCGCAGGGTAAGTAAACTTTTGCCTCTTAGGCCGTGAAATAATCGGTATATCTAGGGATGAAAAATGCTAATATAAATGGCTTGTAGGCTGGATTCCAAGTATGCTTCCGTTCGGGCTGGTGGAATCATTGACCAGCAACCTTGACTTTGTCAATCTTTGGAAGACGTGCAGTTTGACCGCGGATCTGATGGGTAGGCAGCTATTGCTCGGGAAGTTTTAAAAAAGGGCAAACATTGCATTACAGTGTGCAGGAGAAACGGAACATTAGATATGGTACACTTAATTTATCGGGTAGCATACATAACTGGGTGCCGGTATTTCTCTTTGGGGGGGTTTTCTCTTTCGGTATTTCACAAGTTGTTTAATGAGATAACTAGTTAATAAATAATGTTATATCTTGTGCCTAAGCAGATGATAGATAATCACTAAATATAAATAGAGAAACGGATCTAAAATGCGTGTTCGACAGGTAATAGGCCATATAGATCCTGAATTGCTAAAGACGCTAAGTTAAATCGATCTAGTTAAATGTAGGGTGGGTGTTTAATCAGTACAGGCAGAGAAACAAACAAAAGAGGTATTGTGGGGAAGAGAAAAGAAAGGATGGAAAAGGAAGTTGATAGAAGTGATACATAAGGAAAAGTACTGGAAGTTGTCGGGGCGTGAACTCATGTAAAAAAGAGCTACTAGAGCTCTTGCCATTTCTTCAGTTTTAGCCTTCTTTTTTTCGAGTATTTTTGGTTTTCATTTTTCGTTTTCAAATGCCAGGCCGATGGGCTAGTTTACTCAGAGGCCTTGAAGACGAAGCGGTCCTCTGGCTTAGACTCGAATGGAACACCGAGCTCGAGGAGCTTAACGAAAGCCTCGGAGAATTCCTTGAAGAAAACGTCCGAGTCTTTGGCGTAACGCTCAACGTGCTTCTTGAACTCACGGTCCTTGACCAGGGCCATGTCAGTGGGAAGCATCATGAGGGTCTTGGTCTTGTTGTCAGTGAGCTGGGCAGGGCCGGACCACTATATTACGAGAGTTAGTTAGTGTTACAGGAACAATAAAGAACGACACTGGCATATCGACGTACCTTCTTGTTAACCCACTTCTCAGAGAGCAAGAGCTTGAAGAACTCGTTGGTCATGACGGTAGGGCTGAAATCCCATGGGCCATCGTAGCCAGATCGGTCGGCATGGGCACGGCCGAGGGCATGAGCACCACAGAGAGCAACCATTTCACGGTCATCAAATCCCATGCGGCCAAAGACGTCTCTGATATGCTTCTGGTCCTTGGAGGCGTCGGGGAGACGGCCATCTGGAGTGCAGGCAGAGGCTTCGTTGTCCTTGCGGCCGGGTCTCCATGGGATGGTGGGACCCTGTAGCTCCTGGATGGCACAGGCACCAGCAAGAGTCCAGAGGTCAGAGTAGGAGATCCATGGGAACTTGGCTATATTATAACAAATGTTAGCAAATCCTATAATCTTGAAACCATGTCACGCTCGCGGAGGGATGATGGCATTTACTCACCCTTGACTGGTTCCAAGAAGTCACGGGCAGTCTTGAGACCGGCGTTGGCTCCGTGGCCGGCCTCAGGATCGAATCTCATGGTAGCTCCATTGCTTCCTCCGGTCTTGGTGTCCTTGCAGTATGTGCCAGATGCGTGCCAGGCGAGACGAACGAGCACCTATTGAAAAAGTGGGTGATAATCAGTCACTGCCTACCATTGCGTGTCTCTGCATGCAATAAAAGAGAGGGAAAAGGAGGACAGTCTTACCGGTCCGTAGCTGCCATCATCATAGTCGTCCTTCTCTATGAGAAGGTGCGCAATCTCGTCGTAGACCTTCTGGTAGTCCTCCTTGGTAGGGACAAATGGCTTCTGAGCGGCAGCAAAGCTATCGTTGTTCATGTAGTAGTAGGTACCACCAGCAGCAAGGGCAACAGCTCCGAGAGCCCAGTACATGCCAGAGGAGGACTTTGGAGGCTCAGACGCCGTGGAGTATCCCCTTCGCGAGGAGGCTCTGTAGGTCTGTGCTGGAAGGGAGAATCGGGCAACATTACGAGTTGCCGAGGGTCTGGCGGAGGTCACAGGCGTAGCGCCGCGAGCAAGAGCTCTGGAGAAGGTACGGGCAACGGAGGCCATGGTAGCAGACAGCCGAAGCTAGAATAGCAATTGACTTGGTAGAAATGAGGGTGATGGCGGCTTGATAAAAGCGACGATGGGGTGAGGTTGGAGACGAGGGACGGAGAGGCGAAACGAAGGGCGAGACAAGGGAAAGCGAAGGAAAAAGAAGAAGCAGCAGGAGAGAGAAAAGAAGGAAGAGCGAAGGAAGTGTTTGGACCGAGTTTAGTCATCCAGAACTATGGTCAGACGGAAAAGGAGACGCTTTCATTGGCTGGAGGGAGACAGACCCCACTCAGTTACCGGAGCTTTGCAGCCAATCAAAGACCCATAATTTGATAGCAATTATCACGTGAAGAAACGGATATTATGTAATCAAGGGGAAACGGAATGGCGGACAAAAATTGCGATGAAGTGAGAAGAAGCGACGAGAGCAGAAGAAGTCGTGTTACTGTTAGTAGTGGTGCAGAGGAGGAGGAGACGTGGACAAGGGGAAGCAGGAGCATAATCGAGAGTAAAAGCAGCGAAGATCGTGAGGATGCGGCGTGTACGAACTATGGAGTACACACACTGCCTAATTAGTCAAAGGCCGACGACCCGCTTAATTAGCTAACCAACTAAACCTCACTAGCGATCAAGTTAAAACAAACCTCGGGAAGAAAAAAAACGGCGTCGGCTACATTACTTTTTTAGACGCGTGTTTGATATCTTTGAACGCCTCAGCTGCGGTTTACTACGCTGCCTGATGTACCACGTCCGACTGATATATATTCCGGGGACAAAGGGCAGGCCAGCCAGCATGTATGAGTCGCTTTCATGCAAGGCTTCCAAGAATCTTTGTTGCTTTAAAGGGGTGATTGATCATCAAGCCTACCCTTTTCACTATTGAACCACCATGCAGGCAGGCGCGGAAGGCCGCATTTCGACCTCCAATGGCAGCTTCAAGCCATTGCCCATTTAGGAATGGACACGTTTGACAAAACCAATGATCGTTTTCTCCGGTAGCATCGGCCGAATAATATAAGTATTGAGGGACTCCGAAGGGATACAGATATATGAACCATGGACATTGTTCATGCTGGAGGAATACGGAGTAATAACCAGCAATTTGCTGCCTGGATCATACGTATCCCTTTTCTATTGGCAGGGCATATTTATGACTCCTCGTTTGAGTCACAACTTGGCTATCCTCTGGAGTGGCCAACTTCAGCACTCAATTTCTTGATAAATGTCAGTATCTCTCCTGTGAAAGTGGTGATATGAGATATGCGCACATTTAGTCGCATCGTGGAATCAACCCACTTTTGAGGAATGGAGTTTCGAATCTGCTGGATAGTAATGCCAGCTCCTGGGTGGTACCGGTCTTTCTGGTTTTGCTTCCTGATATTATCTCAAGTAATGATAGTTATGATACCTCAGTCGCCGTCATATTCCTCGAAAGAAATATGTCAATGGTCAGAAAGGAGCTCGCGCAGCGAATTGATACCACTGTCAATAAAAATAGGCGGGTGCTTCCAGAATACCCCAGACTCTGAGAAATGCGGAGTTCGTCTCGTGGTGAGGGACCCTTGGCGCGCCGACAAGGATAGTTACTTTCGCGATGGTCAATATCTAACAACCTATTTTGCGTTGCTTGTCCTGATGGCCTCGTATTGCGGTAAACCCAAGCAATTCCATGATTGAATGGAGAGTGCCAGATACACTTGAACGCACGAATACACGTCAGATCAGCTTTCTCTGAGCTGATCTTGCGCTTTGCGTGTTCCGCCAGGTCGAGAAAATAACGCTAGCTAGAATCGAGGAGTCCAATGCCGTTGTCTTGCGGTTATGCACGATTATGTTTTTTTATGGTGATTGGATCCCGGTTTTGACATCTTATCTTCGGCGAAGTGGTAGAAGCTACAGATAGGGCCGACAAAACTTCATATAACTACTTCATATGGTTATGGAGGCCCCGGCCCGCTCCCCTTTTTCTCAGACTTAATGTACAGAGTCTGTACATAGTCTTGCGAAAGTCACCGCTGTCCATTGTCGTTTTATGTTTACATTGAGCCCGCAAGCACTCGAAAATGGCCAACTTTGCTTTGGATCAGTGTCTAGGAGAGGACCTAGAGTACGACCAGCATGACGGTCATGGTCGCTCAGGAAGCGTTGAGAACAACGTTCCCGATGATGGCGATACCTCGCATTTTGTCCATGATCAGTTTTGGGGAGTCTACAATTTTTCGACCGACGTTCCTATAAGAGACCCAGACGGGGATATTTCCTCATCCGTGCGCCTGGAAAGCAGCAATCCTGGCCATACTCCTTACATTGCGGCCACAGGTCCTGCACTTTCAAGTGAATTGCTTAGAAATGTTGCTACATGGCAAAGCAATGCTGAAGTAGAAAGCATTTTGTCGGTACCTACAATGGAACATAGTACGTCATATGCCCTCCTTTCCTACATATATTTGATATCAGCAACTAATCTTCCTCCTTACTCTGCAGATGCGAGCAGTATAGATTTGGCTCGGATGGACGACTTTCTACCCCAGTGTTCTACCTCTAACCCTTGGACGGTCTTTTCCATACGTTCCGCTGATGACCCGGCTTACACGACTACCACGGCTACCACGACTGACACGGCTGACACGACCAATGTCACTGACACGGCTAACCCCACAAACACCACAAGCACCACCAATACCACCAACACAGCTGACACAATCAACACCGCTAATACCACTAACACTGCTAACACCACCCATACCACCAACACGACACGACAGAGCCTCGTCCATTGCCTATCGAGCTCACCTGAGGGCAGCCCAGTAAGGCAGCGGATCAGAGGCTGTAACAATGAAGGAATACCTTATAATGACAATCGGCCTCAAGGAGACATTCCCTCATTCCAGTGGACCGTATCCCGGGTATGCTGCTGGAGATGCCGGATTTATAAAAAGGAAGTAAGTGTCCAGTTTGATAATGAGTTTGCGGGAGCCCAACTGATCTCGTGTCAATAAAGTGTACCGGTGGCTTAGTATGCGATGAGTGCTCGAAAGTTAAAAACCCGAGAAACTTTCTGCTGCCATGTTGTACTCCTCGGATTGTAGAATTAATGGCGGTTCTTCTTCCAGGTATGTGAATTCCACGACACTCTTTTGCCTAGTTGACCTACTGTGCAACCATGTGTTAAATCTCGTTTCGTTCCTTCTAGAGAGTCTTTTAACATGGCTAGAAACAGCTGTGAAAAGTTATCCCGGAGAAGAGCAAGATGGTGAAGTATATGTTCGTTATGTCACTCTGACGGCAGGTACCGGGCCAACTATGGTTTTCCCGATTGTACGAGTCAAGTCGAACGCTGCGGCCATTGATTCTCATGCCGTATCATTTCAGCCAGAAGGGACAACCATGACTTATGTGCGGGGCGATGACCAGAGCATAGAGTCAGTTTGGGATAAGTGGCTTGATAGAGTTGTCAACGACTATCTTGAACAATCTTGCAACTTTGTGTTCCGCGATTCTCCTGACTGGGTTCATCAAGCTTTGGGTGTGGTTTGTAATTTTACAGATGCTGCGCTACATCCACCTTCAAGCAGACGAGGGGATATGATAGGCAAGGCTGATACGATGCTGCGCTGCTCAGTCCGCCTGTTTTTTGCACTATACCTGATGTCGACCCCGTTGGAAGTCAGCGGCGAAGGTATTGAAAGCGAAGAGGAGCGTACTGAAGTGAAAAATTACTTCAGGTCCAAGGCACGCAGTGTTCTGGAGAACCCGATCACCCAAACATCTAACCTGCACGATTTAGTATGGGGAAAGAGATATCAGTGTATTGGGCATATCCTAGCGACACTTGTCTTCTTGTCGCTTTCCTGCCACATCAATCAATTTATCCGCTTGGAACTGCCCGGCGTTGGTGCGAATGAATCTTCCGCCAGGGCAGATATTGATGATATGAACAGAAATGTCCACTACATCAATGAGTTGATATATTGCACCTTTCGATCTGAGATTGGCAAAATACTCAAGTACCCGAACACGAATCCTAATCAACCAAATGACAATGATCCAGACCCAGCAGACACTCAGTGGAGGGAGCTCTGGCATCACAATTCGACGTTGATATGCGGCCTATGGGAAATCATGAATAATATCAGTGAGTATGTCTCCTTTCTCTAGTCGGGGTAGATGATGCTGACTCTGGTTTCTAGATAGAACGGCTGCAGGGAACGAACTCCGTCAGCATGTGCAGTCGTACGACACGGCAAATAGCATCTCTATCCACAATGCCTCGATCGCGGTGTACGACGCTTTAGCGCCTGTTGTCAACAAAAGCCCTGGACCTCTTGGGAGGTTGAAAAAGCTCTGTCGCTTGCACTTTCCGGCCCTTGGTTCCGCAATTTCCTTCTAGTCTATCTCTATGAATTTCGGGCACATATTTCGATTGGCAGGTCCATTATATATTTTTTCTTCTCCTATTCTCCAGTTATCATTCTTCTTTCGCTTCTTTTATAAATACTGGCTGCTGAAGTTTGAAGATATAGGTCCTCCTCAGTTTTGTGGAGAGTTTTCGACCATTGTTTTGCACAAAAAAAAAGGTCCGGTTTGTTATCTGGTTTTCAGATTTGCTGCAGGAGCTGAGATTTCCATTTGGGATTGTGAAAGGCGCGGGACGCTGGTCGCAGCATGGTTGGGACGGACATTCTACTATCTGCGACGGAGTCGTTGGGGAAGACCAGCCACTCGGAGAACGGACAACTCCTGCCTATATACAAAGTTGGATTCTATTTGTGAGCGCTGGTGCTGGAAAATCTGTGGCTTTTCTTCTATAACTAATTGCAGGTCTGGACATACTGTCAGTTGAATATGGAGAGACCAAGAGTTTTTCCCTATTAATTGAATATTAATTCGATCTATTGGCTATTTAAAATCTTATTTACTTTTTCGAATATTGAACTAATTTAGTAACTATCTGGAGTATATATCTCAAGTTCTTGCATAGCTATTGGATCCGTATGTACTCCCTCGAGTCAACAACATATGGACATTAGAAGAGAATGAACTGCCTGGGTGCCGTAGAATACCAGGATATCACCCCGAATCTCCTGACCAAACGCTCCGTAACATCTGCACCGGTAGCATTTGGCAAGGCTGCTGTTTGTTGCCATACATAACACATGCAGAATCCTGTCCTTGCACACAGAGAGATGCGCCTGACATGGGTAACTGCAGTTTCAGCTGGCCATAACGACCCGGCCTCGAGTGTATCTGATAGGACCACTCGCTGTTAATCAACAACTAGCCCACCGTCTGGTGCCCTGTGAGCTGGAGATCAAACATGGAGTCCTGGGCTCAGCATGACGATGGCTGGCAGACAGCGGAGGAGGGTTGCATGCCTTCGCTAACTACCCCCGTCGCCAACAGCTGCTCTACACAACAACCGTGTCATCGCAGGATCTTCTCACCTGCTGCCTGCGCCCTTGCGCCTCGTTCTCGTTGCCCTGGAATGCAACATCACCTTAGTAAGCAGCTTACCTAAGCCATGTGAACCCAAGGGCGTACGGTACGGTACGGGCAGTTACGATAGTTTACGGGCCAGGCACCCGCCAAGGGCCAATCAGGGCACCCGCTGTAAAACGGTGGATCCGCCATCCGATACGCCCGCGGTAATGCCAGGTACTGCTTAGTCATTAACCCCGTGATCCTTCGTCCTCTCGCTGTCTCACCTTTTCCTCTTTAGGAAGATTTTTCTCTCCTTTTGCTGTTTTTCTTTTTGCTTCTTCAAAAGAAAAAGACGAAGACGAAGACGAAGAAGTTGAAAAGAAGCAGAAGAAGAAGAAGAAGACTCGGTCACTCGTTTACAAACAGCTATTTATCCACCACTCTCGCTACCCTCGACTCTCGACACTCTTTTTTCCATAGAAAGCGAAGCGGCAGAAGACGAGCCGTTGCGCGGAACACGGCGGATCGCTTAACTAACGGTCGGTTGGTCGACAGGGAGTCACCTCCAGCGGTCGAACACGAAGAAGACGAAGACGAAGAAGAAGAAGAAGAAGAAGACGACGACGTCGACGTCGAAGAAGTCAAGGATAATCAATAATCATAATACATCACGATGCGCTGGACGTCGCGACTCTCGTTCATCGTCCTCTGCGTCGCCCTGCTGGCCATCGTCGTGGGCAGCCAGCAGCCCCCCAGCCGCCATGCCCGTCACCGTCGCCAGCTGCTGAGCGGCGCAGACTCTGCCACCAACAACGGCAACAACAACCTGCCTCTGCCTACGTCGGATGGGAACAACAAGAACACCAGCGAGGACAAGTCGACGCCCTCGCCGACCTCTGACAAGCCCACGAGTCCTACGCCCCCTCCGACCTCCGACAAGCCAACCTCTGAGCCTCCCACTTCGGAGAAGCCGACGTCGACACCACCAAACGTCCGAGAAGCCTACCTCGACGCCTCCCCACCTCGCAGCCAGACACGCCTACCCGCTCGCGTTTCCTACTCACTCCAACCGACACGCCGCCATCGCCCACCGGCAACCAGCCCAGCAGCACGCCAACTCGTCCAAACGACCCCCCAACCAACAACCAGCCAACCGAGAAGCCCACGTCCACCCCCAGGTCGACTCCCAAGCCCACCACCATCATCATCACCCAGACATACACCAACAGCGATGGCTCCGTCACCCAGTCGACCATCTCGTCCGTCTCCACCCTTCCACCAGAGCCCACTGTGGGCAACGGTGGGAACGGCAGCACCGGTGGCGGCATGAGCCCTACCACTCGCAACACCATCATCGGCGTCGTTGTCGGTGTCGGTGGTGCCATCATCCTCGGCGGACTGGCCATCGTCTTCTTCAGACTCCGACGCAAGAGAAACGCCAATGCTGATAACGACGATGACGATCTGATCCAGACCGGTGCCGCCGTGGGTTCTCAGACCCACGAGGCTCCTGGAAACAGCCCGTTCAAGTCCACGCTCGACCAATACCACAAGCCAGGAGCAGTCAACCCTGCCTCAAACTTCTAACCCGCTTCTGTGGTTTCCATTTCCCAACTATGATGATGCGACGTGTTTATGTAGATCTTGCGACTTGTACCTTGCAATGATTTATCAAGACACTCACAACACGCCAGGGAGGAAAGGATTATTTTTGTTGTTGTTTCCCACGAGTTATCTCATTGCTGTACTATTTGATGTTTTATTGTCTTTTCCCTCTATTTTCACTGGCGCGCGGGGGCTCTGGATCTGGACCTGGAATCATTTTACTTACCATTTGTTTCTTTCTCATTTTCTCTACACTCCTTTTTCATGACTACGTTATATCCCAAGCTTCTTCTTCAGCTTCTTCATTGCACCCCATAAATTGCATTGTTCTCTCCTTTCCCACATATCCCAAAGTGCAATAGAATGGGTGGTTTAATGCTCCCTATTTCACTTCAAACTACTGCTTATTTCACCTACTCTCCCTCGGCAATTCTATAAACCACACCCTTCATACTTCATAGCCTTTGACACTCCTTTGTTCTTTCGGGCAATGTGGCCACTGCCTTTTACTCCGGACACTTTTCTTCACACACGGAATTGCTCTCTCCTACTTCTTCTCTCCTGCTGTTCCAGTCATATTCCTCTTCCTTACGCAAGCAAGCGGTCTAACAGCATCTTTCTCAAAAGGTCTTCTGATTATCTCTTTTTTAATAATCTTCCATTCTAGATCTTTCTCTTCCTTTGTGACCTTGCCTGGTTGTTGTCGAATTGTATTTTACCTTACAATCCTGATCATCATAGCAAAGTAGGAAACTCGATTTAGATATACCTAGATACACTTAACTTTTGACCATTGCCTGAAATTAAGTAAACTTAAGTCTCTCTGGTGGTACGTCAGAAGCTGTTATATTGAGTTTTTATACTATAGATGGTTTCAACTCCTCAGATACTCTTTTACTGCTTCACCCCAAGCTGGAACTTTCTTATACTCAGCCATCAACGGGACGTTCCCATTCTCAATACCCTCAATTGCAGCAGCAAGGTCATCGCCGGACCCTTCCTCCTTTAGCTGTCGGATAGGATACCTATACGTATGGATCGAAAACACAATGGCCCCCGACTTTGGCAGACGATAAAGCGTCTGTCTCTCACAACGCAGGAATGTCTGCAAGAACAAACAGCGAGTTAGTTAAATTAACGAGACCACACGTCAACAACCAGCGGGAGGAATGGAGTAAACACTTGCATCATCTATATCCAGCTCCTCTAGCCGTAACTGTTTCACCCCCTGCCCTATCGTTGTCGCCAAGCGCTCATCTCCAAAGGCATAGAACAGGCCTGCTCCCGTTGTGATGCCCCAATTCACCCGTTTCACAAATTTCCCGACCTCTAGCTTTTCAAAGTATCGATCCATGCTCCTTTCGATTTTCTCCCGGTACCCTGGCACCGGCTCATGAACATCTTTCAATTGTTTGCCAAGTTTCTCGCGCGTGTTGAACCCAGACGGGAAACACGTCACATACGCCTGCAGGACATACTTAACACTCGACGAGCCAGCTGCACGCCCACTCTCTTTCCGTCTTTCATTTCCTGCATCCTTATCCTTATCCTTAGCCGGTAAGAGAATAAGCATGTCCTCGTCGATTGTTTTAGCTAGGGTTTCCAATGCATTTACCAGCGGGCGACCCGGTGAAACGCTTGCCGGCAGCACCTCCCCTGTAACCTTATTCTGAAGCATGAACACCTTGCAGCTCTCGTACTTGGCTTCGATCAATTTAAACATCGTCGGGTATCGGTTTGGGAGATAGATTCCCATGACAAACTCATATAGTTCGCAGATTGCATCGTGGGCCAGGGGAAGCTCTTTGCCATCTACTTCTGACTCCCCCTTGCTTGAGGCAGGATGTATACCCAGAGCAATATCGTAGTGCTCCTTAAGGACCTTTCGGCGTTCGGAGATTCTATCTTTATATTCCTTGTCTATGGGTATCAGCTCGCTTGGCTCGAGTGTTTCAAGAGCTATTAAAGGCGTACGTATGTATACGTATACAAGCAAATTAGCCCCGGCTGTGGTCTATTTATATAAGCCCGTCAGTATCAGGAAGGTGGAATCTCACCCATGGTAAGATTGTATTTGGGCTTGTACGGCCGTAGCTTCATGGGCTCCGTAGTCTCCCAGTTGAACTTGTCAAGTGGCTGTATCGGCGGGAAGTCATCTTCGGATACCACCGTGAGCTTGCGGACCGCTCCGGGGGATTTCTATATTTATGCCATCGGTTAATTGAAGTGGACATGCAGGGTGCGGCGTGAAATGACATACTGGTCCGTCTGATCTGGATCGATACCATATCATCGCCACTACTGGTAATAGCAGGAGGACATTTGTAGGAATCTGGCTTCTCAACTGGACTAAGAACTCCCACACGGAGTGCCAGTAAGGCATAATAATGTCCGATATAGCTTTTTCCATGCTGTACAGAGTATTCTCTCTCTTTTCTCCAAAATACGGGTATATTGACTAGAGTATTCAGGTCTAATCTATCCTGTATGACGCTGCAGTCCTGGGTATCAAAATGACCACCTCCAGAATCGGAATACTACTATAAAGACCCTGTGATTAATTCACACACCGAAAATGAATTTAAATATCAAGGAGCAAAGCAGATGTCCAAAAGTTGTACGAGGAGTAGACCTGAAATGGAAGAGCTTCCTGTGTGGAGAAGACGCTGGGGGAACTGGTGTTCGTTCGGTGGTTATTATAGCCTAGCCTGGCCGCTAGTGTTGACCCTTCAACTCCACACTTTTAGTTGGGTTCTTTGTCACCAGCTACGAGTATTTCCGATTCCTATTAAGCTAAAGGACGAGCGGGATTTAATTTGTGATATTTACGCCCTACAGGAGAGAAGAATATGTGATAACGTCTAACTGCATTAAACTAGTTGTGGTTTAACATATCTGCTCGCTTCGCAAGGAATGCATGCATGGGTTAACGAGATAAAAAGAGACGGACAGCATGAGAGAAATGGAGTAGATATGCGATGGACTCGAGAGTCAAATGGAGAAGAACAGCCACCCTAGGACAGAAATGTATAGCTATAGGCTGACATAACGTTCATCGTGATATAAGTACCGCAGCTGTAGAACCGGGGGTGGTGTACTCCTATACTCCGGTAGCCAAAATTATAGTAACAAGCATTTCTTTAAGGGGTAGAAAGAGAATAGAAAAGATGTAGCTTCCCCGAACATGTATGTGTACCATGGAATGGGGTAGGGTGATAAGCTAACGAGCAAGTAAGAGAGAAAGTGAGTGTGTGAGTGAGAGTATGATAGACTTCTTTCAAAGACGCTTCTGCCTCTCCTGCTCGACGATTCTGCTAGCTCCAAGATGCTCGAATAAAATCTGTAATTTGGCCTGACGCAAACGGGATGAGCTGATCATGTCCCTACTGTCTCGTAAAAGGTTCGAGTTTGTGCTGTTGATTATCGAACGAGTATCATAAGGCAGCTGGTACTCATGTAATATTCGGTCCAGCTGCGTGACTACTCTATAGTTAGCATGCCAGTCGATTATCAGGGATCAACATCGCAATACTCACCATCTAACAGTTTGACTGACTCGACGGTCTTCGGACTACGGAAATCCGTAGGGAATCTCCCGTCAAAGCACATCATGGGATGTACCTGTGTAAACTGGCTCCGGGGATTGATATTGTGATTTGCAAGGGACACAGCCAGGTTTGTCCGACGAACAAGCTCAGCTAGAGCCGGGTCGTTTTGGCCAATGTTGGAGTTCTGCATAAAGCCGTTCCCAAGATGATGGGAAACTCCGCGATGGCCAGCACCGTGGCCCGGCTGTCTTTCTTGCTGTGGGTTAAACGCGGTGAACGGCGTGGTTGGGTCAAGATGATGGCGCATGTTGGAATGGTCTCCAAAGTCAAAGCCTTGCACTCCCTGCTGGGCCTGCTGCAACGCAATTCCAACATCACTTGAAGACATTGACCGGGGGTCTATCCCGTATGCTCCGCCTGGTAATGCGGATGCTCTGTGCCTCTCACCGCCACGAGGAATCATACTCGTTCTCTAGCGGTGTTGTGTGTGCTCAGGGGTAATAAAGAGTAAGTGAACAAGTGGAATTGGTTATTTATCCTGCCTGTTTGGCCTTGCTCAAGTGAACTATGAAGGTGTGAAGAAAGAAATGTCTAAATTAGAGGATCAAACAGTGTTCAAATAGGGCAGAATGTAGGATCCGTGTGGTAGCCTAGCAAAGGGAGGGGGTTGATTTAAACGTGAGTTAAAGAATCTTCGGCTTCACATATGAATACCGTAAGGGGACTTTAATATATTTATATCAAAAGGCAAGAATAGCAGCAGTGGCACCGAGGGCGAGCTGAACACACTATACGAATATAGGGCGGTTGAGATGTTGCACCACGTTCAATTGTCCCACTACGCTATTCCGTCCCTTCTGTTGGTTTAGGGAAGTCGGACTGTTGCAGGGAGACATGTTTTGGGATAAGGGTATTAGTGCAAGACAAGTTATGAACAATTGGCAACACCATTGTACATTCCGTGGATGCTACCTCCCTGGCATTCTTCCCGTTGCCAATCTAATCCACAGTCCTCATATTCCAGACGAGGAAGAGGGAAAAAGCCGGCAAGACGAGACGACGACAAACAGATCATACTGGACTGTCATGCGGAGAAAATCAGTGTTGCACAGAGCGTTGTAGCGGCCAATGTCCAAGGGTAATTTCGCCCGAAGATATGGGGAGCGGCGCAGACATATGCCAATATGCAGTGTTGAAAAAGCCATCTTAGCTACCGATGACAAACAAGTATAGGGCAGGTATCGCTTCCTAAGCAAGTAGAATTCAAGGGTTCTGATCCGTTGCACACAATAGTTGACAACTCATAGCAATATAGAGTTTTCTTTCCTTTTACCTATGACAAACATCCATCCATATGCTGAATTGGATAGAGGCAATGCAACAGACCAAACGGGCGCCGCGAAAGAGATCACCTGAAAGAATAGTCCGGTGGATGCGAAATATCTCCGCGCTGCAACAAAGGCATGGAGCGGGCCGCGGACTGGAAGGCAGCAGACTGTGGCCTTTCAGGCCAAACAGTGGTTTTCGCCTCATGTTGATTAGAACAATCGGCCATCAAACGGCGTTGGGTAGGTTGGGCTGAAGTGTCGTAGGCCAAAAAGTGAGAATGCCTTAACCCAAAACAGAATTTGGTAGGAAAGGCGCATCAGGCATCAGGCATCAGACCATCCGCCGTGCTCAATAATGGGGGCACAAGCTTCCATCAAAACGGCCGGAGAACATTTCTAGAAATATTCGATTGCAGAATGCGGTCTTTGCTCTCACCCCCCTGCCTTTGCCCGAGAAGTACCTGTAAGACACGATAGACCTCTGACCGGATCATACACGTGTTTACATGGTGAGGCTGATAATAGCCCTTCAAACCGTGCTATAGTTCCGTGTGACTAGCAGTTCATAGGGGTGAATACGAGAAGCCCGCAATAGTATCCTCGAGCACGGCTCTGGTATCTATCCGTCGAACGAACGTGCGAACAAGCGAACACCAGGGAGCCGTTTGAAGCAGAAAAAAAGCAACATAATTCAATTCGGCCTAGCGTCCAAAGGCGAGGTGACGGATTTCCTTCGAGAGACAACTGCACCGGGCGCCGCTGGCCCATGCAGAGCAACGTTCTCATTCTCATCCAGCCTGCCTCTCCCCGACGCTTCACTTCTGCTGTTCCCACCACCGTAGAAGTCTAAGCCAGTCATACTGAACGCCCTTCTACGCCCACTTGCAGATTCAGAGAATATAGGTATGGGAGCGACAGGCCGTCGTCTACCCCTGGCCCGTCCTCCGATGACAGGTATTTCGTACGTTGCTGCTCGCCAGATATAGAGCATTATATCGTACGCGAGGAAGAATAGAAAGGGGCCCATCATCAGTGTACCGAGAAGCACCTGGGCGGTCACACATGCTCCGAGACAGCAGCTGTGTTAGCGTGGGTTTCCTGATACGGTTATCGCATGGGGGGTTGGAGGGAAAGGTGCATACAAAAAACCGGATCAGCCACCCCTCGAATGCGGTAAGCTCCTGCGGGAGAAGAGAGTACCAGGTCATTCTCTGTCGTTCTTTTGTTCACTTGCCTGGTTTTGGTCTTGGTGTTGCGTGTCGTTGTCGGGTAGCGGCGCAAGAGTGTGTATGTATGGATGTATGGATGTCTACCTGCCGTGTTGCCCGTTGTACAAGGCTGGTCTTCTCTGCTGTGTCTGCGTGTTATTTCTGCCCGGGAGAGACTCTCAGGAACGGCGTCATGGTCTTTTAACGGTCGCTGGCCTGTGTACCTAGGTATGCCGTGGTTCACGTCCGCAACCAACTTGGGGCGCAGCGTAAGAAGACACGACTAGAAGCGCAAGCTCGACCTTAACTCACCCTTGGCCGGACTTTCTATGGAGTTAAGGCCGTGCAGGGAAGGGAAGTCAGCCACAGTCACGTGGTAGTGCAAAGCCACCGGCTGTACAAGCAGAAGAGAAACAACCAACACCGACGCCGTACGTCCCTTTGCATTAATTCGTGGTGATAAGTTGCTATGTATGGCGTACAAGACAGACAGGGAGTAACAGGAGTAACGGGAGAGTCGAAGAAGGCTGAGCAGCGCGACGGAGAGAATTGAAACAAGCCAAGGGAGCTCACGGGAGCAGTTCATCACATTGTCATTAGAAAACGAGAAAACGAGATAAATAATAGACAAGATAACCCCAAATCTACATGTTAGACCACGCTTTACTCAAAAAAACATAGTACCCAATATCCTGTATGTGCTGTGGATGGAAAGAAACAAGAGAGATGGAGAGATTTCAAAAGACACCCCGTTCGTAAAAAACTCCAAAAAGGAAACAAAACGTGAGTAGCACATCCCTCCCAAAAAAGCAGCAAGCAAAAATACCTATTCTATGGAGTGCGTAGAGTTGACTTCAAGAGGTTAGCGGTGGCCTCTGTATGGGGTGAAGCCGGACGGGCTTGGTTCTCGAGCGTCTGAAGTATGTGACTGCCATCTGTCGATGGAAGCTACTTCTGCGTCGTGTCTTAGCGGCGTGGACTGGGCATGGGAGAGCAGTCTGCGTTCACTTTCGTTGGCAGCTGTGTAGAACGAAGGCTCCTCAGTGTCGTTCGGTTGGAAGGCCGGGTGGTCTGAAAGCTGCGGTACTCGGCTGTGAGAATGGGATGGGAAGCTCATGCTAGCTCGAGCCTGTTGTTGACTGTACGTCGATGGAGTAGGTGAGGATGCGCGTGAAGAGCTAGGCGAGTCCCCCATTCCCATGATGAAGCTCTTGGGCGTGTGAGACCGTTCGGTGAAGACGTCGTCTGGTCTGCCGTAGATGCCGCCGCCAAACTCGTCGCGGAAGTCAGGTCGATCTTTAAAGTAGGAGAAGTCAAGCTGGTTTTCGGCGACGATTTCAAAGGGAGCGTTACGGCTGGGAGGCTGTTGTTGTGATTTGCCGCGCTGGGTAGAGGACATCTGGTGCATGGCTATGTCGGAGTATTCGCCTGTCTCGGTGCCCATGCCTTGACGCGACTGGTAGAATTTCTCCAGGGCTCCGGCAGCCTTTGCGTGGACCATCGGGGTGGTGAGCGGTTTGTAGAGGGCAGGGTGGCCGAAACGAGAGCTCAGACGCTCTGTCATCTTCTTGGAGGATTTGCTGTTGGGCATGGCCTCAGGGTCGGTGACAATGGCGCGGCTGTAGTACTGCATCTTGTTGTCGAATGTGGTGCGGCAGTACCATTTGAATCCGAGCATGATGAGCGGGAGCGGAGCGAGAGAGTATACCATGGTCCAGGTTCCCTGGGAAATGACGACGAGGCCGGTGACGAAGTTGGAGAGAATGACGGCGAAGACGATGCGGTTGTAGAGGACTCGCCAGTAACCGCCGCCGGACTCGGTCTTCGTGACGAAGATATAGAGCAGGAGGTACTTCTTGAGCCAGGAGTCGATGGCAAAGTACATTGCGGTGACTGGCAGTACAATGGGTTGCAAGGTGGAAAAGCAGAGGGCCGTTGTGACGTAGAAGAGGAAGTAATTGTAGTAGCTGGCATAGTCGAACGGCGGCGGAGCGGTCCATTCGATGTATTTGCGAGGCGTGGGACTGAAGAACTTGCGAGCAAAGAAGATCCAGACCATGTTGATCATCTGGACCAAGTCGATGGCAGCACCCAAGTTCCTCTGCAGCAGCCAATTGACCCAGAAGGGGGCAACATGGATGAGAGCGACGACGAAGCCCTTAAAGGCCTGTCCACTTTTCAGGGCATTCCATGCATCCTCGCCGTTTTTGCTTGCATTGATGATGATGACGACGAGCTGCCAGACACTGGAGAAGAGGGAGAAGACGACCAGGTTGTTAAAAACAAAGAATGCGTAGAGACTGTGGATGACCTGTCTCTCGCGGGCTGTCTTGGTCTTCTTGCCAGCGCGGGTAGCGAGTCGACGGAATATGGTGGGGAGCACGAGGTAGACCAGCGAGAGGATTGCGGGTGAAGCGATACCCTGAACGGCGCCCCAGGTCTTTGGATTGGCGTTCAACGAGGTCTGAAACGCCGGCCAGAACTTGCCGAGGTTACTCAAGTTGGTCAGGAAGATGGCGATCATGGCGTTGGGAACGATCCAGATGACGGTCAGGATAGTCGACCAGACGGCGTTCATGAACCGCTTCCACTTGAGGGTGCCCTTGGTCAGCCCGAGGTTGTCCCATATGAGGTCGTTGGGTCTTGGAGCGAGCCTGATGGTGGTTCCATGGGGGTGTTTGTTCCGAGCGGCAAAGGCGACTGCATGGGCGTCCTCGATGGTGTCCCAGCTGGCAAACCCGTAGGGCATGGCGTTTCGCTTGTCGATGGATTCCCGAACATGTCTGATCTCCATCTCCAGCCGCCGGACCTGTCGGTATAGTAGTCAATGGCATCTACCTGTTCAGCAGGCTGAGAATGACGCGCCGCGATCCTTCTTGGAGGGCTTGCAAGTAGGACGGGTTG